GGGGACACCAAGTTAATAAATGTTTCCAGCAACTTATGCTGGTCATACTCATGTCATGAGAGGTGACTAAATGGATTTAGCATTGTGTTTAGTGAACAGGTTTGGAACTTAAACTGCCGTTTGCACTTAGCAATGCTCATAATATTGACCACGGGGCTGTTTATTTCAGATTTGCCATGTTTATAGGCTGCTGCCATATTGCTAGAATGTTATCAAGTGTAGATTAATGATGACACTGTACATGACACTAAAGATGCAAGCAAGATCAACATGATCAATAAGTGAGCATTTGGAAAACCATAACTGTTACTTAAAATCTCAACACATATACCCAAATGTTGAGGGTAATGTAAACTTCATCACAGTTCAGTTTGTTGCATAAATGAAACACCGAGTCTGTGTATCATTTACTATGAGATTTCTACATTCTGCACGCACGATGATTATTGACACTGATGGAAAGTGCTACATCATTTCCACGATTACCAGATACTAATCCAGAAAATGATACAACTCTTATCTTAATAATGTTATCCTGTGTTAACGTGAACTACTGGACTGCATGCCATCTTTGGCTGAACACCGACAGCTTTCTGACAAAGTCAATGTTTGGCAAATAAAGAATCAAGTACGAAAACCGCTCTGTCACACTAACCATAACACATTCATTACCCAAACCGCACTGATCTAAAGTAATTATTGTAGTAAACTACTCATGCAAGCTGCATGACAACACTTTCAAGCTAATACAACAAACACAAATTCTCAAAAACCGTTAGAAGTGTAGAAATATCACAATGATAGCAATATTCCGTCAACTCATGCCGTACTCACCATCTTGGAATTTAGGTAGAGCTGTTTGAAAATACGAAAATTGCAATATCTATTTCCAATTAATGCCAAAGGTACCATGCAAATAAAACGATAAAATGATATTTTAGCCCTACTTTATTCGAAATAGTGTATTCAATCGGAAATATACAATCTTGAAGAGGAATTCGAAAATAAAATCTATAAGCAAGGGAGACAACTTGTAAATAGGAATGTGCACACCTGTAAAATAATATTATTCTTTATCTTTCTTCTCATGTGAAATCAGACACCATATATATTATATGGTCTCTGGGGCAATCGAACAGCTGAAAAAAATAGAACGGAAGTGAAACCTCATTTCTTACTCGTGTTTTAATTATAGTACGGCGAAAAGAAGCACAAGGCTGATAAACATTGATGTTTTTAGGTACTGTGATGTCAAGAACAGTACTATAGCACTTTCGGAAATCGAAAACAAAACTGTTTTTAGGCTGTTAAGTACTCTGTATACCTACAATTTACACAACTGCAAATAGCATATATCGAAATAACCTACATCGGCCTAACCGGGCGTTCAGTGGGATGTGTAATAGGATATCCAGAAAAGCATGTTTATTCGTAAAATCGGGCAAAACTTTAAAAAAAATACAAATAGCTGCCGAAAACAATAGATCAGACTATAGATGGCAATTTGGTTGCTCAGCCAGGTATGACGACGCACCGTCGACTCACCTGGCATGAAATGCATGTGCTGCCTACATGCACAAGGGGTCATCTCAAAGATATTTTATGATTTTTCATGTGTGTTGAATATGTCTCATCTATTGATTAACATCTTACGTGTCTTTCTTTCATAACGCTTATATTGAGATATGTAATAGAGTATGATTCCCATAGAAAAGTTTAAATCAGCCATCGTATTAAATATCTCAAAATATATAAGTGGCATGACCACCCGAAGATCGAGAGGACTGGATATTATTTGTAAATTGTTATGACATGCTGTTTACTTCTCCAGTTCAATTCGCCTAAATGATTATCTTATATCTTAGCTGATATCTCTATCCCCCAGCCCGACCCCAACCACCGTAGACCTGCGACACCCGTCCTGGTTTTGTTTTTGAGACACACACCACCCCTCCTACCTGTTTGTTTTATAGTGATAGTGAGACTCCATGGTAGAGCTACACCCTTAATAGTTTCAGTATTAAAGTTATTTTTTACGTCAGCTATCGTTTATTATGAAGCTAAGTCTAATTTCAAAATGGACATTTAAAAAGTGTCCTTTATAATACAATATCATCGCACACTAATTTGCATAAAGCCATGGTCTGTTCCAAATTTGGACTTTGATAAAAACCCGCATTGCTCATTTCTGCACTAATCTCTCCTCAGGAAAGTCCTTTTCTACGGTTTCCTATCTCCCTACCACCGAGACTGTAGTTAGTTTAACACACATTTCACACAGACAATTCCCATGAAAAAGAATTCAGCTCTAATTAACGCCTAGATCATGAATACTTAACTGAATTCCAATATATTCTTCATGCTTAGAAGAAGCTGACATACAACGACATCTCAGCTACATTTTAGTGAATTCTTAAGAATCATATCAACTTATTTTTCATGCAATTATTTTCGTTTTATGTAGCTATACAAACGTATTGTCATATTCCATCTCCCCAAAAAAAAAAAACAAACAACAAAAAACCACAACAAAAAACCACAAAACAAAACAAAACAACAACAAACAAATAGAGCAAACAAACAAAAAAGACCAAAGAAAAAACCAAAAACAAAACCAGCTCCTGCGAGAACTGTAATTTTCTCTTGTTATCGAACTGCAGACCTATTATTTTTATATTCTGCTGTTTTGGGACTATATGAACATTTACCAGTTTGACCTGCTGCTGCATGTCGCTTTATTAGAAACAGATAGCGCAAGCATAACGGTTTCCAAGTTCATAGGGACGGTGGGGTAGCCTAGAGTAAAGCGTGCGCTCGTCACGCCGAAGACACGGGTTCGATTCTCCACATGGGTACAATGTGTGAAACCCATTTCTGGTGTATCCCGCAGTGATATTGCTGAAACATTGCTAAAACGGCATAAAACTAAACTCACTCACTCCAAGTTCATAGCTGATAATATTGCATTACCGGCTGTTGGGTACAAATACCAAAATTCAGTGATACGAGGGATTTTAGAACGCTTCAAATGCATTGTTGTCGTTTCGGCGGGTTCTGCTCAACAACGCGATGTCACTTTCACCAGGGATAATCTTATATACTCTCCCTGCTATATAGTTTCCCTGCTTTCACATAGACTTACGTAGTTTTACGAATCATCGACGAACAAGGACGATGACTGTTAAGATACAGGTCATTTTTTTTCAATGAGTGAGTGAGTTTGGTTTGGCCTTGCTTTGTTTAGTACTTTCAGTTCTTTCTCGTCTTGGCGCATTCAATATTTTGGGAAATGAATTTTAAGACTAATACATTCCTATCAGTAGAGGGGCAGTAGCCTGGTGGTTAAAGCCTTCGCTCGTCAGGCCAAAGACCCGGGTTCGATTCCCTACATGGGCACAATGTGTAAAGCCCATTTCTGGTGTCTTTCGCTGTGATATTGTTCACTCACTCTTATCAGTAGAGACCAAGCTCTCTCATTTATACTAGATTAACCCCAGTAAAATGAAAACACACATACATTTAAATAAAAAAGTGAAAAAAAAAGTGAAAAAAAGCGTACATTGATAACCTACAAATGCACATGGGTATAACAAAAAGAAAAAGAAAACTCAGATGTTTAATAAATGTTGTATATTTCTTGTAAAACAGAAACTATATATGTGTCGAATTCCGAAAGGAAACTTGGTATACAAGGAGTTTTTTCGGAAAGCAACAGGTCAAAAGGGCCAAAGGACAAAAGGGCCAAAACTGAAAAAGTCAACAGGACCAAGGGGAAGTCAAAAGGGCCATATAGCTTAAAGTCAAAAGGGCCAAACTAAAACATCTCAGAGCGTCTCAGTATTGCTTATTTAAAACATCTCAGAGTGTCCCAGTCTTGCTTATTTAAAACATCTCAGAGTGTCTCAGTGTTGCTTATTTAAAACATCTCAGAGAGTCTCAGTGTTGCTTATTTAAAACATCTCAGAGTGTCTCAGTATTGCTTATTTAAAACATCTCAGAGTGTCTCAGTGTTGCTTATTTAAAACATCTCAGAGTGTCTCAGTGTTGCTTATTTAAAACATCTCAGAGCGTCTCAGTATTGCTTATTTAAAACATCTCAGAGTGTCTCAGTGTTGCTTATTTAAAACATCTCAGAGTGGTTAAGTGTTTATTTTATGAATATAGTCAACCATACAATTGTTTATTTAATGATTACAACTCAGTATCATTGTCAGTTCAGACAGAATGCTATATAAGACGAACAGTTCAAACACAATTCAAATTGGTAACCATGCCTCTAAAGTGGTCGCTTGTGACAAGACAGAAGACTGACTGACTGAGTTTGGTTTTACGCCGCTTTTAGCAATATTCCAGCAACATCACGGCGGGGACAAGACAGAAGAACCAACATGCCCTTGAGTGTGACCGTTGTCAGTGATGGACCCATCGTAGCTGTGACGCTAGTCTGTCGTATAGACCCTGAAGCAAATATATCCCCAAAATCCCGCACAAGTCTAGAAAATGTGGCAGGTCTAGATTTCCTCAGCTTCTGAAAATGAAGAAAGTCTCAGGGCTCTTTTTCATTATATTTTATATTTTTTTACTATGAACTTTTTTCAGTAAAATATGTTCATTTCAGAGACTAGTTGTTAGTCTACTGTGACGCAAACATGACCAGAGAGGAATACGTCCGTCTTTGCGACAGCGGGGAGGAATTTCACTTTCTCTGCCATGTTTGCTCTGAGCCCGAGTAGATTGCTGAAACTGTTAATATTCTGTTATGGGAATCGATTCCAAATATCTGTTATGGGAATCGATTCCACATATAATAAAACATTTGGAATATATCACAGTTTGTATGTTCTTATTTGAATTTTATCTATGACCCTTTTGACTTTTTCAGTTTTGGCCATTTTGACAACAACCCTTTCGGAAACACATTAAGATTGCGAAAACGTTTCAATGTCATCATGGGTCACTGTGTTCTTGGCGAGTAAGCAATATGCAACAACAACTCGCTTCCAATATCCGACGCACAGAGTAGAAATAGTATACGCTTTCCTCGCATGTATCACAGTGCAAGACAGTCTTTTCAATGTTGAGGCCCATGCTGAGGTTATCAGGCATAACCTGGCTTAGCCAATGCATAACCAGTGCTGTTGTAACATACGTCGTCCGGGTTATCTATAGAACACACAGGACAGACCGGCTTCGGCGTCACAGATCAAGAGGGACTCGGAGCCAGAGCACCATGGATGAACGGTCACAACCGTAAGTCGGGACACAACTTGTTAATACATTTATAAAGATGAGTTGCTTCATACTTAGGTCATGCAGGTTATAGATGTTTCTTTCACATTTGTTAATTTGGTAGAGTATGGAAGACCTACGCGCCATGGTTTGATTGACTTTGTCGATAAATCAATGCATGCTTAAATTTGTATTCCTGCTCCACGAAAGTCAGTCGTTTGTAATCATGGTTATAATACACAGAGAATGGAGTAACTCCCTTTAATGATTTTTCCTGATTGTTTTGTGCATCATAATGCTTATACTATGAATATATATATATATAATCTCAATCCATGAATATGTTTGTGGGTTTAAAAGTTAAATTACATTAGTGGTTTGGGTTATTCATCACATCTCGCTCTCATTTCTCGAGATTCTACAGAAATACTGTTAAGAGTGGCCTGAAGTCCACGTCACTCATATATTTTGTCACGTTTCACATGTTCTGTCTTCAGGTTAGAATATCCTAATTAACTTGTGCAAATATATATTCATTACAAATCTGTTACTTTTATTGACCCATTACGTGTGTGGTGCCCTCCAACCTACAATGGTCTTACGTATATAACGAGTGCGATTTCATTTGTAATATTTCTAGTTTGTGAACGGTTAGAATGTGTAACATTACTTCTATCTTAGGAAAAGCTCAACCCTAACAAGGTCAAACAACCACTAGTTCTGGTCGCTACATACGTATACTCGCCGTGGAAATAAGATCCGACAAGAGACGATAAGCTATCCATGAATGGTACTGTCACCCAATAGAAGCATGTCGTAGGCCATTGCGAAACAATGAGAACAATGTGTGTGTAGTATATCCTTGGTACATCTCCCTATCCCCGACATTCATCAACAGATGTCCCTTCCACACACATAAGAACATGTACGAGAACACGTTTTACGGATAACGACTTCTTTTCTATTCTGTATCACTCCAATGCATAGTCACGGGTCAGGGCTTTCATAACTGTGTTTATGGACATTTGTTCTAAAACAGAGAGATGATAGAAACATGAAATGGCACAAAAAGACGTATTTATCGCAGTAATGTCGGTGTGTTCGAGGAAATACATGGCGTGAGGTGGAAGTGGTTGACTTTGGAATGACAATCAACGAGTTAAATAATTTTTTCTGCCCTGGAAATTTCGGGGTTAAGACAAGTATTATTTTCGGCTACCAATTCGTTCAGAAGCAATAAAGAGGAAGATAACTTGGCTGAAATAGAAACAGACTTTGTACTATTCTGTATGCAGGAAATCCAGTAATTAACGTACCTGCGTGTGTGAATGAGATGATTATGTGTGTACTTACACTGCGTCTTCAGCGACCCATGCTTGTCATAAGAAGCGACTGACGGGATCGGGGGGTCAGGCTCACTGACTGGGCTGACACATGTCATCGGTTCCATTTGCGTAGATTGATGCTCATGCTGTTGATCACTGGATTATCTGGTCCAGACTTGATTATTTACAGACCGCCACCACATAACTGGAATATTGCTGAGTGCGGCGTTAAACAACAAACTCACCCACACTGCAGACATACGAGGCAGTCAAGTAACATCTTTGAGAGGCATTTAGAAAGTGGAGTACTAAGGAAGGATAAGAGTGTATGGATGTGACAATCAAGTGGCAGACTACTCAAACAATAGCATGTTCACTGATTACTTTAATATATTGCAGTGGCCCACATGATTTTATGAAATATCTATGTTTTTCAGACTATCGGCCCGGCTGGTTATGCCGCTAGCGGATTTGTCCAACTCCACACTACTGACTGTGTCTGTGATGTCACCAGCATACCCCGTCCCTGAACACTACATCATCCTGGCTATCGGTCACATCCTTCTGACACTGTGGATCTGCTTCTCCAACATCTCCACCATCATCACCATCGGGATGGACTCTCATCTCAGGACAGTCCCCAAGAACCTGCTCATCATCAACTCAGCAGCAACAGAACTCATCGTCGGCCTCTTCTGTTGTCCGTTGTATACAGACAGTCTTCTCCACGGAACTTGGAGGAACTCCCGAGGAGCTTGCATCACCTATGAGCTTGTATTCTACATCCAAGTCTGCATTTCCGTCTTGTCAGTCCTCGTCATTAATGTCGAGCGATTCTACTATCTCTTGTCTCCCCGTATGATGGATGGTTCTGGGAAGGGTATCCTCACCTCAGTTCTCATCCTTCTTCCTTGGGTTATTGGCGTAAGTCTTGTAACTCCAATGTACTCTGAAGGAATCGCCATGAACAACCTCCAGACTACAGACGCTGGGCACTGTGTCATTCTCTGGAAATGGAAATTCCAGATAGTCACCTGCTTTGCCAGTTTCTTTGCCCCTTCATTTCTGGTGATATCAGTGATGACAACAGTCGTCATTGTCTACGTCATCTTTGGGATTCTGGCCAAGAGAGGAAACAGGGAAGTGGACACTGTGGAGAAGCCTTGCAGAGAGTCTCTACACACGGTCCTTCTGGCCAGTTTTGTGTGTGTGGGTATGCTGTTCCCAGTCTTCTTCTGTCTCCTGATGTACCTGTTCTGCAACCCCAACAACTCGTCCTGTATCAGGTCGGACACTGTGTGGGGGATCACCATGTATCTTGCGATGATCAAATCTGGGGCGATGCCTCTAGTGTGGCTTGTTTCAACTGATATCCGTCATGCAGTGTTATCAATGTGGAACAGGAACAGGTGTACACCCAGACAGACCTTGCAGAGATCCTACAGCTATTCATTATCACTTGCTTCATCTTCACCAAACACAGTTACTAGCTTCTAAACCTTGGATCACAAATGTCACGACAGACTTCTAGTCATGGATGGAAGTCAGATGAACTTGTTTACATTAGGTGATTAGATACAGATACACCTGCCATAATATACTGCTATTTTCATGACTATAAAGGAAAATGGAGGTACAAGTTTCTAATATTGTGAGAATGCATGTCATATGAGATTTTTATCATTCACTTTGTCTTTTTGAAAGAATAAACCTGAAGATGAATAGAAATAAGTTTAATCTTGTTTCTTTGAGTATTAGGTCAAGCGATTTACTGGAAGAGCTGTGAAGATAAGAATTTACTTTATTCACTGGCATATAGTGAGTGAGTGAGTTTAGTTTTACGCCGCACTCAGCAATATTCCAGCTATATGGCTTCAGTCTGCAAATTATCGAGTCTGGACCAGACAATCCAGTGATCAACAGCATGTACATCGATCTACGCTAATGGGAACCGATGACATGTGTCAACCAAGCCAGCGAGCCTGATCCCGTTAGTTGCCCCTTACGACAAGCATGGGTTACTGAAGGTTCATTCTAACCCGGACCTTCACGGGTCCACTGGCATATAATATGAAAACTTGGCATCAGTGACTCATTGCTGTCAATCCTTCAGAACTTTAACATCAGACGGAAAACAGTCCTACATTTAAATAATTAAGACACTGTTTCCCTCAAACTATTGAGTGTTCTTCTTTTCATAGTTTTCAACGGAATTGCAGAATTGTGACTATAAAGAAGTACCGTAATAAGAGCAAATACGTGCCAAGGCTCTGTAGCTCACCCTGATATAATGAGAATGTCATGACCTGTAAGAGGACAACATCCAATTAGTATAGACGGATTTTCCAATATGCATGAATATTCTGGACTATAAGATCTAAAAATAGCCTCATGTCAACATTGATGAAAATCAGATTAAAGTCTGTCATCACTGTTGTTTCCATACCTTACACAGACTTGAATTTGCTTTGGTCTCATTGCTCCAAAAGTTGAGAATAATTATACAATGCTTCAACAGGTCATCAAGCAGGTTATTGTGTTAGCTGACTTGACATTCAGTCAGGTGAACCATACAGACAAAAGTCCTTGTCAAGTCAGTCTACCAATGTAATGCCCTCATCAGCATGGACACTTGAATAAAGAGAAACAATCACATATAAAGACAATATTTCATTTATTCAACAGCAATACAAAATGTCAATAGCAGCAAAAATGTATTTCTGCCCAGTTCTACATCTTTCAGAACATACTGACCGAGGACTAGTTCCCATCCTTAGTTTACAGAAAAGCAGTCTTCACATATTAATTTCTAAATATTCACTGTAGATGTTCATATATATTGTTGAGGCCATTTCTTATCATATTCCATAAAAAGATTTACATTTTACATACTCTGTGTTTTCGCATTGTCTGTGTTTCTTGAAACATTTAAAGAGTGTTAATGTAATATGTCAGCATAGTGCTTCCACAGGACACAACATGGGCAGTTATGATCATACACATATTGAGTATAGGGTTCCGCAAGGAGTGGGTGAGTGAGTATGGTTTTACCCCGCTTTTAGCAATATTTCAGCAATATCACGGTGGGGGACACCAGAAATGGGCTTCACACATTGTACCCAGGTGGGGAAATGAACCCGGGTCTTTGGTGTGACGAGCGAATGCTTTAACCACTGAGCTACCTGACCGCCCCTATTCTGCAAGGATGTTGTAGAGAATTCATCAGTGTTTGTAAAACAAGCCAGTTACTTGTAATATTGCCATAGCCATGTTCGAAATCAACAATGTATTGAAACAGAAACGTTGGAAGACAGCTTTGTTGCTACCCACTTGTTCAGTGGGTGAGTGGCGTAGTGAGTCAGCAAGTGAGTGAGGGAATGAGTGAGTGGTTGTGAAGGGATATTAGTGTGGTGGAGAGACTAAAGCTTACTCTCTGAATATATATATATATATAAATTTGATAGTAACAAATAAACCCATTTAAATTGAAAAGGAGCCCCAGTGAGATGGGAGATTCAGAACCTGACGGAATCTAGACTTGCTTCTTCTAGGGCTTTAGCATTGCAGGGAGGCTAGGCAGTAGGGGAAATAATGTGGTTCAGGGACTGTGAGACAGACTATGTGGCGGAGTGAGCAGCGAGTGAGTGAGGGAATGGGTGAGTGATTGTGCAGGGCTATAAGTGTGGTGGAGTGAGTGAGGGGAGGTTCAGCAGATGCATGGGTGAGTGATTGGGTGAGCATTGTGTAGTGCTTGAAAGAATATGTATTGTTTGCTGATCCTTGCAAATCTGCAGCACCAGGAAACAGCACCACCAAGAACACATTACAACCATATGAGGAATCAAACCCAGGTCTTCAACATGACAAGCAAACACCTTAACCACAAAACTACCCAATCAGCAAGGAACACAGAACAGTTAATGTACCAGTAAGTAACTGCCAGATGGAGTGTAATTAATCACAAACTGGTACATCATGATACAAGATACAATGCAAAGCAATACAAGCATATGTGAGTTGACACGTAAAGTTGTACTTGTACACATTCTGTTTGTATGTACAAGTGTCTTAAGCAATAGAAGTGACACTAACATACTGAATGACTTTTACTACTTTTCAGTAACTCTGATGAAAATGTTTATTTGCAATTTAAAGGCCAGACCAGTTTTATTTCTTGCTTTACAGATTGTTGTACTCAGAAAACCTAAAGGCAGGAGGGAACAAAATAAAAATAAATAAATACTAAAAGTACTTTACCTTTTGCAATTTATGAAGTGTATATGGGGCAAAACACAATCTAAAAAAAAACTTTTCTTGTAAATTTACATTTTTGACCAATAAAACATTAAGATTTTATTTTTGGAGTGGGGAAAATTAACTTTTATTTTTGTTCATGTTCTTTAAAAAGTACAACGGGCGGATCCGTAAAACAAGAAAACAACTGGTCTGGCCTTAATACCAAATATGAAACATATCTTTAAAGTTTTATCTGTACCTACCCTGATACTGATGTTATTAAAGAATGCTAAACTGGCCTAACACATTGCCATGTTATGCTATTACGGTACTAACTTACATTATCGATTTTGCAAAAGGACCAATGAACAAAACAGTCTGTCATGTTCAGTATTGCATTGAACAAAACATCAAATAGGCTTGTATGTAAGAAAAGAAGAAAATCCCAATATGGACCAAAATGATCTGTTTTTTCCATGTTATCTGTCAAGGGCACTTAGTTTGGAAGCCTAGATAAATCCCTGATAAATATCTTACTGAGATATCTATCACAATGAAGTGTATTGTTACATACCTAGCAACTACATCACCTTACATATAGATACTTTGGTAGCACTTGAATGTATGAAATTACAAAATAATGTACAAGAAAACAATAGATTCATGAATAAAAACACACACAAAAAAATACAGCAAAGATTCAAACAGTACTTAAATTTGCTCTGAAATATGGTAATGATTACTAAATAACAAAATGAAGTGAGTGAGTGAGTGAGTTGGGTTTACGCTGTATATGTTGGCAAATCAATAATCATGATCAGGGCATATCTGTAGTTTAAAACACATTGATCAGCTTCTGTCATGTCTCAGAATCAAAAGGCTACATTCTGGATGCAAAATGACAATAAATAAGGTGGGATGAGCCCAAGAAAGCAGGTATCGAGTGTTGGACGTCAATGCTGAGAGCCCCTTGGACTGAGAGTCCCTTGCTTGATCTCATGTTAACTTAACCACAAAGAAACTCTTTATTTTGCAGTGATATACATGATTTAATATATTTACATGAAAAAGCTGATACAAATTTGGATATTAAAAACTTTTGTCTGTGATTGCTGTTTACAATTTTTCTCAAAATCACTTTTGTAAAGGTGATGTGTTACATAAATTTATGTACTATTCCAGTTCTCTGTAGGGAGATATACTAGCATCTCTTCATGTTAACAGGTGAAGGGTAAACATTTGACAAGATCAAGTTAAGGCAAAACCAGTCTGCTACATGACAGGGTCTGCTGGTGCTGGTTGCTGTGTTGATGTTGGTGGTGCTGGTGCTCATGCTGGTGGTGTTGATATTACGGTTGCTGATGTTGGTTGGTTTGTTAGTGGTGTTGTTTTTAGCACTGTTGCTGTTGGAAACCAGGTTTTGTCTGGAGTTGATAATGGTCATTATTATATGACCGGTAGATTTCCGCCCTGCTGATTGGCCCACTTGGTCACATGACAGCTTTGACGCTAAGCGATGTCAACCTAGCCACGTCACGAGAGGTTGATATAACAATCCAAGAACCTCCTGTGGTTAAAAACAGATTTGGGATATTCTGTGTGTCACGCTAGATAAGGAAGCGATAGGCATCACTTCGTCCCTGTGACTGTGTTGGTTTAGAGTTACGTCCCATCTGTATCATAATGGCTGCACCTCTGGGTCATGTGCAACACCATCGGTGGTATGCTATGTGACAGAAGAACAGGTATTCAGTACTTTTGTCATATCATAAAACAACTGTTGACTTCAGTTCGGTTGATCCAAGATTTATCGATCTTGGTCATGTGATACTCACATCGGCTTCACCTCGGTGAATATCACATGTCCAAGGTCGATAAATCATTGGGTCAACCTGAATAGAAGTCAATAATTGTATAAGGTCAACTTGATGTTATTGATGGTGGTGTGGATGTTGTTTGACTTGTTGACAGTGTTGTTTTTAGCTCTGTTGCTGTTGGAAGAGTGACGTTGTTTGGAGTTGATAGTGGTCAAGCTTGACTTGATGTTTATGTAACTGATGGTGGTGTGGATGTTGATGGTGCTGATTGTGGGGTACTGATGTATTTGACTTCTTGACAGTGATGATTTTAGAATCTTTGCTGTTGGTAGCTAGGTGTTGTGTCTGATCGATGTTGGTTGTGTTCGTGTATTGTTTGACAACAGCCAGTCTGTTACACGCTACCCACTAGGGTTGTGCCAGCACTGGTAGACAGGTGTTGTGTGGGTGGAACGTTGGTTGTGTAGGTGTATGTTTAGTAAGTCGACCAGTCTGTTACACGCTACACGCCAGGGTTGTGCCGACACTGGTAGACAGGTGTTGTGTGGGTGGAACGTTAGTTGTGTAGGTGTATGTTTAGTAAGTCGACCAGTCTGTTACACACTACACGCCAGGGTTGAGGGTTGTGCGGCACTGGTAGGCAGGTGTTGTGTGGGGTGAACGTTGGTTGTGTAGGTGTATGTTTAGATAAGTCGACCAGTCTGTTACACACTACACGCCAGGGTTGTGCCAGCACTGGTAGACAGGTGTTGTGTGGGGTGAACGTTGGTTGTGTAGGTGTATGTTTAGATAAGTCAACCAGTCTGTTACACGCTACACGCCAGGGTTGTGCCGACACTGGTAGATAGGTGTTGTGTGGGGTGAACGTTGGTTGTGTAGGTGTATGTTTAGATAAGTCGACCAGTCTGTTACACGCTACACGCCAGGATTGTGCTGACACTGGTAGATAGGTGTTGTGTGGGGTGAACGTTGGTTGTGTAGGTGTATGTTTAGATAAGTCGACCAGTCTGTTACACGCTACACGCCAGGGCTGCGCTGGCACTGGTAGACAAGTGTTGTGTGGGGTCAACGTTGACACTGTTGACCACAACTCTCTGCACACAGCCTTGCATGCTGATTTGTGATACTTGTGTCTGGAAGGCTAGTCCTTGGACTGAAACAGCAATAACACATTACGATGTATATTAAATGGTTTTAACACACTATTCAGTCATGTTTTACAAAAACAATTCCTCAAGGTTTTAACACACTATTCTTTGATATATTTAAGAAATACAGTTCGCTCTACCACCATGTATAGTGTAATAAAGCAAATTTTCGCCCTGAACTATTATAGTTAAAGCACGAGGACACTGCCAATGTAAGTTTAGATCAGTACATCCAGTTCGCTCTACCACCATGTATAGTGTAATAAAGCACATTTTCGCCCTGAACTATTATAGTTAAAGCACGAGGACGCATGCGTCCGAGTGCTTTAATGTTGTAATAGTTCAGGGCGAAAGTGTGCTTTATTACACTATCCATGGTGGTAGAGCGAACTGTATTTCTTTTCTAAGATGCCAAATTTAATACTTTCGAATGATAATTACGATAAATCTAAGGCAGTGTCGGTGAGCTAAGTTAACATTCCTCGCACAGGGCTAACTGACGCGCTGTTCTATTGACGTGTCTCTACCCCTACGTTAAGACGAACGTTACGAGAAAAACAAATGATATACAGTTTGATGACGGTTTACGTTGGGGTTAAATATGTTCTCTAAATTATTTTAATTACATCTGTGATTGACATAAACCATGTGGGGCAATATGGACATTGCTTTTCTACTACCAATGTAAGTTTAGATCAGTACATCCAGATAAAGCTGACTAGTCATGTGACATTTCACGATTGCATTGTGGGAATCTAAACATTGCGAACGTTACCATGTCGCTGTAAAATTGTGAGTCAAACTGAGACATTTTATCCGTCGGAAAACACGAACGTAATGTTTCCACCAGTGATGTTAGCCGAGTGAAGCAGCTACAAACCAAGAAACAGGGTGCTACTTTGTAGTTTACTGTAGGAGGCTGTACGAGGCGATGACAACTGACATGCATCGTGATGTCGCTTACATTGTGATGTAATGCAAAAGTGTTCGATTACGAGGTAGCAGACTAGAATGGCGCAGTGACGCCAATACATTGTGATGTAATGCAAAAAGTGCACATTATCGTCTGATAAAGTACTGTCGGCGCCTTTGATCTTTCACCGAAGCATCTTAGAATACCAAACAATACGTAAAAGGTTTTATCAAACACTATCCTGTGATGTCTTATCAAACACTATCAGAGAACTGCCAACATATGACTGAAATATTGTCAATGTATCTTATATTTCTTCTCAATCACTGTTTGGAAAAGAATTCATGTCTCATCACTAATTATTCATGAATATTTAATTAGGCGCTACAAATGACCTTCTTACACATTGTTACTAGACACATTATAACACATCATTTCCTATAAGAGTTCTTAGACATCTCCTGTTATTACTGGACTTGACACAATCACACACTATTACTAGACATTGTATCACACACTATTACTAGACATTGTATCACACACTATTACTAGACATTGTATCACACACTATTACTAGACATTGTAACACACACTTTTACTAGACATTGTATCACACACTTTTACTAGACATTGTACCACACACTATTACTAGACATTGTACCACACACTATTACTAGACATTGTATCACAAAGTACTACTAGACATTGTACCACACACTATTACTAGACATTGTATCACAAAGTATTACTAGACATTGTATCACACACTATTACTAGACATTGTATCACACACTATTACTAGACATTGTACCACACACTATTACTAGACATTGTATCACAAAGTATTACTAGACATTGTACCACACACTATTACTAGACATTGTATCACAAAGTATTACTAGACATTGTATCACAAAGTATTACTAGACATGTTTTGTTTGTTTGTTGTTTAATGCAGCATTCAGCAATATTCCAGCTACTATATTCCAGTATATGGTGGCGGTCTGTAAATAATCGAATCTGGACCAGGCAATCTTGTGATCAACAGCATGAGCATCGCTCTACGCAACTGGGATACAATGACTTCTGTCAACTAAGCCAGCAAGCCTGACCAGCAAATCCCATTAGTCACCACTTACGACAAGCATGGGCTGCTGAAGATGAATTCTAACCTGGATCTTGGACCTCACACTAGACATGATATCACACAACATTACTTGACATGATATCACACAACATTACTTGACATGATATCACACAACATTACTTGACATGATATCACAGAATATTACTAGACATGATATCACAATATTACCAGACATTATATCACACAATATTACTAGACATGATATCACAGAATATTACTAGACAGTTTATCACATACCATGAAGTCCCCCGACTGCAGCTATTCCGTTTGCTATTGTTGGCATGGTGAAGCCAGCTGGGTAGGAGGACACCATGTTGGGGCTACTGTCCACCTGGATCTGCACCCCAGAGGCGGTCAGTTGGAAGAGGTATGTGTGGGGCTGACCATCACAGAAGTTGGTGAGGTCAGAACTGATCACAGTGAAGGCTGAGCCAGCATTTGACCCCACAGTGACTCTGATCTGAAATAGGTACAGGTACTGTACAGTACACAGGAAGATACTGAAGCGGATCCACATATTCCATGCAAACATTTGCAAAAGATTGTGTTTGGTGCTGACACACCCAGCATAATTTGGTTTCTGTGTTGTTTAACACTTCACTCAGCAATATTCCAGCTATATGGTGGCGGTCTGTAAATAATTGAGTCTGGACCAGACAATCCAGTGATCAACAGCATGAGCATCAATCTACACAAATGGGATACAATGACATGTGTCAACCAAGTCAGTGAGCCTGACCAACCAATCCTGTTAGTTGCCTCTTACGACAAGCATGGGTTACTGAAGACCAATTCTAACGCAGATCTTCACGGGTACAATCTACTGTGTGTAGGAGGGGTTTATAAGCCCGTTAATTGCCTCTTACAACAAGCATGGGTTACTGAAGATCAATTCTAAAATGGATCTTCACAGGTAGCATTATTTGGAACTGAATATCATGGCCCAAGAGTTACTGACAATGTACACTCTTTTGTATATACTCCTAGGCCAAATGTAGAGATAACATCATTATCAGGTAATATGATACACCAGGCCTTATCACCCATACTGCATATCCTGATACATTCTGTGTCTAGTTCCACATTGACAAGAATCTCTAGAGGGTGGGAGTTGTCATACCAATTACTGGATAACGCTTTCACTGCTGCGGAGAGATCCTAAAAGATAGGGACTTTTCTAACATTTGGCCTAGGACTGTATATATTTACTGTCCATCCCATCTTCTTGGACTGTGTTTGTTCCCAAATTAAATAATATGTATACCTAAGTGCAATAATAAGTGAGGGTATTCTGAGTTAAACAACTAATTTCCAGACCAGTTTATACATACATTTGTGTCACACACTAAAGAAGCCACAGTTTCATTGAGAATTAATCTCAGCCATATCTCACATGATGTTTCTGCAATCCTTACCCTGTATTCCATGGTATCTAGCGCCACAAAAAGGTTCTGGCCACCATAGATGTAGAAGAGCATGGCAGATGGCTGTATGTTTGTGACGGTCAGCTGGACGGTCAGTTGTCCTGATATTGTCTGTGAACCTGGTGGTTGGTAGAATCAGATATCTCACTAAACATAGCTCTGCATTACTTATGTTACAAGTCAGTTTTCTTTTCGGGCAATCAAGTAATGGTATCTAACTTGTCCGTGGGCTACTAGATAATTTCCACTTATTGTTTCAAACTGCAAATAAACTTGGATTTAATTTCACATCTGCTCAAAATGTAGCTATTAAATTTCGCAATGATAATAAAGTAGAGTTATCTTTCTTTGCTATTTATCACTTTTCAATAAATAGTGGGGTGGTGGGGTAGTCTAGTGGTTAAAGCGTTGGCTCGTCACGCCGAAGACCCGGGTTCGAATCCCCACATGGGTACAATGAGTGAAGCCCATTTCTGGTGTCCCCCGCCGTGATGGAGCTGGAATATTGCTAAAGCGTCATAAAACCAAACTCAGTCATTCAGTCAGTCAATAAATAGTCCAGTAAACACTAACATCAAATACCATATTGATTTATTCTTTCATAATTACATCATCATGATTATTTCATAAAATTAGGGCAAGTGGAAAATTAGTCAGGACAAGTTACTTCCTTTAAGTCACTTGCCCTGTGGCAAGTGACTTTTAAATTTTTTTTTTGATCCCTTGTCTAAATGTATGTATATGGATACAGCTACCATTATGGACACACTGTACCCAACTAACTCACCAATCTGGATGTATGACTTCACTCCGCTCAGGGAAACCCCATACGTAGCTTGCAGAGGGACGTCAAATACGTTGTTGACTGTTATTGCAGCATCAGTGTTTGTCTTCCTGAAAAGTTGACATGGAGTTTAAGAGCTGTTTTCATAATGGGTACTAAGCCGGAACCATAAAAGCATCAGAGGATCATAAGAGCCACAGCCAGATATCATATTTAATATTGGACAAACTTTTAATCTTTTGTTTTTATTCACCATTTGTTTTAGGTACAAAACCATGATATCAAATAACAGTCAAATATAACCATGCATATGTATACAGAGTTTGGCAAGCATATTATAACAAATGATATTGTAGGAAAATGGGTCGGTTGTACGTTAGTATCAATCAAACAATTGGTGACAATCAGACCAGAATCCAACAAATTTGGTAAAATTACAAGAAGAGAACTTTACTTATTTCATTTCTGATCATATCGAAGCTTGGTGTACAAGTATATATTTGAATTTTAAAAAGAGCAAAATTTGACAACTGTTATCAGGAGATTAAGGACATCGTTCCTTTTATCAGAGAATCCAAATATGTTTTTTTTCTTATCGATATTCAATGTGATATCTGTTTTTGTTCTTATTCAATTGGAAGATTGATTCCATATGTTTTTAGATTTTTGACAGTCGTAAAAGAGATGAATTCCACTTTCTGGTGCATTTTTACAAAATGAGCATAACTTACTCGCCACATACCCCATCTTAAACAAAAGTAGGTTTATTGACAAGATTCTATGCACTAAAGAACATTGGAACCATCTTAAATCTGAGTTTGTATGAGCTCGAAATATAATCTTTTGATAGGATTTCCATTCTTTTTCACTTATATCTGTTTCAAGTTCATCTTCACATTTCTTTTTATAGCTATACATAGCAGAGTCTGAAATTGGAATAAGTATATCATAATATGCCCTACGGCCTTTCTTAGTTTTAAAGATGTCTTGTATGTAATAGGGAATAAATGGTAATTCAAATTTTTCTCCAAATGGTATGTTGTATGTTTAATAACATTGTTTGACTGCTCTTACTAGGCTTGCATATTCAAAGAAGTTCGTTTTTAAGTAAACTCTGTCAAAAAAGAAACGCAACCCCTGTATTTTAGAGATTTTGATCTGAAGTTTTAGGATGACACGGCATTTTTATTATTTAAGACAGAAGTCTGAAATTTGGCAGAATAATAACCCAGATGGGCATGTTTAAAATTGTCATTTCAAAAGTCATCTCACAGACACCAGTTTGTCACCAGGGGGGCGTCTGTCTCAGTATCTCGTATGAGCACCACGCGCTGCAATCACTGCACGGCATCTCCTTGGACAAGAACGGATAAGACGCCGGATTCTTTCCTCGGGAATGGCTCTCCACTCCTCCTGCAGTGCAACGGCGAAGCTGTTGCAGCGCCTGTGGCGGCGGCTGACGCTGACGTATCGCGCCGATCCAGAGTATCCCACAGGTGTTCAATAGGGTTGAGGTCTGGTGATTTAGAGGGTCATGGCAAGACATTGACGCTTGGAATTCTGCAGAAAGTTCATTGTTGCACGCGGTAGTATGAGGCCGGGCGCTTGTCCCGTTGAAAAATCTGTGTCTGTTGGTCAATAATCGGGAGAAGGTGAAGCTCTAACACGTGGTTGATGTAACGTTGGGCTGTCAGGTTCCCTGGAACGATCACCAAGTCAGATTTCTGGTTGTATGAGATGGTTCCCCAAACCATGACGCTTTCTCCGCCAAATCTGTCCACCTGTCGGACGCAGATGGGCGCTAAACGCTTATGACGCCTCCTATACAGACGCTGTCTTCCGTCGTGACGCTGCAAAAGAAAACGCGATTCATCAGAAAACCAGATTCGCCTCCAGTTTTGTAAAGTCCGTATCCTTACGCTTGTTGCACCACCTGAGTCGCCGGGCGCCGATGTAGGGGCGTAGTACAGGTCCAACAACTGGTCTACAGGCACGTAAACCCGCTTCTTTCAGACGGTTCCTAATCGCTTGAGCTGACACTCTCCTCAAACCTGGTATTTGTGTGGCAGTCACGGTTGGTAGGGCATGCCGATTACGCAGGTGATGGACCCGGATGTACCGATCTTGAAGGGGGTCGTGATTCTGGCCTTCCACTTCTCGGGCGCATCGTTGGTCAAATTGAAGTTGTTGTAGCGGCTCCAAAGTCGGATATCGTTGTTTTGTGAACATTTAGGTGCCGCAAACAGTTCCAAAACTTTCTCCGGCTTGAACACGACCAATGGCGATATTTCGGTCGGCAGCACTCAATCGTGGCATTTTTAACACAGCTTTTCGGGCGACAAATGAATGAATATAATACGGAAGCACATGGGCTTTTATACACCCCTACATTAACTGCCATTTTCATGATTTGCATGTGTTTTTTTTGTGCGAAGTCACCATGAGGGTCATTTCATGCGTTATGACGGAATAAGCAATAAAATACACTTATGCGTACAAATGCAGTTGTTTGGATGGTAATCTTCATTAATTACGTGTATCATTTCAATACATTCGAATAAAATTTAGTTTGGAAGCAATAACTTCATTCAAACGAATTTTTCATATCTGAGGACAGGGGTTGCGTTTCTTTTTTGACAGAGTTTATTTTCTAGTTTGCTCATGAAACTTCTGATATGTATAGATTGTTCCATCAGTATCTATCAAGTCATTTACATATGTTATGCCTATTTTAGCGTAGTGTTGGTACACAAATGTTTTTTTATCCAAGAGAAATTTTTCATTGTGCCTTAAACATTGCGATAAAATATCATTGCCCTGAACAACTTTATTATTTTTCAATGACGTATAGAAACTCCATGCTAAAAGTGCGTCTTTCCAAAAACAGTTTGCTTTTTATTTATAACTCTTTGTTTTATAAATGTTTCTCCCTTCAGCAGGATAACTTGTATGTTTTGTGAAACATCGTAGGAAAAGATGGCAGTCAATTTAGAGTCTTTTAAAAATATTCTTTTAAACCATGCAATTTTTTTTAGCATTGATGGTCTGTTTTAAGTTGAACAAACTTTATGGATAACAAGTTCTTTATTTCATGAGTGCGATGTTTCGATACAGATTCTTGTACCGTTGTCAAGCAGGAATGACAACGGTACAAGAATCTGTATTTAAATGTTGCACTCACGAAACAAAGAAGTTGTTATCCATAAAGTCTATTCAATATTGTATGTTCCAACTTCTAAAATGCCACTCAAACAAGTTATATGACGTTCATAGCCATATATCGACCCATTTATTTTCTTTGCCAGTGGAAAAAATCAATGCCTCTTAAAATGATGGTTTAAATAATACATACATGTATATGCTTACATATTTATGCTTCATAATACACATAGTTTCTGTATGATTGTTTTAACCTTTATTTTTGATGTCACCACAAACAACATTTTTCTTCGTATTTTTCATCCGTTTGTTTTGCCTGACAATCTGTATCTGGAACCGATGACATGCTCCAGAAACAAAATAATTACGGCCGGACGAGGCGTTGACTACATCCCCTGCATTATATGGCGGGGCAAATAACAAAACTAATGTCTCCGGTACACATTTTCCAATGCTATTCTTTCTTCTGAAAAAAAACTACAGCATTATTATTTCATGAACCACTACTGTCTTTGGAGAGCATAGAACTTACTGGAATCTATAGGTTCGGGTGCCTACTCTGTTGGAATGTACAACTGTTTCATAGATGGCGCCCCCTGGAAGTCAGGTACGGGGGGCTGAAGAAATAACACATGCAAATATGTAAATGCGGAGACAGAGGAGACACACAGACAATGTCCTTCCTTGTACAGGAATATAGGGTATACATGTTCTATATGTGGAATAGACATTTGTAGTGTCAGTGAGTATAAACATAGAACTTGAGACTTCTTAAGAGCATTGGAAGAGAGTTTATAAACCTATATCCGAGTTTGTCTGTAGTAGAGTAGGTTCCTTCAGGTAGACCTCTGCTGTGACATTGCACTTATCATTTCGAAACCTAGGTTTTGAAGTACACGTTTAAATTTCGACCATTTCATAACCTAGGTTTTGAAATGATCGTTATGTAACCTGATATGAGGTTTTGAAATGACCATTATTTATGATTGATACAACTTTGTCTTGCTATCACTGATTGTAAAATATCACATTATTGAAAACTTCCAATATATAGTGGTGATAATTGGTTTCGAACCTGCAACCCTTCGCTCTCTAGCTTGGCGGTTTTATCCACTAGGCTACGAAGGATCGCTGTGAAGAATGAGATTGTTTGTCAGTATGAATCATGTGTTCCTCACAAGATGGGCACTGCAGGCAGCGCACGTGCAGGACACAGGTAGCGCGCGCAGACCACGTGCGAGGCAAGGTGTTGGCTGCCAGTCGCATCCCAGTTGACACTGGCTGTTCCATCATTTGCAGGCTGTGCCATCAATGTTGTTCTTCTCAGTACAGGTACACAAAACATTTGCACAAATTTAACATAATACATATTTGTGTTTTACATTAATGACGGTTCGTAAGTCGGATAAAACACTCATCCTCGGTTTTGGTAGCAAATGTAAACCCCTCGGGATTTTCCAGACTCCAAGGGTTTACATTTGCTACGAAAACCGAGGATGAGTGTTATATCCTTTATGGGAATTGTCACTGCTTGAGAGTAAGCAAGTATAAACATGGGAATTGTGACTGTCTAAGAGCATTGTTAAGGAGTATATTAAAACATGGGACTTGTGATTGCCTTCCAGCAGTGTGAGGGAGTATAAACATGGGAATTGTGACTGTCTAAGAGCATTGTTAAGGAGTATATTAAAACATGGGAATTGTGATTGCCTTCCAGCAGTGTGAGAGAGTATAAACATGGGAATTGTGACTGCTCACCAGCACTAGGAGGGAGTATAAACATGGGAATTGTTACTGCCTTCCAGCAGTGTGAGGGAGTATAAACATGGGAATTGTGATTGCCTTCCAGCAGTGTGAGAGAGTATAAACATGGGAATTGTGATTGCCTTCCAGCAGTGTGAGAGAGTATAAACATGGGAATTGTGATTGCCTTCCAGCAGTGTGAGAGAGTATAAACATGGGAATTGTGATTGCCTTCCAGCAGTGTGAGAGAGTATAAACATGGGAATTGTGATTGCCTTCCAGCAGTGTGACCTTCCAGCAGTGTGAGGGAGTATAAACATGGGAATTGTGACTGCCTTCCAGCAGTGTGAGAGAGTATAAACATGGGAATTGTGATTGCCTTCCAGCAGTGTGAGAGAGTATAAACATGGGAATTGTGACTGCCTTCCAGCAGTGTGAGGGAGTATAAACATGGGAATTGTTACACCAGGATTTGTGACTGCCTAAGAGCATTGTTAAGGAGTATAAACATGGGAATTGTGACTGCTCACCAGCATTGTAAGCGATGACCTTGTGGTTGGTGTTATCACCCAGCCGACAGTGATGTTATTGATGCTGCTCCAGATGGCAGGTGCAGATGTGTTTCCCCCAACGTTGTTGACAAAGTCTTTTCTTTTATTTTCTATGAGAACTGCGTATGTTCCATATATGAGAAAATCCACCTGAAACCCAACAACATGTGGATGTAAACATTTCCAGCTATACAATGACCTTAAATGTTTTACAGAATATGGCCTTCTTCAACCCCTTTTAGGTAAAACCTTTTGAGAGATTTTCCTTACAGATTTCTATCATGCATAAATAACAAAAAGTGAAATAAAAACCAAAAAAGTTTTCATTTTGTATTTTACAAACTGCAATCTTACATGTACACTAGTGCAAGAAACAAGGAACATGATCAACTAGTCAGCAAGCCAACTAGTCAAACTTAAACAAAATCTAAACAATTCACAGAAAGTCATAGTCATTGTGATAGGCACATAAACAAATATTACCCATCTTTTAGCTCACTGGAAACAAAATTCAAAATTACGTACCATATAACGAACACCATCATTGTATGTGAACCCAGAAGTTAAAGCCGAGGTGAAGCTTGTTCCCTTGAGATCAAGATGGATCCGTCCTGTTTTCATGTATACGAGCAGCCACTGAGTGGGCATGGTTGCGGAGTCTGACGCCAGGAACAACAGCCCGTTAGACCCGTAGGACTGGAAGTCCACAGTTAAGGACAATCTGGAAGGAGAACAAAGGACAGCATGACCATTTTATTGTGGTCTTAGACAATTAGGGTGCTTCAAAGTGAATTAAAATTAAAGAATAATTTGTGTAGTTCAATATTTTCTACCATCTGACTCCTGGATTCTTCTGTTTATCAGAAAATTAGTGACACTGAAATTAGGTACTGTAGCTCACCTGTATGTGGAGTCAATGTTTTAGAATGGCAACAAAGACAGAGATGCCAAGAATAAAAATACTGGCACTGAGGACTTAGATATAATGATATGATTTTATGTATGATTTAGATATTATATTCTCAGAAGAAACATACACGTGAAAGCTTAGTTCCCTCAGCCAAAAGTCTGGGTTTTTTTTAGAATTAAAGAGTTTTGGTGTAAATTAAAATTTTACTCCTAAAAAACCCAACAGGAATAAAATGAAATTTTAATAGGAAAAAAATGTCAATACAAATGTATGAATAATGGGTAAACAGATTTAAGTGAGCTAAGAAATGAAAGAAGACACTTGTTTGTAATGTATGTGCATAAAGTGTAAAAGTGAATGAGTGAGTTGGGTTTTACGCCGCTTTTAGCAATATTCCAGCAATATCATGGCGGGGGACACCAGAAATGGGCTTCACATATTGTACCCATGTGGGGAATCGAACCCGGGCCTTTGGCATGACGAGCGAACGCTTTAACCACTAGGCTACCCAACCGCCCCTATAGTGTAAAAGCCCAAAGTATCTGTTTAATTATAAATTTTAGACCTTTTGGTAAGCTTAGGGTGCATCAAACAAATAAAAATAGAGAAGAAATTTGTATATTGGAATCAGTATTGGATACACCATTGTAACGAAGTAATTACTTCAAGTTATCTGAGGTTTGACACAATCGTATATTGATGACTAAATTAGGAATATACAGGGACGTAGGTTTGAGATCAGAAATGTTTGACAGCATCTATTTTACGCAACCTGACTTCATTCATGTTGATCAGTTATTAGAAAAAAACCCATAAAAGTCATGACTGTTCAGGTTATTTCTAAAAACCCAGGACCAAGAATAAAATCATAGCACTAAAAATATTACTCTTCTAACACATATTCATAAGAGTTCCTACTTACGGATTCGAATAATAGGCCTTTTCTGAAGGTCCAAGAGTCTTGCGCCAGTAGCTATTGCCAGTGAACCACAGTCCTGAAGTGCTGGATGTGAATGGCGCCAGGGTGCCGCAGACAGGGGTGGGTGGGGTGGTAGGGGGTGGGGTGGTGGTATAGGGAATGGGAGGGGAGCATTCGGAGGTGTAGGGATTCCAGCAAGGTTGCCCCCTCTCCATGTTTTGACAACACCAGTCTGATAGATATTAACAGGGCTGAAACAGACAGAAAATGTTTATTAATTAATTGGGACAGAATTACCTTATATTTTATCCTGAAAAATTTATTTTAATATATTTAGTATTGTACAGTTTATCAAAGAGCTTAAGACAAAAAAGAGAGCTCGAGTACTGTCACCAGACTGTAGAGCACATATTACATTGATCCTTCAGAGACTGTGCAGGCAATGATCATCAGTAATGCTTCATTATGCTAACAGCATTGAAGAGAGATCAAGTCAGTTGACAAAAGAGTTTTACCAAGATATTCATGGGAGTGAATGATGGTTGTTTTATGCCATACTATCAGCATTATTCAAAGAAAATCATAAAATTCTGAGACAAACTAATAACTGGCTGATGTCTTGAAGAGCATGGCTACAATACACTGGTATTCCGGCACAGCAACTCAGTCTTTGGCGATTTAATAAAAACCATCAAATGCATCCCCACGGAAAGCTCATGTATATGCCCCCTACACACATCGGAGATATGGACAAGAGCTTTTGATACTTGTGAGACCTTTAAAATACGATATATTCATTGACGTGTGCGTAATTGTCCAGTTTTCGATCATGTCACCATATTTCTGTGATGAACCTTTACATGTTATATAGTAGGGGGGCTGGATAGTAAACCAGGGCTTAGTTTATCGATTTTCTGACCCGCAGTGGGGGCCTGTGTGCCATTCATCTGCAAATTTCATATTCCACCAACAAATGAGGACTCCTCATTGTGGACGACCCTGATATGCAGGATGTGCTACTTGCTGTGACCTGCTCTTCTCCCCAAGATTCCCACAGTGAGCTAATCATCAAAGTTTCTTTACCTGCCGTTCATCTGTAAGTTTCGTATTCCGCCAACAAATGAGGACTTGACAGGGTAGGCTGAGCCGACGGTGGCGCTGTCATTTGTTCCCCCGAGGAACACTGGAGTGTTGCTATTCAGGTTGAACGCTGACCCTACCATCCCGGAAACATATCTCTTACTGTCAATTGTTATAGCCGGGCTGGAAACAAATATAGTACATACAGCCTCAAACAGTTGGAAAAAATGTTCATCTGTAGACATTTGATGGAAAGATGTCAGTATTCAATGTTAATTGTACAGTAAATTATGTTATGAAACACACTATAATCTCACTTGCTCAGGCAATACTGCCTGGATGAGACCATTGTGAAATGGGTTACCATGATGTCAAAATGAATAACATCACAAATATTTCTATACTTCAGAGTACTTTTTACAATCCAGACACTGGCTAATTCTGTTAACAAACAATAAATATACAAAGAATGATTTTTTAAATTACATAGAATCTCACTTTAGTTTTTTAATATCTTATTTATCCAAAGTTTTTGATAAAAGAGAAAATTCCTCAGCACGATTTTCATGCTAACATCAAACGTCATTTGGAGGAGATTCTCTTTTCCAATCGACCCAAAGAGAGAATGAGTGAGTTGGGTTGGGTTTTATGCCACTTTTAGCAATATTCCAGCAATATCACAGCAGGAATTGGCTTCAAACATTGTACGCGCATGTAGGGAGTCACACCCTGGCCTTCGGCTTGACAAGCAAATGCTTTAACTGTTAGGCTACCCAACCGCCCTTCAACCCAAAGAAACTGTTATAGTATTGTGCCAGACATCATCCTGAAGTGTCAGATTCATCCCTGACAAAAACTAATACAGGGATGGACAGATGAACAACAGAGAATATGCCATGGTATAAGCTCACTTTATGTCTTTGCATAACATAGCCTGGGTACAATGTGAGAAGCCCAATCTCGATTATTGCTAAAAGCAGCATAAAACCTCACTCACTCACTCAACATAGCCAGCAGATTAAACACCAGCCTTACCTTGCCTGGACAGACACTCAAGCAATAATCGATGCAGTAAAGCAATAATCGATCTGGGATTTCAACCCATCACCAATGATTGTAGCATCTCCAGACGACACTGAGCAGATCATGGTGCCATGGACAGCGGTCCAAACATGGACTTTGCTAACAGAAAGCACACAGAACATGTCTGCCCCATACCTGGTCAGGTTGACTGTGATCGAGTGTAGCCGTCCATCACTGACATATGGGTCACTTGAAGCCAGCTGGACTCTGCTTGAGGTCATGTAGTCCAGTATCAGATGACCATGGAACAGTGTCAGGTACAGTACTGTTGTCTGAAACATAAACAGCTCTTCCAGAAACACATCACATCAGCACTACAAAGTGGTAACTAAAACCAAATATTACTGAACATATAAAGATTTTACTTTGAATCTAACAGTACTTGATAGAAAATCTTAGGACAATGGAATCAGACACCAATTCCATCTCTTATGAGAAATCAACTGTTTTGAGAATGATAAATAAAGATGACATAAAAATCTTTATGATAAAGAGACTTGTAACCAAATGAGACCTGTCTATAGTATATATAGAGGCAATTCCCCATGATATAAAGGGCAATACTCACTGATGTGGGGTCCTTGATGTACATGAGGATGCCACTGGACTGGGTGGTTACAACATCCATCTGTATCTGCGTGATGCTAGCTTGTGGTAAAGCCAGTTCCAGGAAGGAAGAATCTGAAGTTAGCATGATGCCTGAAATTGTCTGAAAAAGGAAGCATACACAATATAGTTGCTCATCATCAAACGGCAGACAACAATAGATAGTACTCACTGTATCACCTTATCCATCAACTGTACCACCTCACCCACTACCTGTAGCTTTACTCATCAACTGTACCACCTCACCCACTACCTGTAGCTTCACCCATCAACTGTACCCCTCAGCCACTACCTATAGCTTCACCCATCAACTGTACCACCTTACACACTACCTGTAGCTTCACCCATCAACTGTACCACCTCACCCACTACCTGTAGCTTCACCGATCAACTGTACCACCTCACCCACTACCTATAGCTTAACCTATCAACTGTACCACCTTACACACTACCTGTAGCTTCACCGATCAACTGTACCACCTCACCCACTAACTACAGCTTCACCTATCAACTGTACTGTCATACACAACCTGTAGCTTCACCCATCAACTGTACCACCTCACCCACTACCTACAGCTTCACCTATCAACTGTACCGTCTTACACAACCTGTAGCTTCACCCATCAACTGTACCACCTCACCCACTACCTATAGCTTCACCCATCAACTGTACCACCTCACCCACTACCTACAGCTTCACCCATCAACTGTACCACCTCACCCACTACCTACAGCTTCGCCCATCGGCTGTACCACCTTAGACACTACCTGTAGCTTCACCAATCAACTGTACCACCTCACCATCTACCTATAGCTTCACCCATCAACTGTACCACCTTAGACACTACCTGTAGCTTCACCCATCAACTGTACCACCTCACCCACTACCTGTAGCTTCACCCATCAACTGTACCACCTCACCCACTACCTGTAGCTTCACCCATCTACTGTACCACCTCACCCACTACCTATAGCTTCACCTATCAACTGTACCACCTCACCCACTACCTGTAGCTTCACCAATCAATTGTACCACCTTACACACTACCTGTAGCTTTACCCATCAACTGTACTACCTCACCCACTACCTGTAGCTTTACCCATCAACTGTACCACCTCACCCACTACCTACAGCTTCACCTATCAACTGTACCACCTTAGACACTACCTATAGCTTGACCGATCAACTGTACCACCTCACCCACTACCTATAGCTTGACCGATCAACTGTACCACCTCACCCACTACCTATAGCTTGACCGATCAACTATACCACCTCACCCACTACCTATAGCTTGACCGATCAACTGTACCACCTCACCCACTACCTGTAGCTTCACCCATCAACTGTACCACCTCACCCACTACCTATACCTTCACCTATCAACTGTACCACCTCACCCACTACCTGTAGCTTCACCCATCAACTGTACCACCTTACACACTACCTGTAGCTTTACCCATCAACTGTACCACCTCACCCACTACCTGTAGCTTTACCCATCAACTGTACCACCTCACCCACTACCTACAGCTTCACCTATCAACTGTACCACCTCACCCACTACCTATAGCTTGACCGATCAACTGTACCACCTCACCCACTACCTATAGCTTGACCGATCAACTATACCACCTCACACACTACCTGTAGCTTCACCCATCAACTGTACCACCTCACCCACTACCTATACCTTCACCTATCAACTGTGCCACCTCACCCACTACATGTAGCTTCACCCATCAACTGTACCACCTTAGACACTACCTGTAGATTTACCAATCAACTGTACCACCTCACCCACTACCTATACCTTCACCCTATCAACTGTACCACCTCACCCACTACCTACAGCTTCACCTATCAACTGTACCTCACCCACTACCTATAGCTTCACCCATCAACTGTACCACCTCACCCACTACCTATAGCTTCACCCATCAACTGTACCACCTCACCCACCACCTTTAGCTTTACTCATCAACTGTACCACCTCACCCACTACCTATAGCTTCACTCATCAACTGTACCACCTTACACACTACCTATAGCTTCACCCATCAACAGGTACCACTACCTATAGCTTCACCCATCAACAGGTACCACTACCTATAGCTTCACCCATCAACTGTACCATCTTACACACTACCTGTAGCTTCACCCATTAACTGTACCACCTTAGACACTACCAGTATCCTTACAGATCAACTGTACCACCCTACTCACTACCAGTATTTTTACTAGCTGTACGAACTATAAATCCCTCACTCCAAAAGAACATCTATTCATTCCCCATCCATTGTTCTCACCGTTGCTGGACAGCCAGCGGATGAGACTCCTGTCTGACTGACAACTCCCTGGGTGAAAAGCCGTGAGACAACACCACCTCCACTTGTGTGGGTGAAGTCCTTCATGCAGCCAGAGAAAGTCGTAGGGACTGACACCAGACTAATTGTAACAGAAAGTTAAGACTGCTGTAGATGACACATCATGGAAATAGATTAAATGATGACTTAAAGATAGTTTGCAATTACCATTACAAACCTGAATTTTAATAAAATGTAAATAATATTGAAGACAAATACCTCAAGAACTTGCAGTATACTCTGACTCAAATCATGTATGTTTTTTTAAACATTCAATGATATCCAGATCATTCCTAAAAGCTATAACCATACTCCACTACTATCCTTGATATCGTAGGTGCCGCAGTTTACTGTGCAGAGTTACATCCCTTGGATATGCCAGAAGGGTTCACATCCATGTTCTGTTTGAACAGCGTTTTTCAACACCATGTACGTAGTCGTTGGTTTCACCAAAGTGGTAAACATCTGCATCTCTTCTGACTAACCAAGGGGGAGGTGGGGTAGCCTAGTGGTTAAAGTGTTCACTCATCACGCCAAAAACATGAGTTCGATTACCCACATGGGTACAATGTGTGAAGCCCATTTCTGGTGACTCCCGCCTTGATATTGCTGGAATATTGCTAAAAGCGGCATAAAACTATAATCACTCACTCATACTCCGACTAACCATCCAAATCAAGATGACACAGCATGATATAACTGGAATATTGTTCAAAGCAGTACTAAACCTAAATCACTCATTCTCCAGAACATAAACAAGTATACTGTTTTCACTCTTGACCTCCTCAGATTGATTGACAGATTGACATTATCATTACTACTGTACTATACCTAAAACGAACTACATCCAAATATGATCTCTCTGATTGGCAATTTAGAAGTAATTTGAATAACATTGGCAAGAATGGGATGACCTTAGGGATGACTCTCCTGCTTGTCTATGGTATAAGCATCCATACTGAAACCTTGCATCATAATGCAATTAGAAGTTGTCAGACATTCAGTATCTTGCCTTTATTATCCATACAAATAAATGTACTGACGAATCAACTATAGATGCATCACACTTCTAGAAGTGTAAAAATATTAGTTATATTTTCCATCAAAGATTGACTACACTAAAGAGAGTATCAAAAAGTTTATTAAACAAAAGAATACAGATATCTTCCAACATACACCTTGCTTGAAGAGACAACTGAATATGGGGTGAGTACAGTCTTATTGCTTTTAGCAAACCTCCAGAAATATCATGGCCGGGGACACCAGAAATGCTCTTCAAATGTACCCATATGGGTTATGAAACTCAGACCGTCAGTGTCACCAGAAATGCTCTTCAAATGTACCCATATGGGTTATGAAACTCATACCGTCAGTGTCACCAGCGAACACTTTACCCACTAGGCTACCACACCGCCCCTGTATCAGGTAATAACAATATTATTAAGGTACCTTCATCAGCTTCACTACAATCTTTTAGTTTTTCGATGTGTTAGGCTTTGTTAGGCTTATGTTGAGCAAGAAACTACTATTGCAATCCTAAAAGTTTTCCTTAAAAGATAGTATCTTACCTAACTGAGTTGGGTCTCCTCTCTGAGCCCAATATGACGTCCAGCCCTCGTAGGGATGTCAAGTCTACAGGATTATCAGGCACAGGGGTGACTGCTTCTATAGAACCCCCTCCATCTTGGAAGATCTCCAGAGAGTTCTGGCTGTTGTGTTGAGCGACAACCTGTCAGGGAAGTCAGTATGTTCAATCACCTTCCTTTCTTTCTCACAAGCAACGCACTTTCAGCATACATACAGAATAAAGTAACCCCACCCCACAATGCCTCCTCCAGGAAACTTGCACCTACACGATGAACATATTCCCACCTGCACAACATGAACCACAGCTCTCTTCAAATACCAGATGTGTCCCCTATAGACATTATAACCCAGATGGGCCAACGTCCGAATGCTATCTGGGAAGTTGTTCACTGGTCTCTTGGGGGACATGGGTTGATGTACCCTTGATGTTTGTTTATGTTTCCTGAGCCCAAACATAGAGGGTACATCAACCCATGGGCCCCAAGGGACCAGTGAACAACGTATTTATCTTACCGAACACCTCAATGGTAATTTTGAACAGTTTGAACAGTCGGATCGTACACTTCAGCCAGCCTGTGTGAATCAAACGACTCAAATCTTGCATCTTGCTGTTTTTCCCGCAGGTATTGTCTTAGTAAAGTCGCTGCGGAGTAATGTCCCTTCCTGGTATTTACAGGGACTACATTTGAATGTTTTGTCAAAATTTCTTCATTGGAATGCGAGGCAAATCTTTTCGTAGCCATCGCTAGATTTTGCAGACGACATGACATGAAAAACAGATTTAGAGTTATCTCCCTTCCATTGATTTGCATTAGCAAAACATCGGTAATTTCCGTACATCATACGTGATTCAATGTTATTCGAGATAAAGAAGTACTACCACGAAGTACCAAATGAGTTCGCCATTCCCAGCGGGGTACATTGAAATGTACCTCACTTGTAAGCGGGGTACATTGAAAATATTAGAAGAGCGCTCAGCCAATCAGAAAACAACATTTATGTGTGAGGTTAGATAAATATACATGTATATTTGACAAGACATGCAAAGAAAAAAAGGCACTTCCACTGGCATACAGACACATGTCCACAGACATACACTGACATACAGACACATGTAAAGTGACATACAGACACAAGTACACTGACATACAGACACATGTCCACTGGCTTACAGACACATGCCGAGTGACATACAGACACAAGTACACTGACGTACAGACACATGTAAAGTGACATACAGACACAAGTACACTGACATACAGACACATGTCCACTGGCTTACAGACACATGCCGAGTGACATACAGACACAAGTACACTGACGTACAGACACATGTAAAGTGACATACAGACACAAGTACACTGACATACAGACACATGTACATTGACGTACAGACACAAGTACACTGACATACAGACACATGTAAAGTGACATACAGACACAAGTACACTGACATACAGACACATGTCCACTGGCTTACAGACACATGCCGAGTGACATACAGACACAAGTACACTGACGTACAGACACATGTAAAGTGACATACAGACACAAGTACACTGACATACAGACACATGTCCACTGGCTTACAGACACATGCCGAGTGACATACAGACACAAGTACACTGACGTACAGACACATGTAAAGTGACATACAGACACAAGTACACTGACATACAGACACATGTACATTGACGTACAGACACAAGTACACTGACATACAGACACATGTAAAGTGACATACAGACACAAGTACAATGATCTGGCATACAGACACATGTCCACTGACATACAGACACAAGTACACTGACATACAGACACATGCCGAGTGACATACAGACACATGTCCACTGGCATACAGACACATGTCCACTGAAATAGACACATGTCCACTGCTATGCAGACACATGTCCACTGACATACAGACACATGTCCACTGACATGCAGACACATGTTAATTGTCATGCAGACACATGTCCACTGACATACAGACACATGTCCACTGACATACAGACACATGTCCACTGACTTACAGACACATGTCCATTGACATACAGACACATGTCCACTGACATACAGACACATGTCCATTGACATACAGATAGACACATGTCCACTGCTATGCAGACACATGTCCACTGACATACAGACACATGTCCACTGACATACAGACACATGTCCACTGACATGCAGACACATGTTAATTGTCATGCAGACACATGTCCACTGACATACAGACACATGTCCACTGACATACAGACACATGTCCACTGACATACAGACACATGTCCACTGGCTTACAGACACATGTCCATTGACATACAGACACATGTCCACTGACATACAGACACATGTCCATTGACATACAGACACATGTCCATTGACATACAGACACATGTCCACTGGCTTACAGACACATGTCCACTGGCTTACAGACACATGTCCACTGGCATACAGACACATGTCCACTGCTATGCAGACACATGTCCACTGATATACAGACACATGTACACAATATATCAGGAATACATAAACGACTCTGATCAAGTCTCACCTGGAACCAGTCGCCCGTGTTGAACCTGTTGGACGTCTGAATCCTGTTCTGTGGGGCACCAACTGTACCAAACTCTAACACAACGTAGCCATTGCTGAGGTAAATACCAAACATGACCGGAACACCATCTCTGGCAACTAGGAACAGGTACGCATTGGGGTTGTATGTTCTGAACTTCAAGGTGATGGTCAGAGGTACGTCTGTCATGTTCAGTAGGCCTGCGTTCAGCACAAGCTGTCCGAAACCGTCAAAACTGACACCTGCAGCCAGCGTGGGTGATGTTGCGGTCGGTGTTCGGCAGCACTGAGGCGTGTTACCTGCATTGATAGACTCTGTCCATATATCCACATCCCCGCCGTTGAATTTGACGTCATACATACAGCCTTCAAACCCAGATCGGTTTATCACCTTGCTTGTCTGAAAAAGTTGTCAAAGTTGCCAGATAACAGTTTAGTAGTTTTCATAACTAAAACTTTCACGTATTTCCCAGCCCATTTGTCTGTCTCACAGTCACCTAACCATATTACTTTCTGTTCATTGGGTAGTGCAAACGACCGAAACGAAGCAAGTCTAAATTTCTTCAGGTTCGATTCTCCCAGATCAGTGGGGATGTTTTCAATTTAAATGGATATGCTTTGTTTGTATCAAGATATCCTCAGAAACTAAGCTTTAGTCCATTAACTTGTCATCATCAAAACGCTTGTATGGAACAATATAATTTCTTTTTAAGACATTTGTCAGCTAACAATCATTTTCATTCAAACTCTGTTTACATATATTGCATTTGATTTATTGTCTAAGAGACTTTTCTGCATTATAAACAACTTACAGTGATTGACACCCATGATACATGAATTGAAAAACTTCTTCAAAATACTTCCTGAAAAAGGCAAACGCTTGAACAATGGATGATTGGTTGTTGTTTAACACCACACTCAGCAGTATTTCAGATTTATGGCAGCGGTCATTAAATAATCGAGTATGGACCAGACAATCCAGTGATCAACAGCATGAGCATCATTAGTTACTCGCCTCTTACGACAAGCATGGGTTGCTGAAGACCAATTTTAACCTGGATCTTCATGGGTCAACAGTTGAACAAAGAGAACCTACCTGAGTGCCAGTAGGCAGGCTTCCAAAATAGAGAGGTGAGTTGAATGTCAATGCTTCAGCAGTTGATGTAGAAACAGTAGCAGTTGCTAAACCGCCAGTCGACACCAATGTCACCGTCAGATACACCACCGTGTTAAACCTGTGACAGATCGCATCTCAATATAAACATCTTTGAAATTAAATCATTCAGAAATAAAGGTGTGTAGGCTTAATCCGTTGCCTACCAGACTCAGAATTGTATTCATTTAATCAAGGGCCAAAGTTTCAATGCAAACATGACATACAGAAATAACAGAGTGAGTGAGTGAGTGAGTTTGGTTTTACGCCGCTTTTAGCAATATTCCAGCAATATCATGGCGGGGGACACAAGAAATGGGCTTCACACATTTTGCCCTTGTGGGGAACTCGAACCCGGGTCTTCGTGTGACGAGCGAACGCATTAACCACTAGGCTACCCCCCCCCCCCAGAAATAACAGAAGTGACTTCAAGTGTTCATTAAATTTGTGACTGATTCTTTCTTTAATTGTACAATTTGACACTACGATGCGACATACATGAAACAATAATAGATACCTGAAAAGGTAAATATTCTTTTCTAGTAATGTTTAATTGCAAATTTGACATATTCACTGACAAAGTCAATTTCTAGACATCAGAAAAAAAAGTTTGATTAAAGTAAAATGTCTGCAGCTGATCCGATATAATGTTTCATACATTAATTTCAATGAGACAGGCTGTACAAAGGTTTCAAAGGAGTTCCATAAACCATTAAAGTTTAAGATGGAGACAACAGACGATACAACATAATGAAAGCTTCCTTGACTTTTAAATAGAAAAGGGGACACCAAGAGCCCAGTCCTCTAAGTTGACATAACTTGATGCGTGGGGAAGGGTGCCCCTTATGCATGCTAGAAATCTATGATCATGTGTTGGTAATGTGTTCATATGTCCTGATTATGTTTAAATATCACTGTCTAAGACACACATTACTTTGGGCTTTCCTCAAACATCATGTTGATATGCCAAAACATTTGAAATATTCCTCAATATGGTGTCAACCTCACTCACTCACACACCCATCCACTCTCTAATCCAGCCACTCACCCACCCACCCATCCACTCACCTAACCATCCACTAACTCACTTACCCACCCACCAACCCAACCAGCCACTATCTCACTCACTCACCCATCCATTCACTCACTCACTCAACCACTCACTCATCCATCCAATCACTCTCACTCAACCATCCACTCACTCACCCACCCACCCACCCAACCATCCAACCACCCATCCACTCACTCACTCCTTCTATCAGGCAAACTGTAACACAACCTACTGGCCAGACTTACCTCGAGGCTTGCACTCTGAACCAACAGTCATCACAGAGAGAAGCCAGACTAGTGATGACCGAGTTTGAAGACGTATAGTTGAACTGCATGCGAACCTTACTATTGACAATCTCAACACAGAACGCTTCAACCGTGGCTGTGTTTTCCGAGAAGAAAAGCAGTGCATTGTTAACAGTTGCAATCTTCTGGAAAGTGAACTCCACGTCTGTGTAAGGCAGCGCCACATCTTTGGATGGGTTTGTGACAGACACACCTGACGTCCCATTGAACTTGACGGGGTAGCGGAACTTTCCCAGCAATGCCTTGGCCTGGAGCAGCTTAGCTTCAATACTGACGATTCTGTTGTTGATGCTGCCTTGATTGCTCGCTACAGTTTGTTGGTGCTGCGTTATACCCTCCATCGTCCTTGTCATGGAGTCTGTGCGAGCTTCGATGTCACCAACTGCAAATAAATAACATTGTAATACTTGCAGTTACTTTCTTTTAAATGTCAACAGTTCATGTTTAAATTTGAAAAATGTCTGGATGTATAGTTTATCATTCTCTTTCCAAAAAACAGTTTGTATTTCTTGGTTTATTTTGTTTTAAATTTGAGGCATTCTTTAACTGATATAGTCCACATTATACCACCACCTTCATTCCCAATGGTCTTGTGTAAATTATTCTTAATGTAACGCTATAGGTTGCAAATTCTGAACCTTCAGTATACTAGACAAATATGGCAAGTTGAGAAACTACGGTCAACTGGACAACATGACAAGACTGGAACCTGCAGTCAACTGGACAACATGACAAGACTCAACCTACAGTCAACTGGACAACATGACAAGACTGGAACCTGCAGTCAACTGGACAACATGACAAGACTGGACCTACAGTCAACTGGACAACATGACAAGACTGGACCTACAGTCAACTGGACAACACGACAATACTGGACCTACAGTCAACTGGACAACACGACAAGACTGGACCTACAGTCAACTGGACAACATGACTAGACTGGAACCTGCAGTCAACTGGACAACACGACAAAACTGGACCTACAGTCAACTGGACAACACGACGAGACTGGACCTACAGTGAACAGGGCAACACGACAAGACTGGACCTACAGTGAACAGGGCAACACGACAAGACTGGACCTACAGTCAACTGGACAACATGACAAGACTGGACCTACAGTCAACAGGGCAACACGACAAGACTGGAACCTGCAGTCAACTGGACAACACGACAAGACTGGACCTACAGTCAACTGGACAACACGACAAGACTGGACCTACAGTCAACTGGACAACACGACAAGATTGGAACCTGCAGTCAACTGGACAACACAACACTACAGTCAACATGGCAGGCATGTCATTTGTTTCCTATCTGTTGTACTTACCCTTGTTGGCAACAGTGGACGTGAGCAGTAGGCCCCGGTCATTGAGGTCTTTAATTGTACTGACACTGGTCCTTGCATTGGCTAAAGTACCGTTAGCCGCTGATAGTGAACTCATTGTGGTAGAAGTCTTCATTAGAGCCTGGGTGGCAATGCTGGTGGCTTGAGCAACTTCAGCTGAAAAATATTCCATTCATAATAATAAACCCATTAACTATTAACACAATCAGTGACCTCAAATTGAAACAGCATTTGTGACAAGGTAAGTTTTCTTTTTTGTTTGTTTATTGATAGCACTATCTCAGCTATATGGCAGCAGTCTGTAGATAATCGAGTTTGGACCAGGCAATCTTGTGATCAACAGCATGAGCATCGATCTACATAGCTGAGATATGATGATATGTGTCAACCAAATCAGCAAACCTGACCACCCGATCCTGTTAGTCACCTCTTGCAACCATCCTACTCTGCTGAAGACCATTTCTAACTCAAATCTTCACTAGTCAAGGTTTCTAATGGGACCTACATTAATTTAACAGAGACAAGCCTTGTTAGTCACAATGATCTGGAGATCCATTGATCCAAACCATTCCTGTTTTAAATGTTTCAAAGAAACATTTCTTCAAACCCATAATTCATTAATTTTGAACTTGTTCCATTGGTGGGAACATAGATAGGATGGTTCAGACTTAAACATTTCCAACTGCCATCACATAACTGGAATATTGCCCAGTATGGTATTAAACAACAAACAAATACAATACAAAACAAATTCACAAAACGTAGTAGGCAAGCCTGGCTTTCAGATCCAGTTTAAGATGACCACAAACCTCCACTCCGTGCCTTGAGTGTATCTGCCTGAACCTGGAGCTGGGTGAGTCTTGCGTCTATAGGTACCCACTGGGCTCTGGCTACCGCAACACTCGTATTCACATTCTGCAGACGGCTGTTCAAGACTATAACAGAACAAGAAAAAGAGAATAAATTTGAAGTAAAATGGTAAGGTTCCAACTGATAGAAGTAAGATGACTTTGTATTGTATAACTTATGTATTGTTCTGAATTGTTGATTTTTCTTCAAACCAATATTGTTTCAGAAATTAACAAATTACAAAGTAGATGAACATGAAATATTTCAATTGTCTTTAAAAAACACACCTTCAATTCTTGTTTGTTTCTATCAAAATTATGTGTTTTCAGAAGCTAAGCGTTAGTCTACCATACTGGATGCAACATAAGACTGTGAAAAAACACATTTCATCCAAAACAACTATTTTTGAATATATTGAGCACAAATAACAATTTGATAATTGATTACCATATTTAAAGCTATTGATTTCCTGCAGACAAAGTTTAAATGAGTTAATCTTGATCCATATCTATTTTCACCAATGACCAAGTGATTGAATCAAATGTCTTACCTTCAGGTTGATAGTTTATGGTGTTGATCATGGCCAGTATTTGGTCACTCTCCACTTTTGAGGCGTTAGCTTGTGCCTCCAGTGTTGCTATGGTGACACTGTTGATGTTGGCTTGTGCTTGAGCGATCGTCGCATTTGCCTCTGCGGCTGTCGTCAGGGTGGTGTTCAGGGTTAGGATCACTTTCTCAAAGTTTGTGATGGCGTTGACGGCACTTTCACCTCTTGGTTTGACAATCTGAAATGTACTGAAGGAAACGGTATGTACATTAATACTAGTTGAAAATAGAACTCAGATAAATTAATTACCAACCATAAAAGGTCATGTAAGGACATAATAAATTCCTATGTTAAGGTTTCATAAGGATAAAAAATCAATCTTAGAGTCAGCAAAATCCAAACCCTGGGCCACAAATTTGATTTTACGTAATTGTTAACAGAACTGTTAAGATATTTGTTGCAGAATTTGTTTGGTGTAAAAAGCATAATTAAAAAAACTCATCAATCTGGTTTCTTAGTTCATTTTCTAAATTCCACTTGTGAGGTATTATTGATCCGCTATTCCACCTAATTTGCATAAATAACTACTAATAATCACTTGATCTTATAATCTGAGTTACATTCTGCACTCTTTCTTTTTTTCATAGATATTTAACGCCACAACCTTATTTTTACTTCTTGCCGTTTTTTACTTCACTTCCTAACCCTATTGTTGAGTTATTCAGGACATTTGGGGAAATTTAATACTGTTCGTGACAGCTGTGTCAATTACACTGCTATGATGCAACAACCAAAACAATGGGTGGACAAGACAAGCGTCTTACTCGTTGATCCTCTGGGTATCAGTGTGCAGAGCCTGGGACTTCCGTTCTGATTCCCTCACATTGGCATCCGTGGTGGACACCCTGGCTGCAATGGCTGTCTGTACTTCCTGGAGCTTGCTGTAGCCTGTCGTCCAATTGCCCACACCTGTCAGGTGATAAGTAAACGAGGTTAGTATGGTCTGATAGTGATCTAGCTAACAACTACACAGGACATTCTAGATGGAGATCAGATCAGACCCTTCTTGGGGAGGACTGGGCAGACTGAGATACTTCCATCAGAGCAGCCAGGACCATCAGAGAGTCACGATAATTACATTTGTCAGAGCATCTAGGAGTGAGTGAATGAGTTTAGTTTTATGCTGCTTTTAGCATTATTCCAGCAATATCACGGTGGGGCACCAGAAATGGGCTTCAAGCAATGTACCCATTTGGGGATTCGAACCCGGGTCTTTGGTATGATGGGTGCATACTTTAGCCACTAGGCTACCCAACCGACTCTGACCCCTTACTCGGAGAGTGGTTACATTTGTCAGAACAGCTTCGATCACCTGTGATTGTATTTGTTATGCCAGGTAAGACACCTGATAGTGATCACATGTGTTAAATCAGGCAGAACAGTAACGAGTTATAACATAGGTATAGGTAAGAACATCAGACTGAGAATTATATGTGATAGTGACAAAATATAAACATGAGGCTAGTATCAAGCTAGCATGTTTAGTGGTACAATGGTAACAAGTTTAAATTCCCTATGAATTCCCACTGAAATCTCTGATGACATACCAGCTGGGCACTAAATGAAGAAATTCCTTCTGAATTCCCACTGAGATCTCTGATGACATACCTGCTTGTCACTATTCAGTGAAATTCCCACTGAGATCTCTGATGACATACCTGCTTGTCACTATTCAGTGAAATTCCCACTGAGATTACTGATGACATACCTGCTTGTCACTATTCCGTGAAATTCCCACTGAGATCTCTGATGACATACCTGCTTGTCACTATTCAGTGAAATTCCCACTGAGATTACTGATGACATACCTGCTTGTCACTATTCAGTGAAATTCCCACTGAGATCTCTGATGACATACCTGCAGGGAGAGTGACATTTGGAAGCAACGGGGCTGCATTGCCTGACATGATAGTCTGACATTCACCGAAGGCTGTTGCAGCTGTTGCCTGAGATGCTGTAGCTTCAGTTGTCATGTTGTTCACATCGGCCCTGGCTGCTAAAATGACAGCATTGTTGGCCTCTGCTTGTTGTTTGGAGGCCTAGAATTTCCAAACAAAGAATAGGACTAATGAGGATGTCCAGCTTTAATTCAGTGAAGTTTGTATTTCATACATATCAAAATAGGAACCTTGCTTCAAAATACAGAAATATGTCTGATATCATTTCATTATCTTTTGGTATGTTGTTTACATTCTGAAACTTTGCATTTTACTGAGAAGTATTATGTCCCTTATCTGTGTTAAGATTCATTTATCATTACAACATAGTTACCCTGTAATATGCCTGCAAATTGACTAATATCATACAAAAATATCCTTACTGGCAAACAAGGATAAGTTGAGCACTGACCTGAATTAGCATATATGAGTCCCGCCCACTGGCGGGAGGGGCCCCAGGTTGTCTGCGATCAAGTGTAGTGCTACATCGACCACATGAGAGTCTTATGAGCAAGGCATGTGCAGCTACGCGCGGAATCAATTTCATCGTCATGCACTGCACATGCACTAGCCTACATCTGCTCTACCTTTCACAAACCAAATAGGTTTGCTCATTGCCGTGCACCGCCTACTTCTCGTAAACACGTTCTCTGCACCGGTCCAACTTATGCTTCTTTGCCAGTAGAGTCTGATATTATTTCATTATCTACTGGTATGTATTCAACACTATTCTGCATTTTACTGAGCAGGGTTATGTCCCTTAATAGTGCGAAAATTCATTGATTATGACAACAAATTATCAGACTAAAAATATCCTTAGAATATCAACAGACCTCTTCTTATTCTCTTCCCACAGAGGTTACTTGTCATGTCTTACAACGAACCTCTGTTCTAATACGGCCATATTTCCCAGTTCTCGTAAAAGCCCCTAGCGAATTATCTCCCTTCTTTCTATCCAATCAGAACACATTTTACATCGACTTAGATCCAACTTGAGTGATGTAAGCAAATATGGGGCTGCAAATATCCCTGCCCTGCCGGGGACTTGTGTTGATGTGACACACAAGTCATATAATGGCTAGCTTGTTCGTTGTCAACGAGAGGCGATGGAGATGCCATTGATCTGCCATTACATGACTGAGTTCTGTCTAGAAGAAATGTTTGCGCATCACGCATAGAGGGTCTAGTTTTCCCGAAGCTTATGGAAGTTACCGAGGCCTTGAGAATGATCACTTTTGAAACAACGTCGCTGATTGCACAACTAAATCTGATGGCAACCAATCACGAATCCTGAACACTTGGACCATGAAAGGGCCATATTAGAACAGAGGTTTGTAGGAAGATATGACAAGTAACCTCTGTGGGAAGAGAGTGACCTCTTCAATGTCAGAAGGAAAATGTTTTGACAAGTTGACGTCAAGGCGAAATGTAACAAGATACGTCAGTTTTACCTGAGCTTCCGTCTGGTGTACAGAAATCATGTTCACTTTGGTCTGTAGGTCATTGAGTTGTGCATCGCTAGATGTGAGCTCGGTGGACTGGGTCTTGTAGTTCTCTCTGATACCACCTTCTTTAGCCAGCAGCTCAGCTACAGTAGCAGCCTACAACAATGCTTGAGTAATGTTTTACGACATTTTTAGCAATATCACTTCGGTGGACAAAAGAAATGGGCTTCACACATTGTACCCATGTGAGGAATCAAACCTGGGCCGAGATTTTCGAATTTCTCTTAGCTCTAAGATAAACGTAAGTGCCATACATTAACATTAACTTACGACTATCTTAGCGCTAAGAGAGCCTAAAAAGTCTAAGCCCTGGGTCTTTACCTTGATTCACAAGTGTTTAAACCACTAATGCAATTCCATATTTTGTGAGCAGTTAAAACCTATATTTTATTCTTGAGTTGTAAGAACTGAAGATAACACATTTGGTCAATGAAAATATGAAACTGACATAACAATATCACTAGGCATGATCATTTACATTTGTAATAGTATTTTCTGTTTGCTAGGCACTGTGTTATGTTGTATATATTACTGTATGTGATATTCTTGAAGAATACAGTGGAAATAGTACACACATTTTGTTGTATTATCAATCAAAAAATTGCCAATATCATAATTCAGAACAATCCAGTGATATGAAGAAATTGCATCTGAAACGAATATTTTAAGAGGAATATTATATTTCTACAGCTTGTTGGATTGAATGCCATTTTTATAAATATATATCAAATTTAAAAAATACCTGCCAGCTTAGCACCTTGGGATGTTGCTGGATATTTTTCATATGGAATGGGTTGATGAGAACTGTACAATCATTTCTTATGATTGTGGAAAATGTTTTGTTGTTTTTATTCAAATCATTTCATCTCCACCTGCCAACCACCTCCCCCCAAATCATGCCCCATGTCCTCTGCATGAAGAAAAAGAGGTACTACACCATGTGCAGTCATGATGTACATCAGCCTTCATGTAAACCATCTGTCAATAATAATGCCCATGGATGCCTCAACAGTGAAAACCCAAAATAATAAATAAAAATAAATAGCTTCTGCCTTATTTTTATAAACAACTGGATGAAATAATAAAATTCATGTACTGTTTCCTTAGTTAGGTTGCTTTTTTATGGGTTTTTATGGGAGTACTAATGTTTGCCCCAAACTTCCCTATGTGGCAGAAATTGTATCATTTCCTTTAAACTACATCTGGCTCAGGTGAGCAGTAAAATTCCTTAAAATATGAATTGGTGGAATCGGTAACTGCAACACGTATCTGACAATGTGATTCTTTTTTGTAGGCTTGAGGTTTTAATACATTGCTCCAACGGGTTGGTGGGGTAGCCTCGTGGTTAAACCCTTCATTCATCACGCTGAAGACCTGGGTTTGATTCCCCGCATGGGTACAATGTGTGAAGCCCATTTCTGGTGTCTCCCACTGTGATATTGCTGAAAGCAACTTAAAACTAAATCCCTCACTAACTCCAAAGTACAAAGGTAACTGGATTTGTTGTCCTAAACATTTACTCCTTTGATTTTTGTGGACACCAGCTGGTACATGTATTATTATAGGGTAATGCACAGTCATTCACAAAAAGAGTGTTTAATAATTTTCAGTCCTTTTCTACCAAATTGAGAAGTCAAGCAACACGTGACATGAGTCCTGACCTGTGCTTCTGCCTTGGTCCTCATGTCCAGCAGGCTCGGGTCACTGGTGATCTGCAGGTAGGTTGTGTTGGCCTTGTCCAACTGGGGACTGAAGTTGAGTCCAAGAGCTCCTCCGGCTGTACCCTGGCCTCGGTACTGAAACAAGACATCAAGATCACTCTCATCTACCTACCGCATCACTGACTCGATCATTCAATACCCTGGCCTCGGTACTGAAACAAGACATCAAGATCACTCTCATATACCTACCGCATCACTCACTCGATCATTCAATACTCTGGCCTCGGTACTGAAACAAGACATCAAGATCACTCTCATATACCTACCGCATCACTCACTCGATCATTCAATACCCTGGCCTCGGTACTGAAACAAGACATCAAGATCACTTCTCATATACCTACCGTGATCACTCACTCGATCATTCAATACCCTGGCCTCGTACTGAAACAAGACATCAAGATCACTCTCATATACCTACCACATCACTCACTCGATCATTCAATACCCTGGCCTCGGTACTGAAACAAGACATCAAGATCACTCTCATATGCCTACCACATCACTCACTGATCATTCAATACCCTGGCCTCGGTATGAAACAAGACATCAAGATCACTCTCATATACCTACCGTGATCACTCACTGATCATTCAATACCCTGGCCTCGGTACTGAAACAAGACATCAAGATCACTCTCATATACCTACCACATCACTCACTCGATCATTCAATACCCTGGCCTCGGTACTGAAAACAAGACATCAAGATCACTCTCCTACCATCACTCACTATCATTCAATACCCTGGCCTCGGTACTGAAACAAGACATCAAGATCACTCTCATATACCTACCACATCACTCACTCGATCATTCAATACCCTGGCCTCGGTACTGAAACAAGACATCAAGATCACTCTCATATACCTACCACATCACTCACTCGATCATTCAATACCCTGGCCTCGGTACTGAAACAAGACATCAAGATCACTCTCATATACCTACCACATCACTCACTCGATCATTCAATACCCTGGCCTCGGTACTAAAACAAGACATCAAGATCACTCTCATATACCTACCGCATCACTCACTCGATCATTCAATACCCTGGCCTCGGTACTGAAACAAGACATCAAGATCACTCTCATATACCTACCACATCACTCACTCGATCATTCAATACCCTGGCCTCGGTACTGAAACCAAGACATCAAGATCACTCTCATATACCTACCGCATCACTCACTCGATCATTCAATACCCTGGCCTCGGTACTGAAACAAGACATCAAGATCACTCTCATATACCTACCACATCACTCACTCGATCATTCAATACCCTGGCCTCGGTACTGAAACCAGACATCAAGATCACTCTCATATACCTACCGCATCACTCACTCGATCATTCAATACCCTGGCCTCGGTACTGAAACAAGACATCAAGATCACTCACTCACTCATTCATTTTCTGTCGCCAACTGTGCCCCTTGTCCATTCAGATTCAGTAAAAATCAAGAAAGCAAGATTTGCAGGCACCCAATTCAAGGTAATTCATGGATTGATATGTAGGTTTGTTGTAACAATTATCTTCACAGCTTTAGTCCTGAACCAAATTACTTTCCCTTCTGATTAACTCATTCCGCTATACAGAAGCCCTACATGAAGCAAGTCTATTTCCCCTGGTTCTGAATCCCCGAACTCCCTCACGTTTCCTTCTCAATTCAAATAGTTATTTGATTTTATCAAAAATACACATTCAGAGACTAAGCGCTACTCAATCACAGCTTTAATGGGAGTAGCAGTAAGACTGTACCGTCTGTGCTGTGGTGTTGTACTGCTGGAACTTGTACACGTAGTCAGTTCCTTTTTGTGTTTCGGTTCGAGCAAGGTCAAGGGTGCTGAAGCTTTGAGTAAGGAGGCCATTTAGTCTTGCATCTTCAGCAACAGACATGTTTTTCTGGAGAGCTGCAGCTGTATTCAAGGTGGCAACCTACAGAGAACAACAAAATAGATTGGAAATGTGCAACAATATAAGGCTCAATATAATATTCTGTTTCCATTCACAACTATATATCATCATTTTGTTTTAATACAAATGTACAATTTGGCCACACAGCACACTAAAATTCAAATAAAGTCTTTACTACACTTGTTCAGCAGATTTGTACCTGACAACTTTGTGTCATACTGTTTGTCCAATATATTACCCAATGCACTGCATCTATGAGTTTGGAATAGGAGTTAAAGTGGGTGAGTATGGTTTTATGCCGCATTTAAGTAATAATCCATCAATATCACGGTGGGGGACACTAGAAATGGGTTTCACATATTGTACCCATGTGGGGAATCGAACCCGGAACTTTAGCGTGACCAACAAACTCTTTAACCACTAGGCTACCCAACTGCCCGGAAAAGGAGGTAAAATTTTAACAGTGTGGCCTACATGGTGCTTGGGATATCTGTGTTCAAAGTAAGCACTATGTTGGGAAGTACATGTTAAATCTCTCAACATAAGTAAGGTTTGGCCACACCTAACAAATAATGAGAGTTACCTCCCTTATGTAAAGGTTAATTTCATCATCATACGTAACAAATATTCCCTGGAAAACCTCCCTGCATCCAACACTGCATTGTTGTTTTGAAAAGAAAATAAGGCAACATGTATTACCCTTCAGACCCACAAAGAATCTTCTGCACAGATGACTAACATAGTTGCAAAAGTAATCAACCAGTAATGACGTCACATCAGACCATTCAGAAAAATGCAGCTTTGTAATATCATATTGACGTCAGTAATCACTAAACTGCACATGTGCAAGTTTCAAACTTTACAATATTACATTATTATATCATCTTTCAAGCTCCGTGTCTAATTCTGTCCTACCTTCTGCTTGAACTGGTCCACCTGCCGTCTGGTGCTGTTTTCCTGAAGAGTCATGTTTGCGGTCATCTCACTGACTGTACTGTTGTTGGTGTCGGTCAAACCCAGGTCAGTCATGGCCTTCTCCAGCTCTGCATGAAGAGACTGTAACAGAATCCACTTCTTGTTGAGCATAACAGAAACACCAACAATTGTGTAACCTGAAAACCATTCACCATTTGTAGTTTTGTAATGGAACTGATGTGAAATCATCAATACAGTAAACTGTGTTGATAACAAACATTCTTAAAACAAATTAACAGATATATTGAATTTGGGGGTGATGGCCACTTGCTTTATCTTTCAGTCAAAACACAAATAACGAACTATAGCTTGAACACAAAAACATTTGTGGTCCTATTGAGTTTGTTATAAGCAAAGTTTACTGTAGTTTTGTTACGTTGTCTTTCAAAAGCCTTTTGTGAAAACAAGAATACCTTGGCATTTCTAATTTAATCCTGAAACCAGTCGACATATTGGCACTGAAAGGCCATATATTGACTGAAATTGAAAAGTGGACTGCAAAATCCCTTTTGATCCTGCCTGATGTATGTTGATATACTGGTCTGGACTCCGTGAGGTATATTATGGCAGTATCACAGCAAGGGACACCAAAAATGGCTTCACAATTGTACCCTTGTGGGGAATCAAACTCAGGCCTGGCATAACCCTGTAGATGAGTGAATGCTTTCCCCACAAGGCTACCCCACTGCCCCGACTTGGTTTCAACTATTCCCTATTCCACAACTGTTCTATCCCTACCTGAAGTTCTTTGTCTTGTGCCTGTATTCCCACAATATGTTGTGAAACTGTATATGTTTCCTGCCATTTTTCTTCCAATTTTCTTGTATCATTACCCAAAGAAGTTGAACACACGTCACACTCTGCAAAAAGTAGAAACAATCAAAACACAATAACTAACAATCTTTCAAACTCTATTTGTGATGCGATTTCATTCACATATTCATTGAATATCTTCACTGCTAAGCTCGTAAAAATAGAGACATCTTGTAAACCTGATGGTTCCATCCTGTTGTGAAATAAATAAGAAACTGCTGGTAGAGAGTGATGTTCTTCGTATATATTCCAACATTCTACTAATTTAATGGAAATTAATTCCCCTGGATATCAGAGGATAGTTATTGGAATAGCATTATCTGCATGATAATCTGAAACAATATTGAATATAGACTGGCCTGCGTTCATGACAATACCTTTGCATCCAGTGTCGCTGAAGTCTATAAAGAGAGTTTTACAGCTGTCACATGTCCGACCGGTCACTCCTGGCTTGCATGGACACTGGCCAGTAGCATTGTTGCATAACGCGATATTCCCACCCTCAGTCCCAGTTAGATTACAGTTGCATGCTACAAGGAAACATGTAGGAAATGTTGCATAGATTATTGTTATACTGATTACTATTAGTCATTGCTCCCACACAGATAACTGTCACAGACATAACTATTACTGTCACAGTCATTACTGTAACACTGATTACTGTCTCAGTCATAACTGTGACACTGATTACTGCCTCAGTCATTACTGTGACACTGATTACTGTCTCAGTCATTGTTGTAACACTGATTACTGTCTCAGTCATTACTGTAACACTTATTACTGTCTCAGTCATTACTGTGACACTGATTACTGTCTCAGTCATTACTGTAACACTGATTACTGTCTCAGTCTTTACTGTAACACTGATTACTGTCTCAGTCATTACTGTAACACTGATTACTGTCTCAGTCATTACTGTCCATCATTACACACTGATTACTGATTACTGTCTCAGTCATTACTGTAACACTGATTACTGTCTCAGTCATTACTGTAACACTGATTACTGTCTCAGTCATTACTGTAACACTGATTACTGTCTCAGTCATTACTGTAACACTGATTACTGTCTCAGTCATTACTGTAACACTGATTACTGTCTCAGTCATTACTGTAACACTGATTACTGTCTCAGTCATTACTGTAACACTGATTACTGTCTCAGTCATTACTGTAACACTGATCATTTCTGTACTGTCACAGTCTCATTTACTGTAACACTGTAACACTGATTACTGTCAGTCATTACTGTCTCAGTCATTACTGTAACACTGATTACTGTCTCAGTTACATTGTAACACTGACTTTGTCTGTAACACTGATTACTGTCACAGTCTTTACTGAACACTGTGACACTGATTACTGTCTCAGTCATTACTGTAACACTGATTGCTGTCACAGATCACCGCCATATAGCTGGAATATTGCTGAGTGCAGCATTATACAACAAACCAACCAACTTTATATACACTTACCAGTACATTCCTGATCCGGTAGACCAAAGTAGCCATCAACACATGTGTCACACCGACGACTGACGGCAAGAACATTAGATTTACATACACACAGACCCTGGTCTATACACTGGGTGTTCACGCTTCCTTTCTCCACACAGTCGCAAGCCTGACAACCTGGAGATCAAACAAAACTCATATATTTTGTCCACTGGACATAAGAATTTCTCTGGTCTGAATATTAGAACTATGCAACTATAAATCATGGAATCTAAGTGAAGTATCATACTCTCACTTGCATCAATACAGAGATGCATTTCTATCTTGACATTTATTTGAGAACTGTAAATTTTATCTCCTGTTCACAGTTCCCGTTCCCATGTTTACCCTTCTTGTGCATGGGTATCACAACATCACAAAGATAACACTGACCAATGTGATTGAGACACAGGTACAATAGTGCTCCTCATCCAGTTCCACCTGCTGGTGTCAATGATCCATTCATATAATTCCCATCACTATGTCTTTTGCACTCAACTGATTTTGTTTCAGTGGATAATTGAGACTAGTTGTTCTTTGACAAGGAAATTTTACATTTACCACTGTTGATCAAACAGTTATGACAGCCGCAAACTACGCATGATGTTGTATTTTATAGAGTCCTTGAACGACATTTTGAAGTGATACACATAAAAGCAAGAATTTATGATGTCAACTTCATTATTTTGAGGAACATGATGTTTCAGATTTTTTACTTACTCTTTCATCTATCACCTTATTTCTTGGTATCCTTGTTAAATAATCTTGAACACTTCTCACATGGCTTTGTGAAAATATCAAGTGATGATCTCATGTTACAAGACGAGGATCATGGATTTTATCTTGAGACCAGTTTAAGGCATCAGCAGCCTTTATATTCCTGGACCCCCGAAGATTCGGGTAAGAATTTGTCTTCAGCAGCCCATGCTTGTTGTTAGAGGTGAGTAACAGGATCGGGTGGCCAGGCTCGCTGACTTGGCTGACACATGTCATCATATCCCAATTGTGTAGATCATGCTCATGATGTTGATCACTGGATTGTCTGGTCCAGACTTGATTATTTACAGACCGCCATCATATAGCTGGAATATTGCTGAGTGTGGTGTTAAACAACCAACCAACCAATTATATTGGTCAAACATATATTGGTGCAGAAAGTGTAGTCTAAACCACCTCAACCCTCACCTGGTGGAGCAGTACTGAAGCCCCAGTAGTTGTCGAGACATCCATCGCAGGTCCTGCCCCCAACACCAGGGTGACATGGACAGCTGCCATTGTACCGGTCACAGATAGAGCTAGTCGATCCCGTTGTGTTGCAGGCACACACTGAAACATCAGATATTCAACTACTACACTGTTTTAAGGAATCATGCGGTTTACTGTTATGTTTGTATCATACAGTGGCTGTGCAGAGTTGCTTCCCTTAGGTGTGGCAGAAACCTATGACATTGGGTTTGAATCCTAGATCTGAGCTGATCGTATTGTAGGTTTGTCAGCTTCAATTTGTAGGATATTCACAATAACTGATTAACATTTAAGATCTGCATCAGTTTGACTGATGACACTGGACCTCAAAGTGGAGTTTGACCCCAACAGCCTGCATCAAACACTGGGTGTTAGAATACTGGGTTGTCTCCCCTCGGTTCAGCAAAACCCCAGAGGATTAAATGTGATTGTAGTAATATTTTGTCAGCATCACTGGGAGTTGTAAACCTTCATGATCTGCATCACTTTAGGTTTCCTCTCACATTAAAACAACAGTTAACAATACCATATAAATACTGTTGAAAGTGTCGAACATGCTGACATGACATTCTACTCACCGTCACAGGCATTAGTCACCGGGTTCCTGTAGAAGCCAGTTATGCAGAGTTCACAGTTGTTTCCTGTTGTATTCGAGTCACAGCCGTGACAGATTCCTTTGATTGGATCACAGATGTCAGTTCTGTTGTTGCAGTCACACGCTGTGCATCTTCCTGTACCAGGGGTTGATGGTTCACCATAATGGAATGGTTTACACCTGATACAGACAACATCAGATTGTGATACAGTGAGTGAGTGAGTGCAGATAGTCAGACTTCTACCTTCTTTCAATAATAATGCACTAAAAAATAAAATAATAACACCTTGAAACTTTAAAACGCACACTGTTCATCTCGTAAGTGTGTCACCGTAACAGATGAGAGCTGCATCACCGTGAGTGAATGAGTGAGTGGTTGAGTGAGTGGTGAGTGAGTGAGTGAGTGAGTGAGTGAGTGAGTGAGTGAGTGAGTGAGTGAGTGAGTGAGTGAGTGAGTGAGTGAGTGAGTGAGTATGGTTTTATGCCACTTTCAGCAATATTCCAGCAGTATCACAACAGGGGACACCAGAAATGGGATTCACATATCATTACCGTGTGGGGAATCGAAACTGGGTCTTCGGTGTGACAAGCGAAAGCTTTAACCACTAGGCTACCCCACCACCCTGATGATACACTTCATGAAAGTGTTGAGTCAAAGAGTACAAACTGTTGCAATCATGACACTGAGTGTCAACAGTTGACTGGGAACCAAGAATTGCTCTGCAAGTCCAACATTCAGTCCAATGACAGGGTCCCTGAGAAAGCAACCTCAAGAAAATTTAGATCTCAGTTTTCACTATCGTTAAACAATCATCTGAAGACAACCCAATATTGGTCACACCAGAAAGACCTTTCATCCAAACCATCACAGCCAATTATCACATCATATAAATGAAAGTTTATTTGTGTTTTTGAGCCTAGCAATCTCAAAAACATGAACACTGAACACATGAACATGATTATTCTGAATGACAGTTACGATCTGTACAAATGATTCCATCAAAACTGAAATCGAAAACATTTTCTAAAGTCTTTGGGATTTACTGCCATACCATCTTGCCAGTCTATTTAACCATAACCAGTTGAGATACTAATAGCATGCAGAGGTTTAAGGAGGGAGATACTGTTAGTTTCTCAACTGGTTATGGACAGTTGAGAGTGAAAAGGACTTCTGTTGAAAATCTTTTAGTGCATTGACAGCCAAAATATAAGACTTCTGATCTGAAGTAATGTGTTGTTTGAATAAAAATTATAGTTACTGGTAAAATGTACTGACATATCACAATGGTCGCCTGTGTATTCTTGGTTACAGAAACACTTGATGACGGAGCCATTATTGGTGCAGGATGTGTTCACAACACGGGGGTCATAGCATGGACACTGGCTGCAGTCGTTGGGATTCCCTGCGGTGGCATTACCATAGTAACCAGGCATGCACATCTCACAGTTTGCACCTGAAACATTCAAACATATCATCAGTTAAAATTCAAAAAGATTTATTCTGAAGGTTGATATTGCCCAACATGTGCTCCTTGGCTATAGAAATATAATGGTTATAAATTATCTGATACATATGATGGGATTCAAACATGGACCTTCTGATTCGAGGTCCTTAGGGCCAGAGGTTAATACCATTAACAAAAGCAGAAAGAACTGGTATCATCTGTGGATTTACTCTCCCTGATATAGACCAATAATCTATGATCCTTTCAGCGTTTTTGTCCTTCCACAGACCCATGAAGATCTGCATTAGAATTGATCTTCAGTAACCCATTCTTGTCGTAAGAGGCGACTAACGGGATCGGGTGGTCAGGCTACCTGACTTGGTTGTCAAAATATCCCAATTGCGTAGATCGATGCTCACACTGTTGATCACTGGATTGTCTGGTAAAGACTGAATTATTTACAGACAGCTGCCATATAGCTTCAATATTGCTGAGTGCAGTGTAAAACTAAACTCACTCACTCATCCGTCTTAAAGTATGTTTTGAATGCACACACTTATAACAAACTGACAAATATTACGAATTTTTTTTGGTCAATTGCTGTATATTTTAGTCAAAATGCACATAAGGAGCTGTGGTTATAACTAAAATTAGTTGTCTTTTGAGCATTATACCGGATACCTAGCAGGGTTAGGGTTAGGGTTAGGTTAGGTTTGGTGTTAGGATTAGGGTTAGGGTTAGGGTTAGGGTTAGGGTTAGGGTTAGGGTTAGGGTTAGCGTTACACGCATACCTGTAGTCTGGTGCAGACAGTTCAGACAGTCCCCGGTGTTGGGATCACAGGTAGAAGCGTGGTTGTTACAGGTACATGGCACACACACGCCCAGATACGCATGGCCGGTCACGTTGGCACGCTTGTAGCCTGGCGCACAGCTCTGAAGGGAAAACATTATCTCAGGCTTTTCCATAAGGAAATTACTTTCCTATGACTATCGTAACTCCAAACTTTAACACTGACTTAAAATGATTTTATTCTGCAAGGATCTTTTATGTAGCATGGTTCTTGATGTCAACTTATGAAAATTCAATTGAGAGTACAATGTATGAAAAAAAAAAAAGTCGCATCAGCAAAAACACATCTCAAGGCAGGTCATGGTACCCGGTACTCAGTTATTACGAGCTGTCATCGATCAACAAAAGCAAACATTATTCTAGGAACAACACCTGAGGGCAAACATATCATTACAAATGTAAATATTGTGTTTGTGCTGTTGACATGATTTCATTTCAGATAACTTATAAATGGATTGTATAATACAGCATTGATTTTGATGGCATTTATTGGGGGTCGCCTTATAGGTTGTACTTGGGGGCACTCACAATGGGGATATCTGGAAGTCAACTTTGAGTGGCATTTTAGAAGTTGGGAAGTACAATTTAGAACAAACTTTATGGATAACAACGTCTTATATTTGAGAGTGCAACATTTCCATACAGATTCTTGACAACGGTACAAATATCTGTATAGAAACGCTGCACTCACAAATAAAAGAAGTTGTTATCCATAAATTATATCTGGAAGTCAGTTGGAGTACATCCATTGGACCAACATACAACAAAGTTTCTGTTTTCTGTTCAGTAAGGCCTCTATACTTCAGGGGCGATGGGGTAGCCTAGTGGTTAAAGCATTGGCTCGTCACGCCGAAGACCCGGGTTCGAATCCCCACATGGGTACAATGTGTGAAGCCCATTTCTGGTGTCCCCCGCCGTGATATTGCTGGAATATTGCTAAAAGCGGCGTAAAACCAAAACTCAGTCAGTCAGTCTATACTTTAGCTGCCATGATCATACACCACCATGTTACGACAAGTTACAAACCTCGCATGACAGTCCCGTGTAGCCGGGTCCACACTGACACTTCTCCACACTGCTGGCAACAGGGCCCACAACTCCTTCCACACTGTACTCAAGGCGAGACAGGCTGAAACAGGGAAGACATGGTTTACACTTACACATATAACACCAAGGCCTCATGTATTTATAATGGATTTTACTCATTAGACAAAAGGTTGAGGCCTATTCACAAATGTTCAGCTAGCAATATCAAGCATACCCTCTAGTTATTATATTGTTTGGTTTGCAAAATAAAACATATCAACAGCATGAGCATCGATCTACGCAATTGGGATACGATGACATGTGTCAACCAAGTCAGTGAGCCTGACCACCCGATACGACAAGAATGGGTTACTGAAGATCAATTCTAACCTGGACCTACACGGGTCTGCGTCTTTGAGACAAACAATTAATCAATGAGTTAGGGTGTTGGGCTTAACACTGCTTTTAACATAATGCTACTGATATCATGGCATGTCAGCAGCAGTATATATGACAGAACTTACTAAGTTACATAATCTGTATTTGTGAAAACAGCATCTATCAAAGAACTTACTAGGTTACATGATCTGTATTTGTGAAAGCAGCAGGAATGAGAATGACTTCAACATTTGTGAGAGCCAACAAAAAATTGTCCTCGTGTAATGTCGGAACCATTTTCCCACTTCCACTCCGCCTCTGTCAGGCCTATGTCGATATTGGATGTAACATTCATCATAAGAGCATTAATGTCATGCACAAGCCGTTTCTTGTCTCGTCCAATCAAAACTGCTTTTGTTGCAGCTGGCGTCCCGGCTGCAACCACAGGCTCAACTTTGACCTCCGCCTTGATGGTGCTTCCGTAGAGAGGCAGCAGGGATCCGGTGAGTTCCGGAACCTTCCAGTAGACGTTGCCTGCTGGACCTACAACAGTCCTGACAGACACACGGCTCGTGGCAGGGTCTGTGTAAGGAGTCACCAACTGGGAGGCGTTGACAACACCATCTTTATCTGCCACTGATACTGTCGGCGTCAGTTGTCCTTGAGATGACTGAGCAAGTGTAGCAGTTTTCTGAAATTAGAAATCCAGTAATTTGAGCACATCAAAATTAAATGTTGACATTCAAAGGCAACTTATATATTAAAGAGGCACATGTCGATAGCGCGCTTTGGGAAAATCGGGATCATTTTGTGATAAAGTATTCATAAACATATAAAGCCCAGATGAATTCAAACAGTAATTTGCATATAGTACTCTTGCTAAACATACCATCAATGTAAAGGAGTAAGTTATATTGTTGTAACATGTCTACCTCTGATCATCTATTCAAAATTCAGACATATTCAGTATGTTGCAGTAAGCATTTGCATATTCCTCCACCTAAACATGCATGAGAGAACCTTCAGTGTTGATGGATTCAGCAACAATAGGTCAATCTTCTGCCACCTAACCACAAGCTCCCAGAATGCTATGAACAATATACAGCTGCCGCACCCGTGAAGATCCGGGTTAGAATTGGTCTTCAGTAACCCATGCTTGTCGTAAGAGGTGACCAACGGGATCGGGTGGTCAAGCTCGCTGACTTGGTTGACACATGTCATCGTATCATAATTGCGTAGATGCTCAAGCTGTTGATCACTGGATTGTCTGAACTCGATTATTTACAGACCACCACCATATAGTTGGAACATTGCTGAGTATGGCAAGCTTCATGGTCACTTTTAGAAACTTAAGGATGTCTTATTATAAATCAAAGTATCCTGGATTTACAGTTCTATGACTGTGGAGCAGTACATACCGACTCTTGTCTGCCTGTGGAACTGGAACACTGTGACGTGATGCCTGTGCATATACAGTCGAGACAGCCTTTAGTGTTGTTGCCATGGAGATAGAAGGATCCTGCTTTACACTGGTTGCATAGCAACCCCTCAGCATTGGCCTGAAGCATAAAACATTCAAATCCATCAAGTCATATCCTACATTATTGGAGGACATATTAAAAAAGCATGGAACTACACGATCCATGATAATGAGATGTTTGCGTGAAGATGATCCATTTTTGTGGAAGCAGCAATGGCCGAGTGGGTTAGATGGCTGACTTTGTGTGCTGACAATTAGGTGCCTTACTCTGAGAGTCTGAGTTCGAATCCCAGATGGGACTCAACCACCAAGAAGTACTAGAATCTGTACTTTACTGAGAAAGTGTCAAGTCCCAAATATAATATACGTTGCATTTGATCACTTTTTAAAAGGAACTGATTATTCAAGGCACTGTGTATTCAATGATTATTCAAATTTGTCACTCACTACCATCTGAATGAGTGAGTTGGTATTTATTGTTCCTTTAACCCCAAATAATGGCATGTTGCAAAAAGAAAGGCTGAAAAGATGCAGGCCCAAGACATTTAATACTTTGTTGAACCCATGGGCACAGGTTTGGTGCTAACAAACCAATAATAACAATCTGGGATTCAAACCCATAACCACCAATGCAGAAGACACCTATGGGACACAGGGACACATGATCATCTCTGTACAGCGAATGTTGGACCAGCCTCTAGTCTCACACTGACTGAAAGTGTTCAGAAATCAGAGCACTGTCGTCCACTACAAGAACTACATACCTTACAGGTACATTGACCCGTTGCTTTCTCACAAACAGTGGAGGTGGAGCCAACGCTGTCGCAGTTGCAGGGACTGCATCCAAGGGTGCTGAAGCCAGTGAATGTGTCTGCACACTGGTCACACTTGACGCCCTGTACTCCTATCTTGCAGGAACACACCCCTGTTGTTCCGTTACACCATGTCCGTAGGGAACCAGTGCTGTTGCAGTTACATTCCTGTTGGCATACACATTAGTGTTTGATGTATAAAACATCACAACATCATAAGCTTGACTTGATCATGTATCTATACGCACAAGAAAATGGTGTTAATTAATTTAAATCAAACAACCTGTTTGAGACAAGGCTCACTCATGAAAATGCCCTAATTCAAATAAAAAATATTTCAAATTTCTGAATATGTGTGCTATTATATGTGTACAGAACTGTCAGACAAAGATCAAGTCATAAAAATCCCCAATTTCAACATAAGGATGACAGTAGCTACTCATTTTGTGTACAATGAAGTCATGTTTGAACATATATTAGTTAGATGTTCTGTGGTCAAATATCAGTCCTCTAATCATTCAAACAGTATATATATATCTTGATATGCAGTCACAAACTTAAATTTTGTCAGACTTTGCTGAATAGGAACACTGATATTAAATACTTGTGAAGCAGATCTGAGCAGGATGACAAGAGAAGACAGGATAAAGGTGAATGTAATAGCAAAGTGACATGATGGTGGTTGAATGTGACAGGATGGTGGTTGAAAGGATGATGTGAAAAGGATGGTGGTTGAATGTGACAGGATGGTGATTAAATGTGACAGGATGGTGGTTCCATGTGGCAGGAAGTGGGAGGCAATGACAAGACACTGACAAAAAATGCCCTGACATGAGAAAAGGTGACAGGACGTGGACGGATATGGAAAATGGTGACAGGAAGTGGGTGGATGTGATAAAGGTGACAGGAAGTGGGTGAACATGAAATAAATCAACAGGAAGTGGTGAAGTTGTTGAGAAATAACTAATGATTTTAGGAGTCCAAACATGACATGTAGAAGAGTGATGCTGACCTTGCATCCAGTCGTTGCATCCCAGCCCCATGTGTTGAAGTTACACAGGTCACACCGCAGTCCGATAGTGTTGGGGGGACAGTTACACTGACCCGTCACCGCATCACACACAGCATTGCTGGACGCACAGTTGCAGCCTGGATAACAAGCAAGGTGACTCCATCAACATCAGTTGAAATAACTTTCTTGTCATGACTGTCCTAATGCTAACATCTTGCTGTGACACCATGGTACTGGGGGATACTGTGATCATTTTATTGCTGAAACTGATCTCCACTCACTATTGTTGACAATATATGTAGGTACTCTTTATTTATCATTAAAAAGTAATATTTCAACTATATCACGTTGGTCTGTAAAATCTTCAGGCTTTGCTAAACAAACCAGTGGTGGATATAATGAGCACCCCAGGTCCACATTTAATGACAAGCAATAAGGTGATGGGGACCATTCCTGACCCAGGTCAACTTTAGGTGACTGGGATCAGAGTGTTTGGGAGCTATTCCAACCTGGGTCCAAATTGATGACAACCCGTGAAGATCCGAGTTAGTTGATCTTCAGTAACCCAACCTTGTCGTAAGAGGTGACTAAGAGGATCAAGTGGTCAGGCTTACTGACTTGGTTAACACATGTCATTGTACCCCAATTGCATAAATCGATACTCATACTGTTGATCACTGGATCGTTTAGTCCAGACTCAGTTATTTACAGGCCGCTGCCCTAAGTCTGGAATATTGCTGAGTGTGGGGTAAAACTAAACTCACTCATTCACTCACCCAAATTGATGACAGGCAACAGAGTAAAGGAGACCTGTTCTAACACCTTTGGTTTAATGTGTCTAATGTGTTACTGCTTCAAGTGCCTTTGTTTAGCTACCAGATATTCCAACTTGTGTTCTTAAATCAAATATTTACAACAAAACCACTCTCTGTGAGTTCCACTTACTTGAACAGCCAGAGTCAGTGAGTTGGTAGAAGCCAGCGCGGCACTTGTCACACGCCCTTCCCGTCACTCCGTCTTTACACTGGCACTGACCGCCAAATGGATCACATGTTGCAGCTGACCTGCCCAGTTGGTTGCAGTCACAACTTCGTGGGCCGTTCATGTAGTAGCTCATCACTGAGAACAAGCCAGCCTTACAGATGCTCTCATCGGCAGTTCCATTCCTGTAGGTGCAAGGCCACTGATATTACAGTTGTCCCAAACGTTAAATATATTGTCAGATGAAACATAAGTTCTGCTTGCAGTTTTTTTAAGATCTAAGATCAGTTCCCTCAAGCAGATTCAGCCTTTAATTCAATCTCAGTAAAATCTGGGTGCCGTTGTACAAAGCAATCTTAACGCTAAGGGGACTGCAACTCCCACACCGTTTCATAGACTTAAGGTAGTCTTAGTGCTAAGGTTGTTTTGTACAATTGCACCAAGGTCTCCTGCATGATATGTCTAACTATTTGAGAGTGAAATATTGTTTTGAGTTTCAAATCTATACTCAAAATATACATATTGTAAGTGGAGTCTATGCTATACCTTTTTCTATGAGAATACCAAACATAGACAATGCTTTTTAGTAATAATCTATGTTCAGTGAACAAATACTGAATTGATAATACTCCAGAAACAACATTCAAAACAGACTTGCCAAATATAGCTGGATAACAACTGCTAATGAGAATGCTAAAAGACTTAACAATTACTATCGGATAACACTGTTGACAATAATGTGTATCACAAGCAAAAGGTTTGGTTTGCATATGTTCCAGACATATTATCAGGATTCCAGAGAAAAAAACTCTTCCGACACACACACAGAGTGACAATTACACAGACACTCAGACACAGACTCAGACACAAACACAAATTCACACACACACACGCATGCTCACACATATTTGTGACACTGCAACACTTTTAACACAAATGATGTTAAATATACGAAGATAAAGTAAACACACATACTTCATGTCGTTTGTGACCACGTCACATTTTTGGTCAAAGTCGGGGCTCTTGAGCAGTGGTGCCGTGTTGGTGAGCTCAATGGGGACACACATCAGTCGATCCTGTAAATAATTCTCATGGTAGGTGTCACAGCTGTCATGGGCATTTAACGTTACTCTTAGGACTCTGATGTGGCCTCTGCATATCATTAAAGGACTTTCAGGCTTATGAGAATCTGCTTGAGTACAGACAAGCTTATTATGGGAGTGAGTGAATGTGTTATGTTTTGTTCAATACAGGTCTTCAAATCATCTCCCCAAACATAATCTCTTCAGTGTCATACCTCAGAGTTACCTCCCTTGAACATGATTAACTCAGTGTCATACCTTTAAGTTATCTCCCTTGAATGTAATTTCCTCAGTGTAATACGTCAGAGTTATCTCCCTTGAACATAATTTCCTCAATGTCATACCTATGACTTCCCCAAAAGTGTCACATCTGGAAGTCAAAGTCATCCCTTCTGAACATACAATCCAACTAGCTTCATTTCAGGGAATTATCTCCCCTAAACATCATCTCCATGCTGCTATTGCAGAGTAATCTCCCTTGAACCTACCAAGTACAATGTGCCAAGGACTATGAATGTACACAGCTGAGTACTTGGCTGGAGAGTGGGAGTCCTGTAGTTTATGGTATCCACATAGCACCAGCGGTCAGGACATGCCAAGAAGTATATGGTCATCGGCCGAGGGTCATCTTAAAAATAAAAGAATAAGTGAAAATACCAATGGACATACACATAAAGATCAGAGGAAGAGAAAAACAGGTCTCCATTATCACTTTCCTATGGTGAACTTGACCGTAAATCATGATGTTAATGTGTGCATGAAATTCATGTGATCAAAGATTCTGAAACTGTGACTGAATTTTCTCTTTTGAATATAAGCATTAATAGAGCAATGTGTGTATAACTTACAGCAACAAGCATATGTTTTTTTTCACTTACCTGAGAAGACTTGCATACTGGCTGTTGTGTTGGCAGGGGCTGAATAACGGATTAGAATATTACACGTCCCACTAAAGGTCGTGCCCCCAGGAAACACTATGCTTGTCTTGATACTGGACTGAAATTTATAATAATAATAATAATAATTGGTCATTTATATGAGGCTGAACTCCGCACGGACATGCTCTAAGCGCATACAACATGGTGGACATTACGCTAAGTAACGCAAACTGCCTGCGAGACGCTAGAAGGTTAAGTCATATGACTTATACTACTGGGTACCCATCTTCTGCAGGGTGAATTTCACTAAAAATCTATAACAATATTTCTTCAACATTTTTGATCAACCATTTAATATTTGGAGCAGCAACATATTGTGAACGACTCACACTGTTAGGACATCAAGCCAAACATTTATAATTGTTTTACAACCAGTAAAACATTTAGGTTTTCAAGGACTTTTAACATTAAGGAAGAATCCCAGATCACTCAATATACTTAACACCACATTGTCAGTAACATGCCAGAATTTACCATGAGGACAAGTGCTACCAATAACTAAAACCAAGATCACTATCTGTGACCATCAGGATCATCTTGACAGGCATTACCTTAAACAAGCATCATCTCAAACAATAATCACTTTCACCGAAGCATTCATCACTTTGAAAAAGTATCTTCACCTCAAACAGTCACTAATCATTAATTTAAACCGACATCTGCTTTGTAATCATCACCTTTAAAAATCATCATTTAGGGATTATTGTCATCAATAAACAGCCATCACCAAAAACAGTCATCACTTTACACATGCATCACCTCAATAAAACTCATCACCTCAATAACAATCATCATGTTAAACAATAATCACCTTAAACAACTTATCACCTCATTAAAACTCATCACCTTACACTAGCATCACCTCAATAAAACTCATCACTTAAAACAAGCACCACCGAACAATCATCATCACCATAAACGATTATAGTCAGTCATAAATATCACAGTATCACTACACCATTCACTACTACATATCAGATAGATACAGATATGGATATATATAACGATATAGATATGGATACAGACATTGATACAGACATGGATATAGATATGGATGCCACAGACATCATAATCAAGCACCACAACAACAATCTGCATCGCCAGCAGCAGCAACACAACATTGTGTTACCTGCACCTTCAGCCCCGTTACAGGTATAACACAATAACAACACTGTAATTTTGCCTACCCCAAAATTCTGTGTTGCGTATCCATTTCCCATAAATCCAGGAATGTCTCTGTGAGTCACAGTCCCGAGGCTGTCCTCGAAGTCTGTATGGATGAAGTGAACGTCTGGGGTGAAGAATCCTGGAGCAACACTGGGGATGGGACAAAATGCTTGTTTAGTGGAGGTCCTTCCTTCCCTCAGCTCATAACACATACAGTGCTGTAATTGTTTACATGTCACAGAGACAGGCTCTTAATAGAGGCAGGTTCTAAATAGAGTCAGCTCATAATAGAGGCAGGTTCTAAATAGAGTCAGCTCATAATAGAGGCAGGTACTAAATAGAGTCAGCTCATAATAGAGGCAGGTTCTAAATAGAGTCAGCTCATAATAGAGGCAGGTTCTAAACAGTCAGGTTCTAAATAGTCAGCTCATAATAGAGGCAGGTTCTTAATTGAATCAGCTCATAATAGAGGCAGGTTCTAAATAGAGTCAGCTCATAAATAGAGGCAGGTTCTAAATAGAGTCAGCTCACAACATAGGCAGGGTCAGTTCAAATAGAGTCAGCTCAGCTCATAATAGAGTTCTAAATAGAGGCAGAGTTCTAAAGTCAGCTCATAATAGAGGCAGGTTCTAAATAGAGTCAGCTCATAATAGAGTCAGGTTCTAAATAGAGTCAGCTCATAATAGAGGCAGGTTCTAAATAAAGTCAGCTCGTAATAGAGGCAGGTTCTAAATAGAGTTAGCTCATAATAGAGTCAGCTTCTAAATAGAGTCAGCTCATAATAGTGGCAGGTTCTAAATAGAGTCAGCTCATAATAGAGTCAGGTTCTAAATAGAGTCAGCTCATAATAGAGTCAGGTTCTAAATAGAGTCAGCTCATAATAGAGGCAGGTTCTAAATAGAGTCAGCTCATAGCAGGTTCTAAATAGAGTTTGCTCATAATGCAGGCAGGTTCTAAATAGAGTCAGCTCATCATAGAGGCAGGTTCTAAATAGAGTCAGTTCAGTGGCAGGAGTCAACTGATAATAGTTACTTGCATGATATTTAACACTGAAAACACAAACTCAACTATCCAGTATCTAAACAGCAGAGCCAAGTTGCTCATCAGATTGAAAGTGACAAGAGGACAACATTTATTATTCAGAAAGAGCTAATCAAGAGAATGAGTAAATACAATTTGTTTTAAGCTTCAGTAATATCCCATCCATGTCATGGCTGTACATAAACAATGAAGGATTGACAAGACAAACCAGTGTTTGATATTACGAACATGTAAGGGAAAAAGCGTTATTCCAGAATGGAACAGCATTCACCCATAAACAACACTTGAGACAAAGAAGTAACTAGGGCTGTATGCTACATCGAACTATCAATGGATTGCAATTGTTGAGCCTCCGATAGCATTTAATCGATGGTAGGAATGAAAAACTATCGATGCAACGATAGTATGTGTGACTATTGATAGTAAGGTATTTAGAACCTGCCTCTATGATGAGCTGACTCTATTTAGAACCTGCCTGTATTATGAGCTGACTCTATTGCAATACTATTGCAATAGTTGGTCGCAATAGATTATGTAGTATGTAGCAATAGAATATATCCAGGGGTGGAAATAAAGCATTGCCCGACGCCCAAGCCAAGTGTTTTTTTTCTGTCGGGCAAGCAAATTTGTATATCACACTGTTCCAGTGTCCAGTTGATATTCCAATGTTAAAGGTCACATGCAACCAAAAAATCAAACATAATTAAAACACAATTATCACTTATTCATGACATATAATATACATTGCTGGTTATGAAAAAACATATAAACAAAATTATAAGCGTACAATCGCAAATCAAAAGTGCAATATTGTGTACTTCGGTTTACTTCCCAAGAAACGAAGCAGCCGGGATACCGAACCCAGTCAGAGCGGGTGGGTGTGCACTCAAGTGTAACGGCTGGTTCATTTGCAGATGCCGTCACGGCTCATTGTGTGTGTATATATAGAGATGTTGGGTTTTGTAAATACATGCTCATTTTTTGTGTATAACATTTTACAATCAACAGACATCATAACATGTCATGTGTTCAAGTATCACACCTGCCTGTCTGTGTAATTACATAATGTGACAGAGGCCGAACCGGGCCATAAATCAATGCATTTTGTTTATGGTGTATAGCCTGATTGGTGTTAAGTTCAAATTGCAGGTCAGTGATAGCAGCTGTGTATTGAATATTGTCATTAGCAGACAGGCAGGCAGACACACAGGTGTCAATAAAACAAGACATTGAATTTTGTCTGTGACAACGACATATCTATATCTCAATTCTGTCAACGCTAAATAATGACATTGCTTTCAAGTATCGAACTGAGAAAGTGACTCGGTAAGAAGAACGTGTGGTGAAATAGACAAATGAAATTATATAAACAGTTAATTTACTGTCATAACATATAAAAAGCTCGCGCCTGTGAGATATCAACAAAACATTAGAAAAATAGCTCACACCAATGCCTTCACCGGAGTATTCAACCCGCTTCCAAGCTGCGCGAACCTATTTCACTGCGCACATGCTATGAGCGCAGCCCAGCTGTTGAAACCCGTTTTCCCCAGAAAAGTCGGGGGAAAATTAGTGAAACGTTTGAACTCCGATTTTGCGCGTTTTTTTTCATCGCGTTATTTTTCAACTTTATAAGTTGAATTTGCATTTTTGACGATTTGTTTCGGTAAGTCCATACCGAAAGGTATCAGAATCTGCAAAATTGTGTTTTACGTTGCATGTGACCTTTAATTATGTTGTTTATTTAAAAAATCAACAAGAAAACGGACGGTATAGTGGAAAAATTATCAGGCCAAGTGATTTTACATGTGCCACTGTACCGGAGTACACTAGCAATTTTAAAGTGATTTCCACCACTGATATCTATCGCAATAGCTGTTCCCCCTCAATAGTCACCCCTAGAGGTAATATCCATGACAACTGGAGACAGGGGATGTATATTGCTCATCACAATGCCTCATCAGCTAATCCAAGTGTTTGATATCAGTCATACATACCTGTCACACTTCCTGCCCTGGACATTTGGTCGACAGAAGCACTGTCCAGTGACCTTGTTACACGTTGTTGAGGAGGCCCCGCCAACATCACACCCACATGGGGTACAGCCTAGACAACAAACAAGACAAACCCATTAATATCATTACTTCATTGAGTATATATTCTCATACTATTCAAGTTATGAATCATCACTTATTTCCATTTTTTCTGAAGGCTAAACAAAACAAATCTCTTTTAAAATATGCAACATCACTTGGAAATCTGCATGCAAGGCCTTCATAGTTTTGTTACAGAACAAAATATGTTTCTGTCATCCATTCAAGAACATATATCCTCATGTGCTGTAGACTTAATAAAGAGTTTTAGTTCCTTCCAAAGCTGAATAAGCTCAAAGTTTCATATATATAACAAACACTTTGTACAGCCTTTGTCAACAGCTGGAATTGAAATATGCCTGGGAACAGTTGAAAAAACAAACACTTAGTATCCAATAATTTTTTACAAAAAGTCTTACTTCCCTCAACAGTTTGAAAACAATAAGCCTGGGAACATTTAATTAGTGAGGTCATGTTGTAACATGTAGTGAGCCAATCATTATCGTTAATGTGAAAGCAGGAATGTTCAGAAGAGTATGTGGAAACGTACCGTTACTATCATTGCCTGCCAGACCATAGAAGCCATCTTTGCATACGTCACATCTCCGTCCCTCTACGTTCGGCTTACAAGTACACTGGCCAGTAGCATCAGGCACACAGGTCTCGTTGGCTCCAACTGTACCATTGAGGTTACATCCACAAGCTGCAGACAAGGTACAAGACAGGGTACAAGACAAGGTACAAGACAGGGTACAAAACAGGGTACAAGAGAGGGTACAAGACAAGGTACAAGACAAGGTACAAGACAGGGTACATGTGATACTCAGCAACTGAAATATGTAACATGTTCCGGTTTTACTGTTAAGCTGTACTAACAGTTCACATCCAGGCGCGTAGCAAGCTGATTTTTGTGTGTAAGCCTGATAGGTTTTAAAGCTTTATATATACATGTAGATAGTATTGAGGGCTTGCTCAACCTTTCTGGCAAGAATCATGTGTAAACCCGAGCTTTTTCTTATAATGGTAGCTACGCCCCTGACATCTTGCCGTTTTCTGTGATTACTTGTTTCTGAACTCACTCCAAACCACACTGTGACTTTACAAACTACCCCGTATTCACTCCAAACCATTCTGTGATTTACTCAGCTATCAGTAATTCAGTCATTCAAAAAAACTTAGTAACCTACCCAGCTAACTCACTCACTCACTCCGCACCACTCACCATCATGCCCCATAAATTACTTCCAAGCCACCCCTGACTGAGTAGCTCAACCCACCAGTGCTTCACAAGCTACCCCTGACTGAGTAGCTCAACCCACCAGTGCTTCACAAGCCACCCCTGACTGAGTAGCTCAACCCACCAGTGCTTCACAAGCTACCCCTAACTCACTCACCTATCCCCCCAATGACCATTCCAGCCAGTCCCCTCTAACTTACCCACCCTACCAATTCCTCTGGATCCTTGTCACCATCCTCTCAGTCATCTAATCAACCACTAAATGACCAACCACAGTCACTCCAACACCCAGTCTTACATTTAGCCAGCTATCTCAACTTGCACAACACCCACATTCAGTCCCACAAATAAAGTCAGCTTATTAAAATCTTATTAAAAATATACATATCTACCAAAATATAAACTAAAAACTCCGAATGGTGCAAAGAGCAATGTTTACATCTGTGTCAACCTAGACTTGCCCAATCCTTCTAAGCTTGAGTTGGACTCCTTCTCCAATGTATTCTCCAAGGACTGGGAGATTGAACCACCAAGTTACCTATCTCTCACTCACCCACACTTCTATCTTATTCAAGCAATAGTAAATATGACAACATAAGCTACAAGGAGAGCATGAACACGAAGGCCAAATTCAACATAGGATTTTATTGAATCTAAGACTCCCTATGAAAAAAAAACTTGTTGGAAATTGTTTTTGTTGTTTTTAAACGGTGCACATGTATGTTCTAGTTATGTGATAGCCATCTGGAACAGACAATTCATCGATTGATAGTATGCACATTGATCTACTCAGTTGTCACATGTCAACCAAGACAGCGCGTCTGACCACCTGATCTCCACCCAAACCATTCTAACACCGATCTTCGCGAAGTGACTCACTCTTTACCCTGCCACCCTCACCCATAAGTTTGTTTCCATACACTGCTGCCAAGATGCAAACCTTCGACTGGAGATCTGGGTTAGATTTGGTTTTCAGCAGCTCACACTTGTAAGAAGAAAATAACCGGATCGGGTGCTCCAGCTCACTGACTTGTTTGACACATGTAATTGTATCCAACTTGCTTAAATCGATGCTCATACCGTTGATCACTTGATTGTCTGGTCCAGACTTGATTATCAAAGACTATTTACATAGCTGGGATATTTCAGAGTGTAGCATTAAACAACAAACAAACGATTCCTTGACATGTTCAACCTGTGTCTCACCTGTACAACCATCAGGGTTTGCCTCGTCCAGGTTGTAGAAGTTCTGCTTACACTGGTCACATTTTATACCTTGGACATTGGCCTTGCAGTAGCAGTCTCCAGGGTTCTGTATACAGCAGAATATCATCAATATACATGTCATACATGCATACTCAGTCACATTGCCACCATGTTATAAAGTTGTATACTAACATTGCCACCATGTTATAAAGTTGTATACTAACAATGTCATGTTATAACAGTCACATTGTGAATATGCTGTAATGGTCACACTGTGACTATAATATACGTTATTGGGTATAGTCACCACTTTATACATATGTACAGTTACATTGTCACTGTGTTGCACTAACATTGGTGTAGTGTTATACATGTGTATATTCACACTGTCACAATGTGTTTAGTCAAATAAGCACCATGTTATACAATTGTGTATAGTCACATTGTCACCATTTTATACAAATGTATACAGTCACATTAACATTGGTGTAGTGTTAAACATGTGTATGGTCAAATTGTCACAATGTCATACATTATATGCAGAAGAGTAGTGTCAAACTGGCACCATGTAACACACATGTATTGTCATACTGTTATCATGTCACACGTGTATACAGTCACATTGTCACGTGTAGTTGTTCCCATTCAACTTATTACGAGTGGCATTGTGCTTCGTGAAATATTTGTTACTTCGTATGCTCATTTCTTATATAATGCAATCAAATGCATCTAATACAGACTTATGACAGTTCCGATCAAGAAAATGGCATAACGCACAATGGACTCGTCCTGGGTATGTTTCTGTATTCTGATATTGGCTAGAGTACATTTCTGGAGGTACACATCTGTGCTACCCATGCCGACAACGACCCCTTCAGCTAAAATAATCTAGTTAAGGGACAGTGAGACAGACTATACCATACCTTGTTTGCCGGGAGGGGGGGATTATCATTCATGACACAGTCCCCTGAGAGTCCCGACCAGATATTGATGGTGGAGCCGGCAGGATTACAGCCACACAGGACACAGGCTTGTGGGTCAGTCTGTGCTCTGCCCGCTGGCCGGTAGTAAAAGGGCATACATCTCTCACAGTTAACACCTGTTTGAAGGAACAAGGAAACATTCTGAGAATCCAAAAATCTAAATTTTAGAAGCATGTCCATCATGCATTGCTATGATATTAATGGAGTAAAACCTTACTCACTCACTCACTCACTCTTGACATGATCATTTTTGGGGCAGTTTTAATCATTTTAGTTATGGCTATGGTAATTCTAACTTTCCAGGGCATTGTGACTTAAAGATAGTCAGACTACTACCTTCTTTCGATGATAATGCCCTAAAAATTGTGTCACGGTAACAGGTGAGAGCTGCATCACTTTGTGAGTGAGTGAGTGAGTGAGAGCATGATTTTACGCCGCTTTTAGCAATATTCCATCAATATCACCGCAGGGGGACCCATCACTTTGTGTCTTCCTCCACATTAAGCAGATATACCATATACCATATAACTGTGATACTGTTAAACCAAATACACTCACAGTACTTGAGAGATGCTCACACTATCAACCACTGGTTTTCATGCTCAACACCTCCATCAGTCGAGATACTGACTACTGTACCCACCGGCTGTGTTTTGCTGGCAGTTGATGCACTGGCCTCCCCCGTTCTTCTGTCCTGTGGTGTTCAGACTCTGGTTCTTAGCTTCCACCTCGCTGGAGTATGTGCACTCCAAGGAGTGGTTGAAACAGTTGCATTCTGTAACAAGGAGATTCAATCTGTATCAGACTTCCAAGCTTAAAACTGAAGATGAAAACATAAATCCACTAACCTTTTGTGACAGATGTACAGACAAAACTTGATGACTTCCTGTATACAGGGATTTCCTGTATTTAAGCCCACTCATAATTACGCCCATGGGCTTAATAACGGGATATTTTCCCATTATTAAGCCCATGGGCCTAACATAAGATTTCAAATTTTATTGTTTAGAGTGACGTCCCTTTACAACAGCACATATAAAAGTCGCGGTAGCTGAGCGGGTTAGGCGGCTGACTTTGTGTGCTGGCGATTAGGTGCCTGACTCTGAGGGTGTGAGTTCGAATCCCGGATGGGGCTCAACTCAAAAAGTACTAGAATTTCTTTACTAAGAAAGTGTAACCCAAATATAACATATGTTACATTGGATTTTTAGAGGCATTGATAAATATGTATCTTCAGGTTTGTGTTTTGAGGAATTCACTCAACAGGCATGTAATAGTCAATAACACCAGCAAATATGAAAACAACATGTTTGTATCCATACATTAATTGTATCAATACACCATGGATCATTGCTTGTACTATTAACCACTGGTTTGGGTTGTCTAAATATGGTCATGTACAGGCTGCTTTGCTGTAATTGGCTATTAGTGACTGCATACCTTCACAGGCGACAGCGTACTGCCAGGCTTTCTGGTTGTAGAAGGGGAGACAGCGCTCACAGAACTGGCCTACGGTGTTGCCGCCACACACGCACTCGTAGATCTGGGTCTGAGGACTGAGTACACAGTCAGTAGCATGGCCGTTACACACACACTCTGCCATCACCTCCAGCTCGGAAATCGCAAAGTGATGCTGAAAATATAGACATAGACTTACAAATACAGCTCTGATATGGCATTGATGCTTGAAATATAGCATGGCACAACTTTCTGACACAGCTCGTAAGGTGTTAGGGAAAAACAGACATCGACTTACAAATACAGGTCTAAAAGGACAAAGTGTTGGTGACATACAGGTATTGCATCTGGATCAGTTACAGCAAAGTGTTTGGTTTGTTTATTTGTTTGATGTTATACGCTACACTCAGCAATATTCCAGCTGTATAGCAGCAGTCTGTAAATAATCGATCTGGACCAGACAATCCGGTGATCATTATGAACATCGATCTACACTGGGATACGATGACATGTGACAACCAAGTCAGCAGTTTGACCAGCCAATCCTGTTTGTCGCCTCTTACGACAAGCATGGTTGCTGAAGACCAATTCTAACCCAGATCTTCACAGGTATCCAGGTGTTGGAGAGAGATAGCCAAAAACATCTAGATCCCACCCAACACTGACACAGCAAAGTGAGGGGAAATATTGACATGAAATCCAACAGCAAGAAAACCTGAAGACTGTTCCCTTCATGGTCCACCTGCACAAAGTACAAGTCTGTAAAAGCTGGCCATTTTGTAACAGTCCCCATGTTGACTGCAGGGAGCAACAAATCGAAAATAGTGCCACCACACTGTCACTCACCTGATTATATATTGTCAACAGCATCAATGTCAACAAAGACATACCATTGAAAAAACTTTACTGTCACAATTGATGCAATAAATATTCTGGACAGAAATACTGAAGAGTTGAAACTGAATGATTTGAACAAAAAGTGATGTCATCAAAAGGAGACACCAATATGCTACAGATCTTCTCCCTCAAGCTGACCATTTCACAGAAGTAAAGTATAGGGCCAAATATGACTTTTGTGAGAAAAAAGGAAATTGTCAAAATCCGGTCAAAATGCTAAAAATGGAACAAAAATTTCACATCATTATAACAAATGCCTAAAGAACGGCCCTACAGAGATCTTTCAATATGGTTGATGTGGTAGATTGAATTCAAACCACAAGAACAAATTGGGTTGTCACTTTTGGTGAGAACAAGTAAGTAAAATGTCAGCTTCATGTGGTTTTGGAGGAGATGATATTTACAGTGTCGGGAAATGCATTTTGAGAAAGTTTATGAGCATGTTGGTGTAAAGGTCAAATAATTGTCAAAATGTATTTCATTTTACAAATCATAACACATTTGTCAAGGCTCTCAATACACAGGAAATATCCAAAAGAAATCTTATCTTGCAGTATGGTGAAATCTAGAATATCACAAAAATTGATTTTGAAGCAATGACATTACAAGCACAATTTTCATGATGAGATAGGGAGCAGTGGCGTAGCCTAGTGGTTAAAGCATTTGCTCATCACACCAAAGACCTGGGTTCGATTCCCCACGTGGGTACAATGTGTGTAGCCCATTTCTGGTGTCCCTCGCCCTGGTATTGCTGGAATTCTGCCAAAAGAGGCATAAAACTAAACTCACTCATGATGAAATGGACATTAGGCAAAGATATAAGCTCACTTGACTTTTAGACAGGTGAGCTAGATGTACAATTTTAGTATTCGGCATTGATCTTCATGGTCACTTACAATTCACACATTGACATAATTACTTTCCAACAGTTTTTTTTTCAGATTCCATGCGTCCATAACTTTTAGATTTCATCCCTAGTTGATTAGTAACAGAGATAGTATTCACCCTACAGTACACAGAACTACAGATAACTTTTTGGGTCATTGAGTTATGTACTCCCTTGTCTTCATCTCAATTGGGTATCCTAATTTTCCTTTGAATAACCAAACAAATTGTACCCACCTTGCTCAAACTCAGTTGGGTATTTTGCCATTAACAGTAAAAATATAACAAAATTTAAATGTTGGTTCACCTATTTGTTATTTATATTGATCTGTAAAATGAGAAACGATAAGAAAGACTGCAAGTTGCCAAGTTCATGTGCTGAAATAGAACCTTTCAGTATACCTCAGTTATTTTATTTATCCTCTGGTACACAAGCTAAGATTTGACATTTTTGTGTGTATGCATGTAAGATCAAATTTATTGAGTATTTACAAAAATTCAAACGTACTTGTACGCAATAGACTTACCGGTAATAGGAATTGAGTTTTCACATTAATATTTGCGTAATTTACGTAGATACGCAGCTTATCTGTACCTCTGAGTACAGCATCGACTAACATATCAGCCTGTTTAAAAAATACTGGTCAGGGGCTCCTTTCACGAAGCAACCTTTACTAAGGTTAACCTTAACTCCCATTCTTTAACATTGCACTTAGTGACTTACGATCACCTTAATGCTTTGTGAAAGGAGGCCCAGGAAAGACCACTCAAGCTATTTGTACCAATTATGATTTCATCATATATATCTTCATTAACAACAATGCACAAAATTTCTGACAAAAAATGTGAATTGTTAGCCACACATTCATAGCCTGATCCAGAGGCCATCTATCAGTATAAAGTCTCTGTCTGATCTATTAAAGCTTTACAAATATAAGCCCATACACTAACACTTAAAATATACTTAAAATGATATCAAGTTCTGGCGTTTTGACTCAAGTGTTCTCACAGATTGAGAGAAGCAATCACAATGACATGCTCTTTTAAAAATGCTTATAGCTTCATGTCATGTTTTAATGAAATGTGATGCCAACACAAACTGCACTGACAAGTTATAAGGCCATACCCCTCCTATATAACTACTAAGTGTGACAATGAAGCATATTGATCCTAATTTGTGCAGTCTCCGACACCTGTTGCCAAGTTAGATCTATTGTTTGTATTAAGCACAGAACTACATGTCTGGAGAGGCAATCAATACTTTCTTTACCTGTCACAATGGCTACCATCGACTGGCTTTACAGGCTTTTGTAGTAATTGATAATCAACGTTATATTAATTTTCCACTGGTTAACATAGGTGAAATTTAGAAATGAATACTTGGACTATTTTTATGCATGTAGAACGCATACACAACGCACCGGTAAGCAGCGTCGAGCTTGGAGAGTCCTTGGATGGGTGACCATGTTTGGTCAGCTTGACTCCTGAGAGTTTCTAGGACTTGAGTCCCGCCCCACAACAAAACACATGTGATACATGTGGTTTCACCTTAGGCAAGTGAGTTTGTTCACAATTGCCTCTGTTCACCCAGCAGGAAAATGGGTACCGGTGGAAAAAGTCATATGACTATAACCTTCTAGCGCCTAACAGGCAGCTTGGGTTATCCGGGGTAATAATGTGCTGTGCCTTGATTGTTAGCGCTATGAGCATACCTAGTGTGGAGTTTGGCGCTATATAAATGGACACATTATTATTATTATTATTATCCATGGAAACAGGTATAGGCCACGACAAAGTAATACAATCATGCAAAAGTTGAAAGAATCTATCTGGTGTAACAGGCCAAACTTTAGCCTAGGACAAACCTTCCCTGGGGAGATTCTGGCCTAGCTAGGCTAATTCTTCCCCAAACTTGTTTTCATGTTTATGTTCGTCTATAGTTATTCACTTGAACACACTGAAAAGATTTAAGATAAATCCGTAAATATATTTAAGGAATAAGAGTGAGAAAAATGGATGATTTCTTTCAATTCAATACCAAACAATTAAGGGTGAAACATCAACCTGATTGTTATGTATGTAGTAGACCCTTTAGCTTAACAGGAAATTAAAGAAAATAGTTTTGTATCAGTATGTATCTCTGTGACATGAGTACTAAAATATAAACCACTGGTAAAAATAATCATGTTTGACCCAACACAATTCCCTAATTCCAAATTATTAAAAATAATTTAATATTACAAAATTTATCTTTAATTATTTTATATTATATCATTACTATTGTTTTATATTATTATTTACTTATTTTTATTTTTCAATAATTTACTTATCCCAACTTATTCCAAATTGGTTTATCTCAAAGTCATTACTATATTCGAAACTTTAACTAAATGCCAAGTTTTTACTTGGATGTCCATATCCATTCAAAATTTTATTCCCTCGCTCATGGCTTTAAATATGGCATCCACATCGGCGACATCAACTAAACAGTTGGAAGCAGACATAAACATCAACACAACAATAACAACCAGACACAATATCTGTATCAAATGCTTTATCATCTGTCATTCCACTATATTGCCTTATTCTATATTCAAAAGACAAGGTTTGATAATGATATCGGTATACTTGGCCCATGGATATCTGAAACATATTTCATTCACCAAAAAGTGATTATGGATTGGTAAACAAGCTTATATGAATAATGTTCCATGACATCTGTACATAAATACAAAATATACTAGATAATAACAGCATGATAAGAGAGCAAGCAACCTGTGTATATTCCATCTTATTTACACATCAAATGTGCAACTGAATGTTTAGGTACAGGGGTGGTGGGGTAGCCCAGTGGTTAAAGCGTAGGCTAGTCACGCCGAAGATACAGGTTCGATTCCCCACATGGGTACAATATGTGAAGCCCATTTCTGGTGTCCCCGGGTGCCATGATATTGCTGGAATATTGCTAAAAGCAGCGTAAAACCATATCCACTCACACACTCACTATGACCTAACTTCAGTAATATATTAACAGTAAATCACTTGAAAATGACATATTGATGATCCAAAACACACAATGCTCACATCATAAACATTGTTTGGTTGTTCGTCAATGAACTCAACAGAGCTAGAGTTTAAAAAAAAAATTATATTCAGAATTACATTTATTGAAAATGAAAAGAGATCAATACTTTAGATCATCAGCCAATTTCTGTTGTCCCCTGCCTTGATAGTGCTGGAATATTGCTAAAAGTGGCGTAATACTAAACTCACACATTTGATTTAGTTTGTTGATCATCAATATGATCACCTCCAGCTTGAAACAAAATGCATTGCAAAGACTGTGACAAGCCATGCATCAGACAGGGGGACAATGGTTGTCGCTGCTCGTTGTTTCGATGGGGTCATTAATGTAAACATAGCAAGAACCTGCTTAATCCACACCCTTGAACACTGCAGTGACTGCTTTGTACTTACAAAGAGATGAGCTTCTCGGCTGAGAGTAATTTCCATTTCATAGAACTCAATCCTGATGTAGCGAGCTCTTGTCCATTCCTGGAAACAAGGATTGTTCATCATTAGTCAATATTAATAATGTCAAATTTTAATTTCAAATGATATACTGAGAAAAACAAATAGAGGAACACAGGAAAATTCAAGCGTTCCTTTAATATGTTCCAGTTTTCATCACCAGCTTTGAAAAGTGCTGTTGGAGGAAATCTGAGAAAAAACAAAGGATCACTGTCATGAAGTGGTGTTCCCTTATTTGTTTCCCTCAGTATATATATGACTATCTATGATCCATTTACTTGCTCTATTTGATTTAATACCAAGACATGCTGTCACACATGAATTGATGTACATGAATATATTCATTGTGTGTACTTGGAAGAAAATGGCACCTTATATAACTTACTCTAAATTGTAAATCTTGGACTGAGGAAATAGACAAATGTTGAAAATCAGTCAGAACTATCATGACAAATAGATAATCATGACATAGCTTACCCTGAGTTCACTGGGAACAGCTGTGAAATTAAACTGAATCTGAAACAAAGAGTGAGTAAATGTTCAACTACTTCATCAGTGGTATTCCTTTTATGAATAACGTCTTATCATAAAGTCATCTGGTCGCACTGATCGTGGTCAATATCTTAAATACAATCAGGTAGGATGCAGTCATAATTTTACAATACAATCAGGCTGTATGCAGTCAGTATTTTACAACACAATCAGGTGGGATGCAGTCAGTATTGTACAATACAATCAGGTAGGATGCATTCAGTATTTACAATACAATCAGGTAGGATGCAGTCAGTATTTACAATACAATCAGGTAGGATGCAGTCAGTATTTTACAATACAATCAGGTAGGATGCAGTCAGTATTTACAATACAATCAGGTGGGATGCAGTCAGTATTTTACAATACAATCAGGTAGGATGCAGTCAGTATTTACAATACAATCAGGTAGGATGCAGTCAGTATTTACAATACAATCAGGTGGGATGCAGTCAGTATTTACAATACAATCAGGTAGGATGCAGTCAGTATTTACAATACAATCAGGTAGGATGGCGTCAGTATTTACAATACAATCAGGTAGGCTGCAGTCAGTATTTATAATATAATCAGGTGGGATGCAGTCAGTATTTTACAATACAATCAGGCAGGATGCAGTCAGTATTTACAATACAATCATTCAGGATGCAGTCAGTATTTACACTACAATCAGGTGGGATGCAGTCAGTATTTTACAATACAATCAGGTAGGATGCAGTCAGTATTTACAACACAATCAGGTGGGATGCAGTCAGTATTTTACAATACAATCAGGTAGGATGCAGTCAGTATTTTACAATACAATCAGGTGGGATGCAGTCAGTATTTTACAACACAATCAGGTAGGATGCAGTCAGTATTTACAATACAATCAGGTGGGATGCAGTCAGTATTTTTCCATAGTCAGATGTGATGCAAGTTGTACATAATCTGTATTAGGAGAGTTTTATATGACATGTAATTCAAGAGTATCTGGCTGAACAATTTTGTAAAATACTAAAATTAGTTTCATATGAGTCATAGCTGACTCACTGTTTTTTCAAATATGTGTATTGTGAATCCAGATAACTGCATATAATGACCATGCACAGCAACAGACTATCTGTAACAGGACAACATATAGAGGATATTATATGAGTGCCCATGTCATACTATGTTTATGACACCAGTGCCAAACTGTTGGTACTTCCCAAGCGAGAGCGAGGGATATACCGATATTTAGGCATGAGTGTCGTAAACATAGTATGATATGGGCACTCATATGATATTCTGTTTATTACCGAGGTCGTCAAATTCAAACATAGGCGGGCTACCCGCCTTCGCCCGCATGTAGAATGCAACGTCACAGAAGAAACATGACATCACTGCATTGATCATGACATCACTTCACCACGATAAAGTGACATTTTGCTCTACGGCATCTTATGAAAATATGAACCCCGATATTTCACCCTCGTAGGTAATAATACAAAGTATGCTGTCACACAACTTACTTTGTTTGGACTTAATAATAATATTTTTTTATTAACAAAATACTTTCATGACTCCCAAAATTCTAAAATGTCTCCCAAAAACATTTACTGTGACTTGCCATGACTCCCATTTGTAGGTTGTGTAAAACCCTGATTTATATATTAGTGCTGTAAGCTCATGTGCATAAGGTGTAGTAAGAATGTTTATCATACAATGTATGAACCAGAACAATGTGAAATCATATTACTGTAACTGTGTCCAACAGTAATGACAGTTATATATACAAAGTTTATCATCCAAAACTGTGTTCCACAGGAGATATCGCTTGTGTGAGATCAAATGATATCTCCTAGGAGATATCGTTTTGACAGTAGATTTTGTACAATGCCCTGACAATGCTATGACGTCATTTACTTGATGACGTCACAATGCTATGACATCGATGCCCTGCAAGTCTAATGGCAGTACCATGTTCAGAGATGTACATTTTTCATTGAAAATTAATGAAGAGTGATTTTAGATGATAAATAGAATCTCACCCTCGTGTCTTCTGATATCAAATATATCAACACTCGTTGATAAAGTAAAAATATCCTCAGCAAGCCTCGGATATTTGTAACTTTATCAACTCGTGTTGATATAATTGATATCAGAAGACACTTGGGTGATATTCTCTATTTACTAACAGTGACTTTTAAAATGATGTATAAGTGTCAGCTTACAATTTCAAAGGTGGTGGCTGGGTTCTGTGAGTATCTGGCACACACAGTGGCTCCGGGGACATTGGGGAGGTCAATGGGGGGGGGGGTGCTGAACTTGGACTGGCACTCCTCGGCAAAGTTGACCTTGTAAGCCCACTGTGCATACCCCATCGTCAGGTTGTCCGACTTGTGGATCGCTATGAAGTTTGGCCGTTTTGCATCTCCCAACTTCAACGTCAGCAGCTGCACTGTGAACGACTGCAATAAGATTTTAGAAGTTTAAACTCCTGTAAAAACATCGCAACTTTCAAGTGGCATTTTATATTCTCTTGTTTAATCCCCCACTCACCAATATCCAGGTATATAGGCAAGATAATCCAGTGATTGACATCATGAGCACCAGTCGGAGATACAATGACATGCATCATCCAATTTCGGTGTTCTGACCACTTGATCTCAATAGTCACCTCTTACAAGAAGCATATGTTGGTGAAGACAAAATCTAATCTAGCTCTTTACCATGAGTTACACTGACATTTTAGAGAGTAAACATTCCTGCAGACTCCAGGTGTGGATGTCAGACTCTCTATTCAGCTCCTGTGTTCTCACTATGTCAGTACACATGGTAGCATTCTCATCAATCAAGTTCAAGCACTTGAATGTACTAAACTGATGTTTTCTTTTGTTTGTTTTTTTCTGTTGTTATTTAATGCCACACTCAGCAATATTCTAGCTACATGGTGGCATCCTGTATATAATCGAGTCTGGACCAGACAATCCAGTGATCAACAGCATGAGCATCAATAAAAAAGAAAGAACATACCTTGTGTTTTGAAATTATTTCAACAGAATCAATATTCATATTTTGAAAAGTTTTTATTGTAAAATACAAGTCACAAACATTGAGTACATGTTGCAAGAAACAATTAAAACACTTTTCAAAATATTGACATTATTTTGGGGAAAATTATGTCAAAGCACAAATTGTGTACTTTCTATTGTATGTCAGTCTAGATAGCACCTGTACCAAAAGATAACAAAGAAAGAACAAGCAGCTGAAATCAATCAGCTAACCCTGTCTTCCATTGTAAAAATCAATTTTAAAATCCTAAAAGTAATGCTGGGGTTTTGACAACAGGAATCCAAATCTGTCATTCTTATATCAGCCTGTTCTACTGTTAAACACCCATTTCTTAGATCTGTATACAAAATCACAGGGGTGATACCCTGGATACCCTGGAGCATGTTTCTTCAATTCGCCTCCTTCTCCTATTTCCTTCTCAGTACTGTGTCAGATCCTGAAATTAAGATGCTTGTGGGATATTGCTGGAACATTACCATTACTTAAAACAGTGTAAAACCCAACTCAGTCACTCACTCACTACAGGTGCATGTGGCTTCAAGGGTTCTCCATGTCTGTGGGGCAGCAGGGTAGTCTAGTGGTTAAAGCGTTCGTTCATCATGCTGAAGATCCGGGTTTGATACCCCACACAGTTGTCACTTATATCTTGATCATGTACATGAATCTTCATCAAAATAATATTCTTTCAATTAACAATAAGTTGTTATTAACAATAAGTTGTTATCCATAAAGTTATATCTGCAACTTAATTTTGGAATGCAAATCACACAATCTGCCATGGGGTTTTAGACAACCTAACAGTGTCATTAACTGGATAACTGTCATGAAGACAAAATACTTTATCAGGCTGTACCAATTTGGCATGTCCAAAAAAGACAATTAGTAGTTTACCTGTTTGAGGTCGATATAGATGACTCCATTTAAATCTGTAGTCGACTTGGGGAATGCTGGGAGTGAGAGATTCCCTGAGAAAACGATTGAGTCCAAATTAGAGCTCTGCCACTTGGTGTCCATTTTCCCGTCCACCATGGCGCTCGGTGGGTGGACGGTGACGTTACTGCACGACTTCACCGTTCGATCTCTGTCGGACTTGTCAACATCCTTATGATTATAGTAAGACTCAGGTCCAAACTGACCACAAGTGTACAAGGCATCGATTGGTCTGTTGAGAGCGACGTTGACAGGTACTCCATTCACAATGTCCATGCATGTGAAGAACACCACCAAAACTAGCAGCGATGTCGCCATTTCTAAACACCGTTTCTTCACTTCGCTTCCGGTCATTGTTTTGACATCTAGTTAAGTGGATGTCGGTGAATATTTCAGTAGATTCTACTCCCTTCTCCTATATGGATATTTTTGTAAACACCTGTTGTTAATAAATATTTCTTCAATCGATTTGCATACGTCGAGATTCTTGTCTCACGTGTCGAGTCTGTTAATTCGCACCACCTACCCTGGAAGACATGGAAACGTTCTGTCTAGTTTATTTACCGCTTGGTGCAAACGGACTTCATATCGGCAATATATGAGTAATAATCAATCAATACAGTTTGAGTAGATTTGTTAGTCACGAACGTATTGCCGTAGATCAATTCAGTTTGCCATTATGTTTCATTTACAAAAGAACATTCAATGGTTCAACACGTGTTGCACAGAAATCGAAACTAGTGCGCATGCTCAGTTTGACGTTTCGGTTGTAAGGACACACCCAAATGGACGGTACAGAACTTCTATCTTATAACCAGGGATAATCTACAACCTGATATAGTCTCCCTGTTATAACATATGCAGAGCTTCCAGACCCAAGAAAGACAAAAAGCTTGAGATGCTGGTGTCAAAGGGTTGTGGCCCCCAGCAGTGTCAAGGGTGGAATCTTACAATTGTTAGATGTTCAAGGGGGCTTCGATCCTCTGAAGCAACGTATAATTGCAAATTCCCTCCTCAGAAAAGTATTCCGGCCCAGTTTGTGTAAATTTAAGCGGCTTAATTTTATTGTTAATATGAACCCAGTTTTTCGTGAGATATATCAGTTTTGTTGTGAAAGCGTGACGTGAGTAATTAAAGCGTGAGTCTCGAGCCAACGGGGTGAGAGTTGGCAGATATGTATATGCAGGGAGACTATCCCTGTAGATTATCCCCTGGTAAAGGCCGGCCTATGTATACTTTTTAAAAAAAACAAAAGACACGCAGAAAAGAGTGGCTGTCCAAACGTTGCTCTTTTTGCAGTCATTACAATAGAGGGAACATAATATTTTCCAGTATAGAAGCCTTCAATGAAGAAAATATTTTGCATCCGGTATGTAAATATGAAGTTTTAGCTGGTTGGTTTGTTGTCTAACGCCTTACTCCTCAATATCCCAGCTATATGGCGGCGGTCTGTAAATAATCGAGTCTGGACCAGGGAATATATGATCAACATAATGAGCATCGTTCCACGCGATTAGGATACGATGACATGTGTCAACCATGTCAGCGAGCCTGAACACCCGATCCCGTTAGTCACCTCTTAAGACAAGCATGGGTTAGTGAAGACCAATTCTAACCCGGATCTTCACGGGTCCAATGGAAGTTTTGAATCTTGTCAGTAACTATAGAAACAAATTTGTGGGTGAGGGCCCCGGGGTGAAAAGTGAAGATCAAGAAGATCTGTGTTAGAATGATTTTCAGCAAATCACGCTTTCCAAGGGGTGACAACCAGATCGGGTGGTCAGACGCGCTGTCTTGGGTGACATGTGGCATTATATCCTAGCTATGAGTTGATCAATTTTCATACTATCAATTACTGTATTGTCTGCTGCAGACTCCAGATCGCCGTCACATAACCAGAACATCCATGAGCGGCGTTAAAAAACATCAAAAACAATTCACAACGAGTTCTCTGAATGGCGTTAAAAGTAACGAACATGAGTGAAAGATTGTATTGGATATTAACTTTTTATTTTGTTCACACGACGTTTCGGAGTTGCTTCTAAATCCTTCAACTCACTTTAAACAATGTACAAGAATTTTTTTTGAAAACAATGGATAATAACACAAACCTAGAACAAATTATAGTTGGTTGGTTTGTTGTTTAACGCCGCACTCATAAATATTCCAGCTATATGGTGGCGGTCTGTAAATAAACAAATCTGGACCAGACAATCTAATGATCAGCAGCATGAGCATCAATCTACTCCATTGGGATACCATGACGTGTGTCAACCAAGTCAGCGAGCCTGACCACCCGATCCTATTAGTCGCCTCTTACAACAAGCATGGGTTGGTGAATACCAATTCGGATCTTCACTGGTGGTGGAACAGTTTAAGCTTAGAGCAGTGTAAGCCCGAGGATCCTTGACAGATAGATAGTACTGATGGTAGCAGAAGACGATAACAACAATGAGTCCCAAACACTTGGCAAATGGTTGCCTTGGTTACGGTTCATGGCTGGCTATTTTATTGTTACAATTTTCTGTGGCTTCTTGGAGCTTCCTTGGACGCCAGTAGCTGATAAAGAGTTTGGAGGAGCCCCACTTGATGTGGCTGTGAGTTTGAGTCAGAAATAGCTGATTTCATGCTGATTTTTGTGTGGAACATGGTGTTCTTTCAATCTGTGGATGAATGACCAGATAGTTTAACGATATAGGTGTCACCATATGGTAAAACCATACTCACTCACATTCGCGAAATAGTAACTTCATTAAAACTATTTACCCAGCTCGTTATATTATCTCCTTCAGCCTGTCCATAGGTTATCACCATGACTGCACGGAGACAATGGCTCCGTTTCACACACGGCACTAATTACAAGTCTAGACGTATGAAGAAAATGGCCAGTGACGGCTATAAAGACTTGTCTTCAAATATTTCACTTATTAAATAGTCCACTCATATTAATATCCGACATTCATTACATCAATAACTTGAGATGATTGCTGTGTGGTGGTGAGAACCAGTCTCGACTATCCAATGATAATCTATTGGATGTAAAGGTAAGGTGAGTGAATCAATATTGTTGAATGCTGCATCAGCAATTTTGCAGCTATTCTCGGCAATGTAAAAGTAGTAGTGGAGTGTAGTTTTACGCCGCACTCAGCAATATTCCAGCTTAATCGGGGTAGTCTGTAAATAATCGAGCCTGCAACTGTCTGTGGTGGAATTTTAATCTAAGACACAGCTCATTCAAGGATTTGTTGCTTTCCCTTATGGGTTATGTCCATTGCCAAAACTAATTTGTATTTAAGACACTTTGTACAAATATATGATCTTTTGTCCTTAAGTCAAATCTGGGAGGTGCCTATTACTGTTTGGTAATTTCAACCACTTCACTTCAGTCTTCAGGGATATAAAACAGATTGTCATGAACCTACTGCAGAGTGCAGACAAAAACTTGACATTTTGTCCTTTCAAGCATAACCTATTCACAGCTAGAATTTGATGCTCCGCCCCATAGTTGGCAGGTTGATTTTAAGAGTAATGGGACTTGTGAAGATACAGGTTCGAATTATCTTCAGTAACCCATGCTTGTGGTAAGAGGCAACTAACAGGATCGGGTGGTCAGGCTTGCCAACTTGGTTGACATTCATTGTATCCCAATTCCGTAGATCGATGCTCATGCTGTTGATCACTGCATTGTCTGGTCCAGAGATGATTATTTACAGACCGCCGCCATACAGCTGTAATATTGCTGAGTGCGGTGTAAAACTAAACTCACTCATTCAAAAATAATGACTGCTGCATAGGTCACTGGAGTGAGTCAGTGTATGAGTTTGTGGGTGGAGTTGTAAGTGTGTGAGTCACCATGTTCTCCAGACTGATTAGGATCTAATGTTTCAACACCAGTCAGGGCAATGGGTTGTCTCTATTAACCTTTCTCCCCATATGAAACGGCAAACCTTGACATAACAGCTCAGAGTGGAATTAAACCAAACTCTCTAATCTCTGCAGCACAACAAATAACACAGTAAAGGATGTCTATAAAACACTTGTTTATTCCAAATGACAGATGTGTTGAGAGCATTGTTTGCAGGACATGCATGAGATGACAACTAGTCTATGTACAGTGCCCATTCCAGCCACAACAGCTTCTGGATGGGACATTGCTGTATGTGCACTACTTGGTGCCTTTACCAGGCAGTATAACGCCTACCCGGTCAGTATAACGCCTGTCCAGGCAGTATAACGCCTACCCGGTCAGTATAACGCCTGTCCAGGCAGTATAACGCCTACCCGGTCAGTATAACGCCTGTCCAGGCAGTATAACGCCTATCCGGGTTGTATAACGCCTGTCCAGGCAGTATAACACCTGTCCCGGTCAGTATAACGCCTGTCCAGGCAGTATAACGCCTACCCGGTCAGTATAACACCATCAAATACTGAAGTCATGCCATAATGGGGTTCTGAGATGTTCTTTAACAGACCTTATGCAAACATAAAAATTAAGCCAATGCTCTGTAGCTCGCCTTCATGTATCTGAAGTAGCAATATACAGGACAAATAAACTGAACTGAAATGCAGGTGATACAAGATTAAAACATTGGACTGTTTGAGCTATTAGTGCCACCACTGATGGATTATCCATGTAAACTTTCATCATCCCAGGGCCGGTGTCAGAGGTGTGAGACGACAAAAATCAAAGGTTTCAATAAACGTGACAGAGGAAACGTCATGCCATAAGGTCATATGAACAATGTTATTTGTACAGTATTTGTAATATTTTACAAAAGTATCTCACAAAACCCTACAATGTAACATACTAGGGTCTATGTAACAATGGTCACTGAAGTTTAATCTACAGCACTAAGGTGTTAAAATACAAGTGCAATTTTCTAGGATCGGATGAGTGTTATATGAGAAATAAACTGTTAATTGTATTTTACAATCATTACTTGATCCATAGATCCCTCAAAAAGGGCTGTAGGAAGTATATCAAAAACATAAAAAAGTGAGTAGACAGCAAAATATTTTCTTAACATTTGTCTAATATGGACAAGGTTTGCAAGAGACTATTTTAGTGCACCTCAAATGTCAGCTTTAAAGTTTAGGAAAACCTTGTGTATTGACAGTGAATGAAATAAGCCCAAAATCCAGCCAGACATCAGGGCTGGCTAGTTCAAAATGTTACCAGCCCAAAATGGATTTAACCAGACCAAATATGGTGAATTTACTCAGATGTATGGAACATCTAAACATCTTACCAGACCATCAGGGCTGGCTAGTTGTAAATTTAGACTGTCCGTCAGAAATCTCGACCGTCTTGGGCGTTGGATTGGCCTTATTTCATACACTGGTATTGACCTTTAACGGTTGCTGTTAATCTCACACTTGAAACAGGGGACACCTGACTACACAAACTCTTCTAAAAAGAAGACATTTTATCCAGAGAGATCATATAGTTAAAATTCATTCCTACCAACACCCATTTGTGTAGTTAACAGTAAATGTGTCATTTACAAGAGCTAATTCAGAATCAGAACTTTTTTTAAACATATATATTAATAAGTACAACTTATAATAAAAGACTAAAATGACCAAGCAATGCATGTCTTCATTTTGGGTGTATGATAGTTGACTTGATACACAGGGATATACTAATAGCACTAAGCAGGTCGTGTCTATACAGCATGCACTACGTATTCTTGAGGTATTTGCACAATTCAAGAACAAACATTTATATAAATTGCTTAGAAATAACAAACAAAAGTAAAAACAAACACCTCAGATGTGTGACTATTCAAAGCAGAAACTTTGCCCTATTATCAAATGTTTATTAACAAACAGCAATTCACTCGCCATCTTTTCAAAGTGTATCCTGCTCAGCAGGTCCATCACCTTGCTGCAAGGACAACCTCTGCCGAGAACACGGATCACAAATTGCATCATGGAGATCTGTAGATGGAGGATCATCTTTTATCAAGCTCGACAGCAAAAGCAATGATTTCCAAAACAATCAATGAAACTAGACATAATGGAAACAAACATAAACTTATTCCTTTAGCCAGACTCCTCCTTTCGTCCTCTCGGGCAATCAGGCCTTTAGTGTTCACACACTTGAAGGAGTGGGTGAGTGTATGTTATTGTATCACCACTGTCAGCTATATTTCAGCTATATCATGGTGGCCTGTAATAATCATGTCTGAACCAGGCAAACCTGTGACAGACAGCATCAACAATGATCCATGTCATAATGATACAGCAGAGATGCCAACCACTAGGGGTGAAACGGTATGCTCTTACCACGGTACGGTACATATTGCGGTACAAAGCCTTTGGTTTGGTCAGTTTCAGTTCGGTATATATAAGATATGATCATAATGCAGAAAATTGAAAACAAGAGCCAAGCCTTACATTGTTTAATAACATGGAAAAAATAACCATTTAATCTTTGTTATTTTGAATGAACAAAACTGTCATTTTATGACTAGATAGAAATGACGGTAGGAAAACCGAAAATACCGAATTTTGGGATTGCATTACGGTATACCGGACGTATAACGTTTCACCCCTACCAACCACTCCGGCGGAGTTACTTTGGGCGGAGTTACTCCGATTTTCAAATACCAAATCCGCTCTCTGATTTGTCTTGAAAAACTCCGATTTTTGTGGAACAATTCTGATAGTATGATACAGCATACAATTTCGTAAAACATCAGTGATTTATTTGAGTTGACACTGGTAAAAGCATTCGGAAGCTTAGCATGTGATCTTTTGGGTCTCAATTGTGTATATTGCGTGTTATTGACAATGAAGTGTTTCCGAATGCATGTCATAGTCTGTATGTAAAGTGAAACAAAATGGCGGAGCCAACCATGCTGCAGGACTCCACATTCATTAGATTCAGGGTTGGCATCTCCGATATGATGACCATGCAATCAGAACCATCAAACAGCGTAAATGTTCCTGTTTAAGTCAGCTCTCAGGACAAGCATTGAGGTACTGGGGATCATCTCAGACCTGCAACATCCTCAGGATACACCTGACTGAGGTGCCATGCTGACATCAGTTCAGATCAATGAGTGAGTGAGTTTAGCTTTACACCGCTTTTAGCAATATTCCAGCAATATCACGGCAGAGGACAACAGAAATGGACTTCACACATTGTGCCCATGTGGGGAATCGAACACAGGTCTTCGGCGTGACGAGTGAACGCTTTAACCACTAGGCTACCCCACCGCCCTCTTCAGATCAATGAATACTGCATGATTGGCAATAACAATGGAAGACAAGACACTCTACATCACAAAGGTTACAGGAAAATATTACATCGTCATTGACCAGGAATCAAAGACAATGGATTTGGATCGAGTTAATGTTCAAACATGACTAGATACACTGTACAATCTCTTCCAACCATCATCTTGACAATCATCTTGACAGTCAGCATTGAGCCAGCATTTGCATGAGAACGAAACGCATTGATCAATCACTTGGGAAGTAAAACAATTTCCCAACAATTTTCCTTACTACAGTAAGTGAGTTTAGTTTTATGCCGCTTTTAGCAATATTCCAGTAATATCCCTGCAGGGGACACCAGAAATGGGCTTCTCACATCCTTACTACAGCAACATTACATGTATTGGTCATCAAGCATTCATTACAGAGTTGTCATAGAACTTGGTAATAAAGCTGTTTATGTTCTTGGGAAACAACATAGTTTCAACCATGTCTCAAAATCTGAATGACTGATGCCTCTTTTGATTGAACAATATTTCAAAGGTCGAGAAATAAGTGTAGAATCTGATTTTGATGATTGAATGTCAATATTACATAAACATTGTGGCATTAAAAGGCAAGCCTGATATAGCATAAATCCTGTGTGATCGGCGTGAGCACATCTATGGCTGAGATTGAGCACATATACTATATTCCAAGTATCAACAATGTTTACTACTGCATGTACATAGGGATCAATGATAATGACCTCTAACTGGGCCTATATAACAAACCTCACACATAGTTTATTTTTACATTTGGGGACTTGTTTTACAGTTTTGTTTCTCAAATGTCCAACATTATTTTCTGAATGCCAACTATTCAGGAATATTTAGAAATATTGCTTGGTTTACAAACGTAAGTTTCAAAAATGTACATTTCAAAATGAAGCTGATCTCTCTCTTTCCCCCACTGAGACTAAAATTACAGCAAAATATCTGACTGTTAATAAATAATTACTTTGTTGGGGCGTACAAGCTTGGATTTTTGTTTGAATATTTTTTTCAGTCATGGTTTCAAGACATTAAACTATAAACAGCCCCCATTTGTTTGGAATTTGTTCATGACATCCTGCATATACTGAGAATAGGTATGTTTAAACCCAATACAAAATTATTTTTTCAAGTATTTAATAGTTTAAAGGTATATTCCTGGTTGATATTTGCTTATTAAATTTCACAACTTCACTAGATGAAACACAGTAACTGACTCTTGTGCTGAAGATCACCTGTCCTAACACAAACAGTCATAAATTTGACAGTAATTATTAGGCCAGACCAATTTTATTTCTTGTTTTACGGATCCGCCGGTCGTATTGTTTTCAAGAATAAGAAAATAATTAATTAATTTTACCCGCTCAGAAAATAAATCCTCATGTTTTTATTGGCCAAAAATGCCAAAAACTTACGAAAAAAAAGAAGAATTTTTGGATTGTTTTTTTGCCCCCATATAAACTTCATAAATTGCCAAAAATAAAATACTTTTAGTATTCAAAACGAAATTTATTTTGACTAGTGATTTTTATTTATTATTTTTCCCCCTCCTGCCTTTAGGTTTTCTGATGACAAAAATCTGTAAAACAAGAAATAAAATTGGTCTGGCATTACATACAATTATCATACAATCCTACACAAGTTTGTATCATGAGAATTGCTGTGTTACAATACTTGTCACTGATCCCTTCAAACGAAACCCCAATATGTGAGAACAGGCTGGTGAAACATTCAATATGGAATTCTGACTTTTCATACTGATTGCAAAGTAAATAATGTGATTAAAAGCACATTGAAAGAAAGACTGTTCAGATTAAAACAAACTGTTCCCGATAAGAATCCCTGAAAGATATACACCAGACTACAATTATTCACATTTGTACAAGGATTTGGCACAAATCAACCGTACTAACTCTAGTCGACACCTACAAGGATTGTAAGCCGCCCAGGACTCTACACACCTCTAAATCCAACAGTGCACATAATCAAACAATGGAGATTTAAAAGATGGTAAAACTTAACAAACACATATTTTTCTAAAACTTTTTTTACATGTATTTAAACTTCAAAATTCAAGATAATTAATGGTGTTATTCACTGAATAAAATAGTGACTCAATGGTTGCGGACAGTTCTCATCTGGATAACATATGATCCCCAAAACATTTAAAAAATTAAAATACAAGTTAAAATTACTTTCACACTGGGACTTTCACACATGATCGATTGAAGGACTGATAGACTTGTCAAGGAAGCTCTGTAAGCTTTTAAGATGAATAACAGCCCAAGACATGAGAAACAAACCAGATGCTGTTGGCGACAATGTGAAGTTGCAACCTTCTGTTCTTGATCATGTTTTGTCACACTAATCTGGTTGGTGGGTGAGTGAGTGAGTGAGTCTCGTTTGACTAACATAACAACTATATGGGCGTTGTAGGGAGGAAAGTTCAAAGTAACTTGGACAACTGACAATCACTGCATATATGAGTGAGTGGATTTTAACGCTGCTTTTAATACTATTCTCCATATGCTGCTTTTAATACTATGAACTCCAGTGTCAGCTCACTGTGGGACGAAAGCCTGAAGTGAGTGAGTGAGTGAGTTTAGTTTTAGAAGTGATGCAGGTCTCAGAGAATGAAACAATTATAATGACACTGACAGATCTAAGACCATCAGGCTGATCAGCAGATCCTGGCACCACTAAGGGAAGCAAATCTGAATTCTGATATTATGTATACCTCAATCTATAACAATGAAATCTTTTGAAAATGTCACCATTACTGGGTCATTGGTTCCTGGATGGATAAAAAATTTCCTGTCTGCCTTCTTGCTTCACAGCTCTGAAATATTTTTATGCTTTTTCTTATTTCTAAAATAAATTAAGTACTTGTGTTACAGATCGCTCAGACTTCAGACAGCTTCCAAACATTTTTGTTATTTCTAACGGGAAATAATCCTTTATCTAAAAAAATAGATTGCAAGCCATTTTACTGAGATATTTATATTAATTCTCTTCCTAATTCTTCTGAATTATGAGCAGGAAAATGAAGGACTATGAATACAAAAAAGACCACAGATATAGTTAGTGAGACCAGACGCCTGGTAGTATTTGAGTGAAGCATTTTGATCCTGTGAAATACTAGTAATACAATGGGTTCGTCAAGCTATATGAACAAGACTGGCAGGGGACAGTAACATCACCTTTTATTGCGTACACTGAAGCCACACCACATGATGAAGAACCTGTCAACAGACGGACCTAGTGCTATTTCCATGTGCTGCCTTGACCCAAATATAGGCCAACATCATGGTAGTTTTTTACCCATTAGTCCTTGTACCAATTATTCAAATACTGACATCTAAAATGTCAAAATGACTACAGCTATGCATATAGTGCAGACAGTAAGTTAGGATTTCGTTTGATAAGTGAAAAAATGAATGAAACAGGAATGGTTATTTGAGTACCGGTAACTAGTTTCTTCTGAGAGATACACTGAAGCAGGATTTGAACTTTGGAATCAGTAAGTTTTCAATGTCTTCATATGAAGAGCAGTGTTCATAATTAATTCCCTCTACAGCAAGGAGAAGTGAATGTGTACAAAGGCTTGTATCATTTTAATTATGGTCCTGAGCATGTTATCTAAAATAATACTGTACAAAATGTAAACATCTGGATCATATCAGACTATACAATTGGAGATAAGATAGCATGAACACAATAAAATTGGTTTTCTGTTCCACTGCTATAAATGTAAGCTAATGCAAGGGAGGTAACTCCATGTCACCTCACGTTAAACAGCACGTGTGTCATCGTGTTTGTACATTGAGACAGAGAAATATATGAACACATTATTCATTGCACATAATCACAAAAAGTTCAGCTACACAATATTCTGAAATTTCCATTCATTTTGGTTGTCAGCCAGCATTGATAATATAACTTTGACTTGCAAAGGGAGACAACTCTTATTCCCAGGTCTTTGCTATGTGGGCCAAATTTGATGTTAGAGATATTGTTCCATTCGCATCTGCAGCTGAGTCGGTATACAATCTAGAGAGCTCACATGACAATAGGTCATGTCATAAAGCCTGGCAATAAGTTGTGATACAAATAGTAGCAATAGGTCATGTCACACAGCATGACAAAGGTAATTTCATAGAGCATGGCAATAGGTCATGTCACACACATGGCATCAAGCGATGACACACAGAAGAAGATACAATGAAGCGTTTGAAGTCCATATTTGATATTATGCTGGATCTATCTATGTCTCTGCCATATTGAGATATATACACAGACAATGTGACCACGGTTCTATATACATGTGTCATGTTATTCATAATTGTCAGCTTTTTTCCACTGATAAAACATACAGATGTATTCCTTGATTCATGCAGAAAATAGTCCTATGATTCTGTTAGGCTTGAAAGTCACAAACTGCATCAGTCCTCTAAAGCATTCACGTTGAAACACTATGATTATGGGTGTCCAGGATGCATCACTGCAGCTACTGCAATATTCACCATCTTGATTCTGTGTGTTGAGGACTAATTTGTGTTCTCATCAGATCATAACCATAAAATAATTTTGTAGATATTTGCACAAAGATATATGCACAGGAATCTGCTGTGGAATAGAGCAGTTCACTTTCACAGGTAAGACTGTCCCATTGCTTTATGAAACCAGAGACACTGTCCCGTACACCTCAGACTATTTCACTGCTTTCCAGAACTGGAGGTAACATCATCCCTGCACTTTGGATTGTTTCATGCAGCTAGATATCCTGCCTATCATACACATTGCTTTAAAGAGCAAGAGACATTGTCTCCATACACTTCAGGCTGTTTCATTGCTTTCCAGAACTGGAGACAACATCATTTTCTAACCTTTGGATGGTTTCACTGCTTTTCAGATCTGGAGACAACATCATTCCTAACCTTTGGATGGTTTAATTGCATTACAGAACTAGAGACATTGTCCCCCCCAACACTTTGATGTCAGCAGATGCTCCATGTCGTTAGTCAGCCTCAGCAGCCATTAGAAACCTGCAAACGAGGACCTGTCAAGATGGCCGTATTCCAAGAGTCAACATAGCAGCTTTGGGGAAGATCAGAGCCACAACTTGCCCTGATCCATGCATGTACGTTCCTCAACACTCTCCTCAACCTCCAATATTCTGGGACTAAAAGTCATGCAAAATGATCAACACTGCATGGCTTTCACATCACAATCACATCAGCAGAAAATTCCATTATGCAATGCTTAATGAACGTACAAATCATGCTTGAATAATTATGTACCATTCAATGTTTGATGTTTGACAATGAAGGACACACACTACCATCTATTTGACTTGAATCACTCAAATCAACATATGATAATATACTTATTTGTGCATGTGTGATCTATTTCATAGATTGACAAGAGTACCGGGCACTTGGCAATCATTTTCCGAGTTCGGTAACAATAAGAGCTGAACATTGTCCACAGCCAGTAGTGAGCATGTAAGTTTAAAGCCTGGTGGTAAGTTGTTGGTTGAGCCCCAGAATCTCTGGAGTCCTGTGGTGTACATCATCACCTCCTCAGCACCAGCACACACACAGCAACAACCCCCCACCAAACACCTGTCTTGGGCTGGCATCCTGCACCACTCCCTGGAACATACACCTTCCCTGGAAAATATAGAACAATATTGTTAGAGAATCCAGCTACCCTATTGGACAGACAGTTTGTACTGATGTCATGACATCATACTATTGTTTAATCTGATGTCACTTGGATGTCCTGGGGATGTAGCGAGTGAGTATGGTTTTATGCTGCTTTTAGCAATATTCCAACTACATCACGGCAGGGGACACCAGAAATGGGTTTCACACATTGTACCCATGAGGGGAATCGAACCCGGGGCTTTCCCGTGATGAGCGAATGATTTAACCACCAGGCTACCCCACCCGCCCCGGGGATATAGCGATAAGCATTCCCAAAACGTCCTTAAAAATACTCTCTCAGAAAAGTGACAGTTATAATGGGTTAGAGAGTAACCCTTTGCTAAGAGGACTCCTAACCATTGCTTACTCTAAGAGTACTCTCAAGTCTGAAGAGGCTTTACAACTAGGTGGAGGCATTCTCAGACTTAAGAATAACATCTCAGTCTTTTTGACATTTTGGAGTCATTTTTTACTCTGAGAATGGTTATAACTCTGGCCCCTGTTCACACTTTAAGGAATCACCTTTACAGTAAGGGTCACAAGAATCGTCACACAAATATATTTCACAGAAAAGTTAACTTCAAGTGTCACTAGTTGGGTGACAGGATTGTATGAGTTGATCATTCATGAACACCTTGGTTTTGTGGTGTACAAGCCCATCCCACCGATAAAATCCTGTACATCCAACTACTGACACGTGACAGTCTATTTTAACACCCCTGCCAAAGGTCAGTACTTGAGTGGGTGTTGCTTAACAAAACAGTCTGCAGTGTTCAAGTGAAATCATACAGCCTAGTAACAAACCAGTAACCAATCTGCTATGTGGAAACGTGGACTTGACTCCAACGGCAATTCACACGGTATGGCTTAACTGACTGACTGAGTTTGGTTTTACGCCGCTTTCAGCAATATTTCAGCAACATCACGGCGGGGGACACCAGAATGGGCTTCACACATTGTACCCATGTGGGGATTCGAACCCAGGTCTTCGGCGTGATGAGCCAACGCTTTAACCACTAGGCTACCCCACCGCCCCGTATGGCTTCACATATCCCATATTACAATCAATAACTCACCAAACAAGGACCAAGTTAGACTAACGCTCGGCCATGGGAGACCAACACTCGGCCATGGGAGACTGACATGGCCTTGGAGGACTCACAATAGGCCATATGAATCGACCTCTAGACCAGAGTAGATAACTACATAAGCAATGTCGTACCTGGCACACCATATCCTTTGTCTTTCTCCAAGTTCCACTTGTCTATTTCATATGGAGGAGATTCCGTGCGTGGTGCCACTGTCTTGTATGTTGGGGGGATGAAGGGTTTATCACTTTCATTGTTTATCAAATGAGTAGTTGTAGGTCTGGGAGTAGATGTAGGTGGTATATACTTGGGATATTCTGCAACAGAAGAATGATGCAATACCTTAAACACTTTGTTTGTAATGATCAACCAAATTTGAGAAAGATCAAATGGCAAACATTTGAAAAAAATTAAGTACCAAGAAATGATAAAAAAAAAGCTCACAAACAGATTGATATAATCACGTCCAAATTATTTCAGTTCTGCTTCAGAAAGAATCTATGAACTGACAAATTGATAGATAAATCCAGCTTCTGAAGCCAGTTTCACAAAGCTCTCGTAAGCCTAAGATCTCGTAACTTTTCTCGTAGCAATAGTACCTCCAAAACAGTAGCATAGACTAACGACAGTCGTAGCGCTCTACGAGAGCTTTGTGAAACGGGGCCTAGGGGCATAGGGTATTCGGTGGGGTGGAACACATCCACTTCAGTGTCTCCCGGATGTATGATGACGTAAGAATCATAAGATCATGAAAGCCTGTTGTTCAAAATAACCTTAGCACTACGACTACTGCATGTTAAAGTATGGAAGCTATGATCAGCTTTAGGTTGATAGTGTTTTGTACAACAGCAACCTGGATACTTTTGCAATCCCTGCTTGTTGTATCAGGTGACAAAAGGGATTGGTTGGTCAGAATCATTGATTGGGTTTATGCTGAGGATGTATATCACTGGATCAATTACTTACAGGCCGCTGTCTTACATCTGGAATATTGCTCAGTTGTCAAACCAGAAACACACAAACATGTGATTGGTTTGGTTGGGTTGTTGTTTAACGCTACACTCAGCAATATTCCAGCTATATGGCAGTGGTCTGTAAATCATCGTGTCTGGACCAGACAATCAGGTGATCAACAGCATGAGCATCAATCTATGCAATTGGGATACGATGACATGTGTCAATCAAATCAGCGAACCAGACCACCCATTAGTCGCCTCTTATGATAAGCATGGGTTGCTTCAGGCTAATTCTAACCCGGATCTTCACAGATCCACAAACATTTGAAACTGAACACAACACCATCCCTCTCACCATAAAGCTGCATCTCTTCTGCATCTCCACCCAAAAGGTTTTCAGCTTCACATGTGTACATCCCATAATCCTCCTCCCCAATGTCCATGATTCGCAGACTCAATGTTATTGTGATACGATCATCTTCATACACCTCGGACCGATACTTCCAACTCTGGTCTATCTTTTTCCCATTCCTCTTCCACTCTGTCACTCCTATAGGGTATGCTTGCACTATACACTCTAATATAGTCTCCTTGCCTCTACTCTGGCCAATCTTTTTTATTAGGGAGTCGGATTTCAGGAGGAACTGAAAAGATAATCGGTAAAATAACATTTGGAATGGATTATGTGCATTGAGATAAAGCCAGGATACAGGCCTGACCCTATGTTAACAACCTGCTGCCCATTCCAAGACAGAGAGGGGCGGTGGGGTAGCCTAATGGTTAAAGCATTCGCTCGTAACTCCGAAGGCCCGGGTTCGATTTCCCACATGGGTACAGTGTGTGAAGCCCATTTCTGGTGTCCCCCGCCGTGATATTGCTGAGATATTGCTAAAAGCGGCGTAAACTAAACTCACTCACTCACTCCAAGACAGACCAGATGTTGCACTGTGTGCAAAACCTACACATTGTATAATTATGATAATGACACTTCATATATACTACTTGATAGAAACTACACAACATACAATCTGTTTCTCAGGAAGTTAATTTGTGATGGCAATGGCAGACTAATTAAAGTCATATAAAAAATCTGGTTATGTGTGACTTACAAGTTAGGGTGGTATACCTGATAATAAAGATGATTGCAGAAATAGACGTAGTATTAAATCAAACTGTGGCCTGCTACATGATCAGAGTAAGCATGCAAATAAATTTACCAACAAGCGTGCACATACATTCTTGGAAAGTACTCAAAGGTAAATCACGTTCAAATTGACGTTAGTAGACACAAGTGATATGCATGGGTTGAATATCCTTGCAATGAAGGTCTTTAAAACAATTAATTTCTTCAAGATTTATGTCATATTTTGAATTTATTAGAAGAGTGGACATATTTCATACACAGCAATTAATTACTGACAGAATTATTGACTTTAAAACCAAACTGTCTATATTATGAAAATGAACGTGCATTAGGAACCATTAACCTTGTTGTCACACTGCAGACCACAAAAACTGTAGCAGTTTTGAATACATCAATTTCAGAAAAAAACTGGTATTGACAAGCTTCTTTTTATGAAACTCCTCGTGTAAAGAATATGAATGCATGAGGCTTACATTCAACATTCACTCTCATCCTCTTGCTGTCGGCTGGAGGGACGTTGTTAAAGGCCACACATTCATACACGTCGTCACAGTAGCGTGTAACGTTATAGATCAGCAGCACCTCGCCCTCCACTCCAATACCTGCAACAAACAAAAGACAAAACTTGCATGTTATAAAACATGGATGTATCACAGATGGCCAAAATAGACTGCAGATAATAAAGAGGAGATTGTGACATATCAGTCTCAGAGGTGGCTGTTCTACGGTCAACCCTATAATGTCCAAGAGGAACACTTGTTATGGATAGACAACTTCAATAGATGCAAAGTTCCGGTGTAGATCCTAACACTGTTATCAAGCAAATGATGTCATTTCGGTGTAGATCCTAACACCGTTATCAAGCAAATGATGTCATTTCAGTGTAGATCCTAACACTGTTATCAAGCAAATGATGTCATTTTGGTGTAGATCCTAACACCGTTATCAAGCAAATGATGTCATTTCGGTGTAGATCCTAACACTGTTATCAAGCAAATGATGTCATTTCGGTGTAGATCCTAACACCGTTATCAAGCAAATGATGTCATTTCGGTGTAGATCCTAACACCGTTATCAAGCAAATGATGTCATTTCGGTGTAGATCCTAACACCGTTATCAAGCAAATGATGTCATTTTGGTGTAGATCCTAACACTGTTATCAAGCAAATGATGTCATTTTGGTGTAGATCCTAACACCGTTATCAAGCAAATGATGTCATTTTGGTGTAGATCCTAACACCGTGTCATTTCAGTGTAGATCCTAACACTGTTATCAAGCAAATGATGTCATTTTGGTGTAGATCCTAACACCGTTATCAAGCAAATGATGTCATTTTGGTGTAGATCCTAACACTGTTATCAAGCAACCGGACGGTCATTTTCACGTGCAAAAAGCTAAATTCTATGCATTTTTCTCTCGTATATTCGAATGGCTGAGCACCGGTCAGTATGTTTACACACGCATTTTACTGAGTGGCCTTGCATGCCCTAACCTAAAAGAAGTCGGCAGTCTTTGAAGCGTGAGAGGATTAACTACCTGTAATTAGCAAGGTGACACTGAGTTAATTTTGAGTTGTGATTGGCAAGGCTAGACGTCCCCGTTGTTTTGGTAGTGACTTCAAACCAGAAGTTTTTGTTAGGTACAGGAACGATGCAAATGCGTGGATGACATCAGAACTGTTTCGTGATTGGTTGCTAGCATTTGACAGACAAATGCATGTACAGGTATGTTAGCACGTGTTACTGACTTGACTACTTTATTTGACAAGATATGATTTTATTTGAGTTATTTTTTTATGTCTTATCAATAAAGATTACATCTGAGGTCTATTATGTTCGTTTCTTTGTATGTCTTTTTACATATGGTCCGTGGTTCAGATATCCGGAAATTCGTTTATCCGGACAATTTCAAGAAAAACACAAGTGTCCGGATAAACAGGGCACGACTGTATTAAACAATTACTGGTAAGTGTGAGGGGAGTTCAGGTAAGTATATAGGTCCACAGCTGCCTGTCATAGTTGTAAGTTACTTAATGGAGCATGTGATCCCAGCCTGGTAACTTGTTGACTACAGGTCAATGTATCTTATCAATGCTTATGATGTGATTATCTGTTGAGACCAGATTATTAGCAGGTCGTCCTCATACTGCTGCGTGTTAAACAACAAACCGGCCAATGTTAACCCTGTGTTAACAGAAGACATTGATTTGCTGATTTTATGAGGTTTCAACAACTTCAATGACTTCTTGAATAGCAGTTGTTTCCCTTTACTCGGCCACATCAGGAGAGTTGATGCGTTTTGTAATTCTTCTCTCGTGATCATATGCACAATAAACTCAACTGAACACAGAAACATGTCTGCTAGTTCTAAGATTACTAAAAACACAATTCTCGGTACCATATATTTAAGGATATTGTCCAAAGCTTGAAATCACCATCAGTACCAATTAAATGACATGCCTTAGAGGAAGACCAAACCAACAATCTGAACATCATACAACTGATATAATACTACTTATAAAATAGTAAAGGAATATCTGATTTTTTTCATATTAATACAGTCATGGCACAGAGATTAAATTAACAATGGTAATATGAAAGATTATCCTTCCTCATGTAAGAATGTGGTTCACGTGACCTTGAACAAATGTCACCGCCCATGCAGGTTTTTGCATCTTTGCGAGGGAGAATAAATCATTTATACCCAAAAAGCATGCATCCACGACAGTAAGTGAACTGTGAATTAGTGGTTATGATCGACTAGTCGGTAATATGTTTGTAAAATATATGATTGAATTTCAGTTTGTTTTAATGTTATATTGACATAATGAGAGATATAAACATTTGGTAAGATAAATTTGTTGTGGCATGATGCAGGGTATATAGTTATGCGAGGTATATAGTGATGCGGGGTATATAGTGTTTTATGCATCCCTTATTAGGGTTTCATATAACCTAACATGGGACGCCTAAAACCCTGTATACCCCTCTTCACCATGCTACAACATATTTTAACTATGGTAATATGTAAGAATCACAAGTTCCTTAACCTCTTTTGTGTGGTACATAAAGGCATTGTACATGCTGCTGATGATTTGAATCAAACTGGGTAGTGCCAGCATGTCAAGTAGTCTTACTGAAGATGATACATCGCTAAACCCAGCAGCATTGCCTTGAACAGTCACACCAGGCTTTGCTATGTTTGATTTGCAGATAACATTGTCTACTCAAAATATCTTGCAAAACAACACTTAGAAAATTTGCAGTTAGAATGTTTACCGACCTGTCTCCTTAGAAATATGCCTCAAATATTTGTCTTTTCCTGTTCCTCATTTCTTGGAGAGATCACAGGATAAGTGGGTTTGTTTTTTAACCCTACACTGGTTATATTACTTGAATCACTGGTACACAGTGATCTGTAGACAAATTGGCTTTGATAAAGCCTGAACTGTATTTCTGTTTTAATGAAAATGTGTCTGAAAATGGAGAAAATATATTTTCAAAGAAACTTACGTTCTTTGCCAGCTTCAGATTTATCCCGTATCCCTGAGAGTATGCGGAACCACGTGACTGTGGGCGAGGGGACACCTGTCGCGTTACACACGAGGGACACTGTTTCCCCTTCTTTGGCCGTGATGTCATCTGTAGACAGTTGACGATTAATCCGTGCTGGCACTGAAAAATGATAATATTATCAATAAATATGTAAGAATAAACAATAATATCTTGTCTTTATATGACAGGACAGCGAGCAGTGTGTCATGTAACACACCCACTAACTGGTACCCATACAACAACTGGATGAACTGAAATAGCCTATCTTGTCTTTATATGACAGGACGCGAGCAGTGTGTCATGTAACACACCCACTAACTGGTACCCATACAACAACTGGATGAACTGAAATAGCCTATCTTGTCTTTATATGACAGGACACGAGCAGTGTGTCATGTAACACACCCACTAACTGGTACCCATACAACAACTGGATGAACTGAAATAGCCTATCTTGTCTTTATATGACAGGACACGAGCAGTGTGTCATGTAACACACCCACTAACTGGTACCCATACAACAACTGGATGAACTGAAATAGCCTATCTTGTCTTTATATGACAGGACACGAGCAGTGTGTCATGTAACACACCCACTAACTGGTACCCATACAACAACTGGATGAACTGAAATAGCCTATCTTGTCTTTATATGACAGGACACGAGAAGTGTGTCATGTAACACACCCACTACCTGGTACCCATACAACAACTGGATGAACTGAAATAGCCTATCTTGTCTTTATATGACAGGACACGAGCAGTGTGTCATGTAACACACCCACTACCTGGTACCCATACAACAACTGGATGAACTGAAATAGCCTATCTTGTCTTTATATGACAGGACACGAGCAGTGTGTCATGTAACACACCCACTAACTGGTACCCATACAACAACTGGATGAACTGTATCTTGTCTTTATATGACAGGACACGAGAAGTGTGTCATGTAACACTACAACTGAAATAGCCTATCTTGTCTTTATATGGTACCCACACCCATACAACAACTGGATGAACTGAAATAGCCTATCTTGTCTTTATATGACAGGACACGAGCAGTGTGTCATGTAACAAACCCACTAACTGGTACCCATACAACAACTGGATGAAGTAAATTAGCATATTTGTATCTTGTTTTTATGCGACAGGAAACTGGGAGTGTGTCATGCAACACTGAGTCAAATGAAATACCATATGTTTCTGTTGAGTGAGTGAGTGAGTGACTTTCGTTTTACGCTGCTTTTCGCACTATTCCAGCAATGTCACGGCAGGGGACACCAGAAATGGGCTTCACACATTGTGCCCATGTGGGGAATCGAACCAGGATCTTCGGCGTGACGAGCGAACGCTTTAACCACAAGGCTACCCCACACCCCCGTCTTCTGTTGAAATCATGGAAACACTTAACAGAAATAAAGATATTATTTGTGTCCATAATTAAAAAAACTGAAATTTGAACAATGACATTGATTTCCTAGGCCTTACTTGCAGAGCCTATGGTTAAATCTGTCTCCTAATTGTGCTTAGCTTAACAAAAAACCCATATCTTATTTCTTTTTATCTAATTTTTTGCAGTCCAAGCATGAAGAATGTAAAATACGAAACCTACAAGAAATTGCTATTCAGATACTGAGGATAATTACTGCTGAAGCAATAACGTTATGATACACGATATACTTCATTCTGTATCATTCTGTATCATTCTACAAATCTTTTAATCATCTACACATCAGATGGTCTACAAACTGACATAGTCGGACACTTGGGAATTATCATAGACTAATATTCTGGGAGATCATCTTTCGGTGTCATCCAAAAATAACTTGAACATAAAACTTCAAAAATAGTCTCCATGGACTGTTGCTCCTCAGGTACATTCAATTAATTCAGTCTGATCTTACAATGGTGTTCTTTTAATAAATTGAACAAAAGACATAAAAAAGAGTGATAAAGCACTTTTACTTCCCTGGTACGTTAAATAAATTCATTCCAATAACGTATTTACCTGGTGTTGTGTTTAAGTAACTATAACAAAAGATATCAAATTTCATGGCATTGCTACTTTGAGTGAAATGAAAGTTCCATGGTAAGATATTCTTTTTATCTTGAGCCATAATGTCTGGAAAGTGAGTGTTTTAACTGCTTCTCAAATCAATTGACTGCGAGGTACATGTAGTTTGCTTGTCATCGGAGGAAAGAATGGAATCAGTTTCATATCCAAGCAGTCTGAAATACTGGAAAATGTTACATGTGCAACATGAGTGACAATGACAGTGTGGTGACACACAAAATCTGAACTTACGTGGTGGTTAACACCTGAAGTTTCAAAAATGCTCACTATAACTTTTATAAAACTAAAAATAGATTTGCACAACTTTAAGAAATCACTAAATTATACACGTAAAAATTACTGCTCTACTACTTGCTGTTTCATTAGAGATGATGCATGAAAACTTTCCACTATTTTGTGGTTTACAAATAAATAATAAAAAAAAAAAAAAAAAAATAAATGAATAATTAATGCATGAATGAATGATAGAATGAAAAATTAAATAGATAACCTTAACAGGTATATATTATAAGTATATTGCCATGTTCACAGATTTACATTTTTTCACTAACCACTCATCTCCCAAGTATCTCCCTTAAGTTCTAACTTTGAGAAATAACACAGCACTTTTCCTTGGGGTCATAAGCATGGAAGTCAAGTATTGTTGACTTGTTCATACCATATTTTCACACTACTAGGAAGTTGTATCGGAGAAGATGGGTAAACACACTCAAACTTTATTGGCATAAAAATGAACAAATCTGATGACATCTTATTTCTTGAAAGGCGATGGAAGTCTTCCCAAAGTTGCCAGTTTTTTTAGCCATTTAGGAGAGAATCTGAAAGTTAACAGACTACCAGACAGGCAGAGGGACGGTAGCAATGACAGAAACTCATCTGATTTGACAGAAACTCAATCCATGTTCTTTGCTATATGAAAATCAGAACTAGGTCACTCTTTTATCTGAAATCATATTGTTACAATTAAGCATCCTATAGAGAATGAAGTAGTTTATGTATCATTTCAGCCCTATCCAATGATTCACTATGTTTAAAACTAAGGATTGAATGTGTATCTGTTTGGTTCAATGATATATATTGGATTAAAAACTGCTGTGCAAACTGAAAGCATGCTTACAGCATATTAGATTTCTGCAAACATTTTCACCTCTGTTTTTCTTGTTCATACTTCAGTGAGACAAAACAAATACACTGTCAGTCCTTATAACCAGATTTCACAACAACATATGTCCTGAAAATTGTTCAAAGACAAAAAATCATAAAATACAAAGTAATTACAGTGCTGCGATCGATAAACTTTCTGGTGACTGCTTAATTAATTATTAACATAACCCGGCATGTCTCCTAAGTCTGTCGTCAGTCAGAGTAGCATCTAACAATGTTCCTTGAAGATGTCATTCAAAGCAGGATACAGGAAACCAAACAAATCAGAACAATCTTTAAAACCATTTCTGCTTTGAACATATTGCTCTGGGGTGTCAGCATATATACAGTACAACCAGAAATTATTGAGAATTTAAGACTGTAATTTAAAAAAAATAAATTCACTCATTACTCACGTATTAAATGTGAATATATGCAGAACATAACTCCAGATTCAAAGACAGGTGAACAGTTAGTATTTTCTCAAGTCACCATGGGCAGCAATGCAGGCTTCAATGGGGCGGGGCATACCACTGATCAAAGAAGTTAGAAAGTCGTGGTCCATGCTGTCCCAATATCGGACCACCTCTTCTTTCATTTCAGCAATATTTGTCAGATTTTCATACTGACACTTTCCTTCATAAGTCCCGAAACATTTTCTATTGGATTTAGGTGAGGGCTATAGCTTGGCCAATCTAATAATGTCATATTTTGGGTCCGAAACCAGGCCTGTGAATGCTTTGAACGATGTTTTGGGTCGTTGTCCTGCTGGAAAATCCAAAAATTTCCATAGAACACGTGAGCAGATGGAAGTAAATGTCCCTCGAGAATATCTGTGTTCCGCTCACTGTTCATATTCCCTTCAAATACACAGAGGGGCGTTGCCGATAACACAGATATGCCACCCCACACGTTAAATTTCGGACTGTACTTTGGGCACGGATACAAAGGTTTTTCAGTTTGTTTGGTCCAGAATTTCAGTGTATTAGGAAACAGCCACACAGAACTTTCATCTGAGAAAATCACATTGTCCCAGTTAAAATTTCTATGCTGTAAGCACCAGTTCAACCTTCGCGCCTTTTGTTCAGGTTTCATGATCGGTGATGGAATTCCTCGACTTTTCTGCCAACCCACTGCATGCAGCTCAGTTCTAATTGTCTCCTTACAGACAGCCACAGTTCCTCTATCAATCATATCCAGCCTTAAGTTTTCTAAACTCCATCGTTTGTTTTTTAGAAACAAGAATACCAAGCCGCCTCCTGTCACCGACAGTTAATTTTCTGGGCCTACCTGCACCTTCCTGGTGCTCAATGCCATATCCATTTGCAATATTTTTCAAAACACGATAAACAGTGGACAAAGGGATGCCTGTTCTACTTGAAATCACTTTAGCTGATCTGATGTCCTTGTTATAATACTCTAAAATCAACTTCCTCTTCTCTAAATAGACCATACTGAGGATCACTGAAAATGTCGTCTGCTAGCAAGTAAACAAAAGGGGGATAACTCTTCACAAACTAATGAAAAAGGATTAACGGAGTTGTCTCTCTTGAATGAAACCAAGCACTTGACAGCTGGTCAAGGTTGTTTATACTAGAAATCCAATTAAACATATTTCTAAAATTCTCAATAATTTCTGGTCATACTATACAAAGGGGGAACAACTCCCAATGAAGGTATGATCTAAGAATACCTGCCCTTGAGTTATCAAAAAGGTCATGGTCACTCTGACATAGCTTGCAGATGCTTAGCACATCTATCCTTCCCAAATTACATCTAAGAGGTATATTGCATTTTCAATGAGACAGTAGACTTCAGTGGAATGCTATTGTCAGCTTGTGACTTGATAGCTACATGCACTGACATTTGTTTCTGCAATGAACAGCATATATAAAATCTG